AAAAATGTATATTAGTACTAATTAAGTACTTACAATTACTTATAGCATCAAGTGCCATTAATTCGTTTAACAGAGGGAGCTCCAGATAGTCTTGCTTCGGACTATATTGAATATACTACATGCGTACCTGATTATCCTAAGACAAGCGCCCATGGATATTCCTATATTGTTGAGAAAAAAGACTCTTTACATGGAAATGAGAGTATTAAGACAATCCTTGATGAGGTTCGTGAGAGGTACTTGTTAAGTGATTGGAATATATTGATTAAGTACTTGGCAGGTGCAATACTCTAAAGATGAGGTCTCAAGGAAAAATATATATTGTGCATTTTTAAGAGCCCCAGTGCTAAAAGTTCGATTGAAATGTTCAGGAGTAAAGATATGTGAATATCTATCTTCTGGTTTGAAATCAATCACTCATACATCATATAATAATAACATCTGGTCTCAAATGCGACAAGCACAACAAGCCGTTGATTTGACTGAGCCAGATCAAAATCGAAGGAATACATACACGTAAGTACTATACTAATATTTAGAGAGCACTATTTATGTGCTTGACATGTGCATGCTAAGTCATTCTAGGTTTTATTATTCAGTTATGAGTCGTTTTGCAAGCCAAAAAGGATGTCTACAACAACTTGATACCTGTAGTCCAGGCATTCAATACCATCGGGAACCAGTAAGTGCTTGTCAAGTACACATAAAGCACATATCAGGTGCTTATCTCATATGACTAGGATGTGAATGGTGAATTGATACCCTTCGTTGGATGTGTTCATTATCTCAATAACCCTCGATATCATTTTTACCGCCGGCTTCTAGGAAGTCAACTGAATGTTGAGCTCCTAAAGGGGTTATTTGACAATAATATCAATCCCATGCCAGAAGAATGTAACATGATACTACATCAAAAAACGAGGCGCTTAAAATGTGGTAGGTTACTGCTTACTTAGTATATATAAAGTGCTTTTCTGAACAATTTTTATACAGGGATCAACCACCCACAAGGATCTGGAGCCTTACTTAAACTAGGCTGTGATGTTTATTTTTATTTACTGCTTCCTATTGATCAAAAAAGCTGTCCTTACTATGTCTTTCTTTCACAAGGTGTTCATCAACATCCACCACCACCATTAACTAAGACCCCAGCACGAATCATTCAGCGTCTTGAAAAAATCATTTTCAATACTCTCACGCCTGATATGACAACATGTAAGTGCTTTTAAAGCATTTGCCTACTATAATACAAGTACTAATCAATCATTAGCCACATTTTTAAAGTCCCCTGGTCTTCAGCAGTTCTGCCATGAAAACAATGCATTTACCTTAGCAGACGTTCATCAAAGTTTGAATAACACTGATCGGGTTACTGCTATAATTCAAAGACAGAAGCTTTTACATTTTCCAGAAGGGCAGCACTATAATGGAGTTGCCTTTGAAATGCAGATAAATCCTCAGATCAAGGTATGTACTTTGCAAGCACTTCTTTAATACCTTCAGGGTATTAATTTATTATTCTAGGAATATATTCAGGCAAAGTATCAAGATGAGAGTGAATTTATGTTAATCTGTGCATTGAAGGAGCAATTAGAGCTCCTTATAACACTCAAGTCATTTGAAGTTGATATGTCTTATAAGCGGCTCAAGGCTGCTAAATTAAATGAAGTTGTCTTTACAACTTATTTACCAAACCATGGCAAAAGTAAGTACTTACTACTTGATAGGCACTTCATAAGCACTAATACAGTGAAAAATAACTTCAGTCATTACCTTAGTTCGAGTGTTCACCAATCAAGAGACCCCAATTGGATACTATCGACTCTTTAAAAGAGTCTTTCAGGTTATTGCTAATGTAACTGGGCAATCAGTTCACTTCTCGCATATCCATCAAGAAGGCTTTCAAGGAATCGTTTGTGACATGGACAATAAACAAACAAGTGGTAAGTAAAATTTATGTGGAAGCCTTAGTACATGATAAATGCTAATCTAGTGCTTTTTAAGGGCTTGGAAAGTACTTATATGAGCTTGATCCTTCGCGTACTACTGAAGAACATCTTCGTAGTACTATAGTCTTTTGCCAGGTCCACTTTCATCGAAATATTACCAAGGCTGTTGGAAATCATCCCAATCAGCATGGGATCCGTCAAAGAATGGCAGGTTTATTAACCTGTAAATCTATGGAGGACTATTATAAATTACTTGATTTATTGCAAGGTGAGTACTGGTTAGTGCTTGATAAATGCTATTTTAGCACCTCTACTAACAACAAACCTAGCACATGAGACTGATAATGTCTTTCACTGGGCACAACACAAGCGAGATCCAGTAATTGCAGCTGGGTTAAACAAATACTGCTCATTAATTCCATCTGAACATTGGCATTTTATCCGAAACTCAACAAATACTGCAGAGCAAACTCATAATAAATCCTATGCCTTTGGAAGACAGCAATTGCTACTGCCTGCAGTAAAAAGGTATTTAGTTTATGTCTTTCTAGCACTTTATAAGTACTTATAATCTTCTAGTGCCTGGCTTCTTGATAAGCGAGATATTCAACAGTACCTTGGACGTGAAACCTTTGGCATATTTCATACCAATCGGACAGCTAATATGGAAACTAATTATTTGCGTCATATGCAACGGGATTGTAAGTACTACATTATGCACCTTGTACTAAAGAAGTGCTTGACTGTTGTTTAATAATTGTTCTAATTAATATATATTAGTCTCCCGCAAGCGGCAACACCCATCCAGTTCACCTACTGTGGATGATGATAATGTTCAATTACCAAATGCTTCCGGTATAATATCACCATCTTTAAGGCATGAACAATCATCACCTTCAGTAAGGCAATCTTCCATTCATGAACGATCATTATCAAGGCAATCCTCAAGCCGTGGAAGAACTCCAACCCGGTAAGCGCTAATCAAGTACCTAATAAATGTCATAGGATACTAATTGAGAATTAAGGTCCTCTTCATCTGCACTTCGACGGGTTGCTTCTGCAAACATAGAAGTTCAACAGGCTCAACTTGATATTGAAAAGGCAAAAGTTGAGATTGAAAGAGAAAGATTGAAGCTTGAACAAGAACGGGTAAAGCTTGCAAGAGAACAGGCTGAGGTTCGACAACTTGAATTGCAGAATTTAGAACGTGAGAGAGAATTATACAAAAAATAACAAAGGAGATATTACTCAGGTCCATTAAACACTTTAAAAGGTTCTTTTTTAATGTTTAAAAACAGATTATCCATTCTATAAACATATCTATTGCAAGCACCATCTATTACTCTGCATCAGTTGGAAATGAATTTGGGTCGAAATGACAAAAGTTATCACAACAATCCTCATTTTTGCAGCAGCCTAAGCACTTAATAAGCATATATCAAGCTTTCAAAAAACTTTTTTACTTACCCTTTGCTCTCAATCCCTTTGCTGCACAACTAACACATGGAACAGCATGGCCATTGTCCCTGCACCAACGTTGCATAGCAGCACATGATACCTGAGCACTTATCAGACATAAAAAGGTATAAAACAAGTGCTTTCAAGGTACTTACAGTGCCCTTCTTCGTGAGAGGGAATGGCGGCTTGGCATGACCAGGGGGTGTGGTGGCCCTGGCGGGCTCGGGATGAGTGGACTCTGAAGGGCTGGGGACAGGCTCAGGAGGGCCTTCAATAATATTCTTGAAGAACTCTGTTGAAGTCCTTTGTAAGTGCTTGGAAAGTGCCTGTAAAGTAGTTGAAATATACTTACTAACTGCTACCTTCACTGCCTCTGGTTTGGGCCGTCCAGTTCCAGGACTCGCAACATTAACGTTATGGTAGTGTTTCACATGGTAACGCAGGTCATTGGTCCCAGGAAATGCTTTCTAAGTACATAGTTAGCATCAGAAAAATAATAAATAAGTGAAATTAAGAATCTTACTTTTCCACGAATACAGTCTTCCACACGACAGAACAGCTCATCGACATGAATGACAGTCTCCTCATGCTCTCCCTATGCACTTGTTAAGCGCTTTTCAAGCAATAATATAGCATTTATTTAGTACCTCCTTGATCAGAGGTAGCGGCAGGGTTCCAGCAGGCACATGGGCGAGATAGGCTTTGTACGCGGGCTGCTCTCATTAATAATGTATTTATTAATTGCTTCTTAAGCACATGGTTGATATTTCCTTACCACATCTGCAAGTGTAGAAGGCATTATGACGGCAGAAATGGGGACAGTGTATCAATTGCGTAGGCAGATAAAGGATTTCAACATAAGACAGAGTGTAATTTTGGGGCGCCTTCAGTGTTGTGGATCATGTGATTTAGCGGGGCTCGGTAAGGTAACTCCGGGGCTCTCCGAGAAATAAAGCGGGGCGCTCCGACCTATGCACTCCATATATGCACTTGACTTGTACGTGATTGTCGGAATATAGAGGTTCCTTACCGAACAGTACTAACTGATGCCTGATCAATGCCTCGCCGACTCAATCAGCAGCTGCACCATTTCCCAAGTGCATTCTCAATCGCATGGTATGTTATACTTCTCACATCCTCCTTCTTCCTCTCATCCAGCGGATCCTCTACACTAACCTCATCAACATCAGCGTCCCTCTTCAATAGAAACTGTCACAGGCTCAATAGCTAGAAGATATTAACGAATTGATATTCCTATCTAAACCAACTAGTAGCCATCGACGAGAATATCGAATCTGGAGAAGAAAAGAAAATAAGAGGCAAGTCTATTTACGTGAAGAAGTCCCATATGGTTGTGTGTGGTCTCGCTAAGCAGCTTGTTTGTCTTGATTGCTTCCATGGTATTGTTTGCCGTGGTGATGATGTTTGCTGATGACGGCGCTGGGCTGAGCCGTTACAGAAACCCTACCATCTCAGCCTTTCCCTCCTCAGCCGCCAGTATAAGAGCCCCCATCCCCTTCAAAATAGCCCCATACTCCAATAACAGCGCCACCATATCTGCACACCCAAGTTCAGCAGTAGCAGCAATGACAGTTTTACACTCATAGACCCGGTTCCGATTCGGATCCGCCCATGTTCTAAACAAAATCGCGCCATCTCCAGAACATTATTAGTAGCGACTGTGCTGAGAATATCCCCGTATCAGGGTATGACGTAGTCGATGTCGATTGCCCCGGCTTCAATGATGAGTTCATGACTTTTCCCAGGTACCGCGTTGCGCGATGAAGGTCACGACGGGGTTGACCACTTTTGTTTCTGGAGTGACAGCAGGTGACGATGGCGGAGGGGCTATGGTAGTTTGCTGCAGCCATTAAGGTGGAAAGAGGGGGGATATGATCTGGAGTGATGGATGCTCGTTGTTGGAGGACATTGTCGGGGGTGACTGGCTGGCGGGACTCGCAGATGGAAGGAAGCTCATCATCTAGTCTCGACCTGATTGTATCCTCGAGACTGGTACCGGCCACCATGGTTCTTCGTGTTTGTGATCGTGATATGGTTTAGGGGGTGGCAGTGGTTTCTTGATTATGAGTAGTGAGGATGGTTGTGAAAAAAAATCATTGAATATGATTGCAATAAATAGGACCAAGAATTGTGCGAGTAGACAGAGTATAGGTGAGAGAAAGAAAGCGAATTTGGTCCGAGATGCGTGGCAGTGCGCTTTGTCCTGCCTGCCTCAGTCTCACCGAGTGTGACGGCTTGACATCTTGACGTTGTGTATACGGTTCGACGCTACGTATGAGACCAATGATGATAGATCAAACCGACATGGGTGGAACCCTGTCGTCCAGTAGTCATAAAAACCCCTTCATCCTCTAGCTGGGTTTCCTTTTCTTTTCTTTCTCCAGACTCAATATTCTCGTCAATGGCTGCAAAAAATAAGAACTAAAGCTAGTTCAAAAGGATGGAAATGTGTTTAATGGTTTTCTTTCAACCCAACCACGAGGGGATAACGAGTTTCAATCCGTCTGCCAGCCATGGGTGATCAAGGTTGAATGGTATATCCAGACCGTGGTCTCCCGGATATAAAGACAACTGCACTTTTGTCTTGAGATCCTGCTCCAAAACCTTCTGTACGAACTTTTCAGACCCTTCCACTGGGACGACTGAGTCCTGTAGTCCGTGAATGATGAACAGAAGCAGGGTCTTGTCTCCTGCATTCAATCTTTCCAGAGGTAATAATTTTGTAGCTCTTCCAAAATAGTCAAGAAATCGACCATGTTCCATCATAGCACCTATGATTGGAAACCGCGACAAGGTGGGATCAGAGGCTACAACGCTGCCAGTTGTACATTTCGCCAGGTGATTGTCGATGGTAGACTCTGGATACTGAGAACCATTCGGGTTGCTGTTGGGGGGTTCGGGCTTGGTGAAACCGGGGGATTGTGGGTCAAATGACGGGAATTCTCCGATACAAGCCCTGGTCTCTGCCGCATGGCCCATAGCAAAATCCACACTGAGCCATCCTCCCACAGACTTATCAGAAAAAGTATTTTACGGCACGAGGAGACTGGGAGATTGTTCCCCACTCACCAGCACTGTCGCCAACGGTCATCAACTGACCCGAATTTGCGCTTATCGTGGTGGTGGTGGCCCACTCCAGAGAGTTAGGCATCTCAGTATGTAACCATGTCCACAGGTCATCTAGGCCATCGAGAATATCCAGCCCAGTCGATTCGGGGATGAACCGATAATCGGGGAGAAAATAATGGCTTTCTTGACAACCGCCAATTCCAGAACCCAGTTTGGGAACCACAGTTCAAACAAGCTCGCACCGCTGACATCTTTCATGAGAATGTCAATGTTATGAGTCTCTGAGTAGTAGCCAGTGCGAGGCCATTGACAATACATACATAGCCGCCGCCATGAAATCGTACGATAGAGGGATAGGTGCCAGGAGATAATCCTCGAGGTATCAAGATATCAACGGGGATTCCGACCTCTACCGTCTTGTAATTTGTGGAAAAGACATTGAATTGGTCAAATTTGCTCATCTTGATGTTAACTTGTGAGATAGTGGTAGAAACAGTGATGATATTGTTGATACTATATAATTCTGGGGCTGGAGATATAAATAATGTACGTAGTTAAACTAAAATTGACCCGTAACTGGACAGTTCGTATTATAAATTTGGCTGACAAACAATTGACAACTAGAAAGTGCTATACTTGAACACGCGATTTTCCCATACAGTTTGGGCCCCGGTTTTGATCATTATTAATATAGATAACTCGGGATGAATTGTGGAGCCATCACATCGGCCTCTCAACCGGCTTCCATCTACAAGTCCTTAGCCGCGCATCCCCCCCATAAGTTAGACCTAGTTATAGGGGTGGTGTGACGGAAGAATTTCCATATTGAATGACAGAACTCACCTAACTGCATGGCTATGACAATGAAGAATAAGGCATGGGAACGCACTGAACTAGGGAATGACCTCTCTGTTTCTATACAGGAAGGCAGTGAGCATCTTCAGCAGCTTATACACAGCTTGAGCAGCTTAGTAATGATGATGCACCACGCCAGCGAGCTCGGCCACACTGTAGTGGCTGTGGGACTATTGAACATGCTATAAGAGATTTTCCTAATAAATAGCTATATGATTAACTAGGGGAAATCTCATTCAGTCATACTCGATGGTGTTGGTGGTTGAAAAGCTTCAAAAAGAATAGTTGCGGCAAAGATTCGCACTTCGGCCGTATTCGCCGCTTGCCCGTGGGATACGTTAGATAATATAACTTGATGATGTGGACTCTCTCTAAACCGGCCAAATTATCATGTTATCTTTAATACGGCTTAGCGAGACCGCACTGATATACTCGAAATTGGGATGGTGGACATGCGGAAGCGCGGATCTTGATAGGAGTGAATCTTAAAAGGTTCGGAGACTTGTTCACTTCGAAAACGTAATGATGATGGTTCAGGGAGTTGTTCAACAGACAAAGGACATCATTACAAATCAAGGCATTGACTTCTAATATACTATTTTGGGGGACTCCAATCCCGGATAATGAAAGAAGACCAAACCAATTCTTTATCTTCATTGTTCCAATATCCTCCAAAATGCCCAAAGCCTTTACTCCCATTAGGGTTGGTTCAATGGACCTTTCCCATCGCATTGCGATGGCACCCATGACCCGATTCCGTGCCGATGATGCTCATGTTCCCCTCCCCATAATGAAAGATTACTATCAGCAGCGTGCTGTAGTGTTTAGAAGTTTGATCATCACCGAAGCCACCTTTATTTCTCCCCGAGGCGGTGGCTACGACAATATACCCGGAATTTACAATGACGATCAGATCGCCATGTGGCGAAAGGTGACAGATGCCGTCCACGCCAAAAGATCATACATCGTTCTCCAGCTGTGGGCGTTGGGCCGCGCTGCAGATCCCTCTGTCCTGGGACGTGAACAGCTCCCCGTTGTCTCGAGCAGTGCGACTCCAATGGCGCCCAAGCACCCAGTGCCGCGAGCTCTGAATGAGTCTGAGATTCACGAATTCATTCAGGACTATGCGCAGGCTGCTAAAAATGCTATTAAAGCCGGCTTTGACGCCGTCGAGATCCACGGCGCAAATGGCTACTTGATCGACCAGTTCACCCAGGACACATGCAACACCCGCACCGACAAATGGGGCGGAAGCGTCGAGAACCGCTCTCGCTTCGCCCTCGAAGTAACGAAAGCAGTTGTTGACGCTATCGGCCCCGAACGGACAGGAATTCGACTCAGTCCGTGGAGCTCTTTCCAAGGAATGCGCATGAAAGATGTCATCCCGCAATTCACCCACCTAGCCAAGGAGCTCGCCAAGTTCAAGCTTGCCTATATACATTTGGTCGAATCCCGCGTCTCTGGACCCGGAGATGCGCCCGAGTCTGCCGATAAGCTTGATTCCTTCCTGCAGGCCTATGGAAAGGCTAGCCCAGTGATTTTGGCGGGTGGCTACACTGTGAATAAGATTGATGAGGCGCTCGAGAAGACGTATAGTGATTATGACGTTATTGTTGGTATTGGGCGGTATTTCACTTCTAATCCGGATTTGATCTATCGGATTAGACAAGGCATTCCTTTGCGGCCATATGACCGCGAACACTTTTACACACCGAAGGATCCATGTGGTTATATTGACTATGACTTTTCTCGTGAGTGGGAGTGTTGCGAGGCGAATGATGGAGGCTGTCAGCCGTGAGTCGTGAATATGTATAACTAGTTCTAGGACAAAGTATACCTTATTTCCCGCAACCACCAGGTGCCTGCTTAGAAACCTTTCTGTTTTGTAGGACGGAAATGTCCCTGGAGAGGTTCATGTTTGTGGTGGCAGATGCAGGATGGGGCAGGTACATCCATCCGTCCTTTGTCTGGTCCAGGGCCACAATTTTAGCATTCAAACCATGGCTTTTCTATGTGCTCCTAAGAGCACTCACTTTTTTACCGCCTCGCTGACTCTAGTCGCAATTTCCCAATGAAAGAGAGTTAGTTTCCTTCTCATTCCATGATGCTGTCACTGGTAGGCCTCGAAATGGTGCGGTCCCGGTCCTATAGTCGGCAACCAAGGACCGGACCGGACCATGGTCCCTTGCGGTCTCTTGTGGTCTTGACCGCGAAGGACCGCAATTGCATAAAATTGCAAGTATTTCCTTTTTCAGCTGGATGATTTGCTGATCTATCTATTCTCTACCGTTATCAAATACTGTCTTGGTTTGTATATCAAAAGTCTCCTGTAATCAAGTACAGAGGTAAATGGCAGTTTGTCAATTTCTTAGAGTTATACAATAATCTTTGCATAAATAATGCATTGGTGACTATCAGATAAAAGCTTAGTTTCACCTTGTGCAGTGGAATGTTTTATTTTCTAGTAACGGCCAGGCATACGTGAGGCAGGAAACAGCCTTGTGTGGCGCGGAGAGAAAGTGGCAGAGTATAATCAAACCAGCCACAGTTCTCCTGGCACTTCCCTCGACCATAATACGTGCTGATATGAACCCAACAATGGGCGTGAACAACAAATTATCCCGTATGGGCCGACCGCGGAGTTCCTGCGATGTATGTATGCTCGCAAGGTGTGTAACAATGCAATAGTATCAATCCGCGTTGCGTCCGGGACCAACAGATTGACCGAGATCATCCCAGATTAAATGCATCGAGACTCCTGGCTCAGCTCAGTGTGAATGGTGCTTGTACCAGGGAATCGCATGTGAATTTTTCCAGAATGGTCGACAAGGAAGAACCGCGGCCTCTCGTACGTCAAGGTTGGTACACCGGTACACCCCGTTGACACTGGATTTTGACTAACGCTAGTAGAGCCTCCAAGCATTCCGGGGTTGGATCTCAATCTGAAAATGGTACTTTATCAGGGATGGGAACTTGCTTACGGTTACTAATGTCGAAATTAGAAGGACATGCGCCGGTTCAACCAAGCCAATTGGGCGTTCATGTCGGACAGAGCTCGAGATCCCTGCTGGAGTACTACAGCATTCCTTTCTTCTCGAAACCTGCTCAGGAATGGTCTCGAGCCTATGATAAGTTGTCGAATGTTCTTGACACCTTCCTTTCTCGGTGTTCCATGGATGAACAATCATGACAAGCCGGCAACTACCCCAGGACAGCCATCACTTCACAAGCCAGGTATCATATCCGTGCTACCCGACCAATTTGTCACAGAGGCCTGCATGGCCATGTACAAATGTGGCACGACCGGCTTGCTTCGTCCTGTAGCCGATATTGATATGCTGGCGAGCGCAGTAGAAACCGTGTATTCCCCAGGCCGACAGCCACTACGAGATAATCTTGTTTCTCAGGCTCTTGTTCTCTCATTCAACGCCTACTCTTCAACTGCAAGTCATCGGGAAGGGATGACTTACCCAATAGACGGCAAACTATGCGCCATGGAATCTGACCGCTTGCTTTCTACACTGGAGAGCAGTCCGTTCTATTTGGAGATGCTACAGACACGTCTACTTCTGGTAAATTCATGAAGCGCAAGGGCAATTAACATAACTGATTTTGGGGCAGACGCTTTACCATTGCTTTTGTGGTAGCCTGAGGAATGCTAGGAGAGCATTGGAATGTATTGCTCGATTGATGCAAGATACCACTGCAGCCAACGATCTTTTGGGACCAAGATACACCCCCATCGGGTCATTGGATACGAGCCGAGTCGCCATCTTTCGCCACCTCTCCCGGACCAGTTTCCTTATTGACGAAGAAATATCACTTCGAATTGGTGAACCACTTCTGCTGCTGGCGAATACTTTGTGTACAGACTCCTTAGACTTCTCTTCGCAACTCAGTTCGACGCGTGTGCAACCACCTTCGGCCGATTATGCATTAAATCTATGCTGGATAGTTCGAAAGGTTCACCCTGAGTTTTACGCACCAAGTTCACCGGACAAGTCTGCCACAGACACACTGAGGACTATCAGAACCCTTAACGACGAATTAGAGAACTGGCGGCTCAGCGTCCCTAGGGAGTTTCGTCCGAGCATTCAGAGTTCCAATTTGCCTAGAAACTCACTCACAGACTTTAACGCGCTCATACTAAACATGAAATTCCACTACTGCCTGGGATATATCCACCAGGTCGCCAGTCGCTGTCGAGACTGGTCTGGGGAAACTAACACCACTGGAGCACTTCGGTCCAGCCTTGAATTGTCTGCTCAGGCGAGCATTTGCTCACTAGAGCTATCGCGCGCTGCTCAATTAACGCTTGACCGGGAGAAATTTTGGTATGACATTCATCCTTTCAGTCCCGCACCAGCTTGGAAGCTAATCTATCATTAGGGTACTATGCTTCTATCTCGCATCGGCTCTCCTGAATCTGTTTCTTAAAATTCTAATAGACCCGTTCGTCCAAGAGAGCTCCACTCATTTGAAGATCCTAAAAGATGCTCCGCTCTTCTTGAGCGAGGTGGACACTCGGCACTTGACCTCCACTGAAACAGAACATCTGGGCCTCATTGTTGTATTCAGTCAAAAGTTGGTCGCCATAGCAGACGAATCGACATCCAATCGTGGCACGGATGAGCGAACGGCATAACCGCCTACTCATCGGGAAATATACGATAAGAGCAGCCCCAGTGGTCCGTCCCTAGTCCCGGGGTTTTAGACCTCATATTCCGGCTCATCCATGGCTTATTTTATTGAATGTGGGACCTTCCGACGGGAATTTCCTTTGTACGTTGCCTCGTAATGCTCAACAGCGTTACTCGACAGTTCATGTACGGAACAAATATCCATGAATGGGTTCTTCCTGCTTACTGCCAGAAGGTCACCCATTTCACTCTTCACAATAGCATGTCTGTAGAGAACAGAACTGACATCTGGCTTGGATGGCGCTTTTTAGACAAGCTCCTCGTTAGAGCTTAGAACAAGCCGTTTCAAAGCCATTAAGAGAGCAGGCCCGTGTACATGATTGGCTTTGCATGGCTGCGAGATTCTCAAGAGTAGATATTTGAATACTGACACGGAGAAGTAGTGCACTTCCCTGCCTATAATCCAAATATTTCGATTTCGATTCTAAAGAAAGTGTATAGATTGTATGCACCCAACAGTATTTATAGAGCGAATGTGTTGATGGCCTCGGAAAGTCCGGAGAAGATAAGAAGTTCTCCGATCTCCGATCCGATCAGCAAAATCTTCTCCGATGTTTTTGACTCCGATTCAGGAACAATCGACCAACGGACTAGAGATTAGCCATACTAAAATGCGTTCCAGGTTAGCAGCATGTGAACGATGCAGAAAGGCAAAATTAGCCTGTGATCATAAACGACCGGTGTGTACTCGCTGTCGCAACACCAACCAAGCCGGCATCTGCATCTACCGCGACTCGCCATTCAAACGTAGAAGAACGAGCATCTCGTCTCCATCGGTTGAGCCACAGAGCAGGTTAGATAGTTTCCAGCTCTATCCGAAACCGGTACTGACAGTTGTACAGTCTGCGATCGCCGGAGGAGTCGCCGTTGTTCAACGCCCGGCAGACCCCATATCCGAATCCTGGATACCTTGGGTCTTCGAGCCATGCTGCTATCTTTAGCCATATCTCCCCGGATGGTGACTGCAGTAACGCATTCCAAGCAACGCAAGGTAGTCACTCAAATGGCGATGATCACTTAATACAGCAGGGTGCCGATACTCTCCGACAGCTACTGAGCGCGTTCCCGCTAAAAGGAGTAATCGACCTGGTTATTTTCTGGCTTGCAAAAGGCGTCAACCTGGCTCTTACAGGACCCTTTGTTGCACAATGTACCGAAAGCATGCATAACCTACTGGCCTGTATGTCGGACGGGAACTGGCACCTGGCATATGCACGACAGTTGATGCAGAACTCCGCCCGGCCTCTGGAATTTAATCAGTCTTCAACACTCGACTCTTTCTCTGCCCAGTTCCTACATCAGAATACTCGGTGGGAAACATTGGGGCTCTTTTTTTCAGCCGTTAGTCGGGCTACGCTTGACGTGTCGTTTTTTCCCTCTCTATACTCGACGGAGAAAGGTCAATATTCTCTTCGACGCATGGCGATGAAACTCTGCGACTATATTCTGGACATTTGTTTATCATTAGACTGCTTGAACGACCTGCAGCTATTATTCCAATACGAAAATTTCATTGTTCATTCCCACGTGGATGGAGATCAAAGTGGGTGATATCGTCGAGACTAGTTCTGTTTTCCGTCACTAACGAATCAGGTTACCATTCATGGCGCAGAATCGGAGATGTGATATCTTCAACATTCGCCTTGGGCTATCACGAAGATCTTGAAGCGAAGCCCGACGTGCCTCCATTTATAACAGAGATGCGCAAAACTGCTTCCGCCAGAATCTACTCAGCAGATAAGAACCTGGCTATTTTCCTTGGCCGACCTCCCCGGATGTGCAAGCGGTTTTGTCATCTTCACCTTCCTTCGAGCTGGCTTGGGTTCGAGGCGTTGGCTTATGGACATACTCCAAGTACCGATGGAGACGAAGAGATTAAGGCTACGTATTGTGGGGATACGCGCTGGTCTGTAATATGCGCCTCGTTGAAAGAGGATATAATGGAGATGCTACGTGATGTCAAAGACGAGCAATATATTGAAAGAGCAACGTATGCTCTCATCCCGTCAGGTGTGAGCTGAGCTAACTGAAAAAAGTGCGATCCAAGAAAAAGCCATAGTTGAATGGGAGGCATTACCTCCCCAATTTCGATTGGACGGCACCCTAAAACAGTTTACTGGGAACCCATTCGAGCGAGATTTCGTGGTCAGTGTGCGACTCAACCATTTGCAGGTCCTGTTTCTTGTGCATCTTCTATTGCTGGACAGCCCGGCTGCGCCTAATGCGTCCATCATAGAGGTGGCGCAAGAAATGCTCTCGTTGGTCACAGAAACCATTCTTCTCCGAGATCGGCTTGTCAATTCAGGGACAAGCCTCATCTGGAAGGTAGGTAGTTAGTATGCCGTGATGACAATTCGTATCACTAAATACCGAAGGTTGCCCACTTTGGTCTTCCAGCGGCCGGGATCCTACTTCTCGCAATGCTCAGGCAAAAGAACCACCAAAATACTACTCCGATACCGTGGACGAAAACTATCCAAGACCTCAACGTATTCGTTGCCGAAGTCGATATAGGAACGATTATTCGACCAGAGGATCCAAACTACGCACTGTTATCCAAGGCAACGCAGACTATCCAGAGATTCCTTGATTCTATGCATTCGAAAATAACGCCCCAGCCGCGGAACGAGGATTGGACGGCGTTGCTGAACCAAGACCTCTGGGATTCTGAATTTGCGTTCTGGGATAACATGGCGGGTCATCCTTCACTGGATCCTTTGCCAGAAGTGTAATATGGTTCCGATAAAACAAGCAACATTTATCTGACACTTATACGGGCTTCGCTGAGCCAAGTCGAGGTCACTCGTGATCTGACGAATTACACTTGGCCAATCTGATATATATCATAGTAGGCAATTGCGTTTCCTCTATCTTTTGCCCTCCAAACAATGCTTACATGATGTCGTCAACCGGAGATGAGCGGCCAAAAGCGACCGCTGTCCCATACCGCGGCGAACCTTTACCGAATGTCCCCAACGACCTCCTCATCCCGAATGTCTTGAGCTTGGACTTCGACGAGCGGCTCTGGGTCCCCCAAGCTACAGATATCTGGTTCCGCCCTCTTGTTTTCTCCGTCTCACAAGGATATTTCGTCAACCTACTTCGTGTTCGCAAGTCAGGAATTTTGTCACGCCATCGCCATGCCGGTCCTGTCCACGCGACAACTCTCCGCGGGAAATGACATTATCTTGAGCAGCATTGGTGGGCGACGGAGGGAAGTCATGCATTCGAGCCACCTGGTGATATCCATACGCTCGAGGTTCCGGATGGGGTCGAGGAGATGGTGACTCTGTTTCATGCTACCGGGGCTCATATTTATGTTGATCCCGATGGGAAACTTGTCAGAGTGGAGGATGTATTCTCGAAGCCTGCGAGTGCGAAGACACACTATGAACGGATTGGATTGGGTGCGAACTACGTTGATCAGTTCATTCGATGAGCTGCCCATTTGGCAAGGATATAGAGGGCCTTCACATGGATTATAAGATTCTCTATGCTATATGCTAAAATAGAAAAAATGACAAGATTGCTATTCGCGAACACATCCATCGACAAAACGGGTTTTTGATTCAAGTACAGCATGATGCAGAGATAATAAGCAAGTCCAACTTTAGAATAAACAGGATATGGCTCGGCGCAAAGATAATCCTCTACGCAACATTGGCAACAATGAACTTAACATGGTTTTCTAATCATTCCAGGCTTCTCCACGACTCTCCAATGACCGGCCTAAAAGATTCATATTAGCCCCATAATCAGCACCGGGTACGACCAGGGAAATGAATTACCTGTTCCGGCTTGATCCATCTTAGACTAGTTACATGGATGAGGATAGTTAGGAGGATACACGTCGCCATAAAAGTTGAATCCGATACGTGCATCCACACTATCGACGTTATAGGCGTCAGAGCAGAACGAATATGTATACCTTGACACTTTTTTGAGTCCTGGTACCGTATCCACTTGCTCAGTCCGCGAAAAGCCAATTTATTCGACATGCGACTTAGTGGCTCTAGTGTCAAGATTACTCACGGAAGGTAATGTCGGCCTGCAGTTACCTGAGCTGTCCGACATAGGCAGCACCGGTCTTGAACAAACTCAGGATCGGGGTAGCGGACACCCTGAATCCCCATTGTTTCCTGAGCGCCAATCCTCTGGTTCCGAAATGCGTTGGGCAAGTTGTGTAATTATAACAAGTTCCCTGGGTGCAAAGGCGCCAATGTAGACAGCGATTGCTTTGATAAAAATGGAAATGGCTTCCTCAAAACTGTTCTCCATTACAGAGCAACAAGGGAGTTCCCATTTGAAAACGAGAGCACTGAGTCGAACTCCGTTAACCCGAGAACGGTCGAAAAGAAGCGGGTTTAATGACAAATTATACACCCCTCAACTCTGGAACTTGGAATAATGCCAAACTGGTTCCTGATCCACCCGATCCGAGAATGCACGTTAAACTTTGTTGTGCTCATCAATCACCTTAGGCTTCTATTTTTGTAATTTAGAGGAAAACAGGGTCTAGATCTCTGGCGAGGGAGTTGGCTTCCCTCATCACCCAATGTTAAGGTCTCAAGCACGAGGGTGTATCGACACAGGGTATACATCCACGCCTCCGGTAATGCAATGCCGCCATGATCCCTTGGTCAAAGCATACCCTACGTCCTCGCGTATTCTAGCTAAAATGAGCTCCGTTTTGCCATCGGGGCTGGTGGATTGTTCTTGAGTATTGTTATCCCAAATTGACAAGTAATCAACTAAACTGCAATTCATTGTCTCCTGATAAAAGCCAGATCATCTCATTCAGCAAGACCAATTGCTTCCCGTCAGATCATCTCCCGTTCCAAGTTGAAAGTACCCTAGATCCGCATTATTCTCGTCTACATGACCTCATGAGCATTGTTGGGCCAAATACTGTGTACAAGATAGGGGACTTGGTTCAATTTCGACCGCTCACTGTTTCCAGAGAGTAAACTAGACAACAAAAAAGCTCTTCAAGAATAACGGAACCATTGCAGAAGCTTTTTTTCATCTCCCCTCTTCCTTTATTTCCTTTCCCAACATCTAATAAGAAGATTCCTCGCCGCCGAGACTATTGAGTAAAGGAATCAAGGTCTGGTCTGGTACAGAACTCATTACCGTACCAAAGCAAATGCAGGCCCTTTGTTTTCCAAATAATCGTCCTTGGCCAACTTTCCCACCTGCACCCGGTCCGCAAACACATAATTAGGCCATGTGGGTAACCGGATTGGCTTTATCATAAACCCTAGCTCCGATCAGTTCCACAGCTGACCTTAAAGCATCATTTTCTTCATTTATGAGGCCATTTGTTATGTGACAGTTCTCTACCTGAATAAATATACACGGTATCTTTTCCGTGGCTCGCAGATAAGGCGGAGAAACCATGTCACAGCTCTTGTATCCTATGGTCATCTGTTGGTAGTAGCGCCTCGTCAATGAAGTAACCGATAATACTCGAGTAATTTGTCACGAGCAAGCCAAAATATGTTTCTGGTGCTTTCTGATATGATCAGGCTTATCATTCGCAACCGTTATCTCGTGGAAACCTAGGCTATGTTCGTTTATGGTGTACATATATCTTCTGATGTGTTAATCGTTTCGAAGTTTTCATAGATGGTGGCAGGTCACCCCAGGAGATCTTTCACCTTCACCTCGTCGATAGGCATGGAGTCATGTAGATCAGTTCGAATGAACATTTGGTCTGCTTTGAAAACTAGGTGCAAAATAGGGTTGTTTGAAGACTTTGTGCCGGTTTATGTCACTGAAGCCATGATTCGCGCGTCGCTCTTGGGATGGGGAGTCGAGCAGATCCAGGTGTCTTATTCGGATTCACAAGACTGGACCCCACGCAGTTGATCTGAAGACTCAGCAAATCCTCAACTTTTGGCACCGACAATACTTGATGTGTGTCAGTAACTCTATAAATATATGCTTTAAAGAAACCGTTCACCAGGGGATTATCTAGCACTAATAATATACGACTACGTTTTTTAAACCATGCATGGATATGGATACCAAGTTCTCTAGGGTAGATACTCAAATGTTGATACGAAGAAGCAGTTGGAAACACTTCCCAGTTCAGACTGTAAAGATCATAACTTTAAAGGGGTGAATTGATTTCGTGGACTGAAGTGTTATCTTTAAGAGTCAACGTGTTGATGTCGTATTTCCTGTAGAGGTGTTATTCACTATGCTCATTCCTCTGCATGATATCTGGGAAGACTAGATACACCGTAAGTGATAATGAGATACTTGACTGTTGCAGGAACAGCAAAGCCCTGACAGTATTGCATAAGTTGAGAGACGACCGGGATACCGAGACGGATCTACCGCAGTCTCGGCCCAGCAGATCGGTATCGGACTATGGGGCCGAATAACGAGCTAGCAGGTCAATTACTGCAGAAACCGATTTCTATGGACGAGCGGATGTTCAACATGGAGACGACGATTGATTTGAGATTGCTCTAGTCCTACGAACGGCTGGCAGCTTTCTAAGCTTGGTTGTTTACTTCTCGGAATAGTTCAAATTTTCCGGGTTCCGATCCGCTCATGACCATGCTCGGAAAAGCCAGCCAATAGGAACAAAGCTAGCATCATCTCCGAACCGAGAATCAGGGCCCGTCAACAGCAAAGACAGCAGAGCAGAGTGATCCATGATTTTCTCTGAGTACAAAGACTCTTTTTAACTGGCATGAGTGCTCTCTATGTTTTATCCAATTATTTCGTGCGTAAAGGTTGTTAGGCCCTTGAAGGTCAGTCAACCCATCGAACGAACGAAACTCATAGCTCGCTTAATTTGTACAGAGCCCTTACATAATTCTTCCTGCTTTCGATAACATGCCCGGTGATTCCGTGAGTATATTTGCACCCGAATAATTTATGGTAATTGCTAGGAGTAGTGGGCTAATTGCATAACTGCGTTGCATTTTAGAAAAGATCACCCGATGCCCACGATGGAGGACGCGATGACCTACCAATCTATAGACCAGACGGCCGGTCTCTTGGCGTCTCGTTTTCGAATGTCACGGCTGTAGGGACGAGCGACTCTTCGCAAACAGTTACCGACCTCATCAAGATCTTCACGGACGTTTTGACATGGCCTGTTAATACCGGCCGCAAGTTGACGAGGAATGCTGCTGAAAACTCGTCACCTATCATCCAGGACGTCACCGGTGTTCTTTTCCCTGGCGAGACGATGCTAGTTTTGGGCCGCCCTGGGGCAGGCTGCTCGACAGTTCTTCGAGTTCTTGCCAACCAACACCAATCCTATGAAAAAATGCACGGTTCCATCCATTATGCTGGTTTTTCTTCGGCTGAGATGGGAAAAAGATATCGTTCCGAAGTAATATACTGCGCTGAAGATGACCTCCATTTTCCTATGTTGCCGGTCAAAGATACCCTAGACTTTGCCCTGCGCCTTCGCAAACCCAAAAATGAACCCGAATCTACGACACAGTTCTCGAAGCGGATGACTCACCAGATATTGGCGTCGCTGGGAATTTCTCATACTTATGATACAATTGTCGGTGACGCGTTTGTCCGCGGCGTGTCAGGTGGGGAGAGGAAGCGGATTTCTCTGGCAGAAGTGCTAGCTGTCAACCCTGCCCTCGCTTGTTGGGACAATCCTATTCGGGGTCTCGACAGTTCCTCCGCATTGAGCTTCCTAGAACTCTTGAAGAATATGTCAAGGCGTACTGGAATGTCCAATATCGCAACACTCTACCAGGTCTCGGAAGCCATGTACCAGTACTTCGACCGTGTCCTTGTCATGTATGAAGGACAGATGATCTTCTGTGGACCCGCCAGTCGGGCCAAGCAATACTTCATGGAGCTTGGGTTCCATTGCCCGGAAAGGCAAACTACGGCCGACTTTCTCACAGCGGTCACGTCTCCAGTGGAGCGAGCTTTTCAGAAAACGTACACTGGCCCTTGTTACGACACAGCCGAGTCCCTGGCCCAGATTTTTCGCAACAGCAATGATTACCGTATTTTGCAGCAGGAGATGATCATATACCACGAGCACATTGCATCCGATACATCCATCACCAGCAGCTTCCAATCGGATGTAAGCGAGATGCGTTCTAAGCTCAGCCCCAAATCAGCCAGCGAACCATCCTCACTCGGGACCCAGACTCTTGCGGCGTTGCGCAGGCAATACAAATTAACCTGGAAAGATCGAAACACCGTATTCACTGTCCTCGGCCTCATTATTGCCAATTCCGTGATCATCGCGTCGGGGTACTACATGGCACCGAAGACAGCCACGGGATCATTCGAACGAAGCGGAGCGCTTTTCTTCGCCTTGGTTTATTTCACACTCAATGCTCTTACCGAAGTTCCGAAAACCATTCAGTCACGCACCATTCTCCTAAAACAGCATCGCATGGGTTACGCTCATCCAGCTGCCCTGGTTATTGCCGAGACACTTGCTGAGGTACCAATGGCCTTGCTTGAGACACTGGCCTTTGCTTGTTGCTACTACTTCACCATCGGGTTGGACAAGACAGCTTCAAGCTTCTGGATATTTGTCTTAATCACTTTCACCCATCGTGCATGTATCTCGTGTCTATTTCGCCTGCTGGGTGCTTGGGCACCAAACCTGAACACTGGCTTCTTGATGGGCGGATGTGCCGTGCCTATTACTTGCCTCTATTCGGGCTTTGCGCCTCCCGTACCAACAATGCACCGCTGGGGATCATGGATCCGACGGATATCGCCAACTCCTTATGGTGTAGAGGCCTTGATGGGGAATGAATACTCTGGCATGACCCTCCATTGCACAGGGGACGAGCTTGTTCCCCATGGGTTAGGGTACGACAATATTCAATACCAAGGATGCCCCATGGCTGGTTCCATCAAGGGGTCTGCGGAGGTATCGGGGAAAACGTATCTGAATGCTCAATACGGATTCAATGTGCAGTTCCTTTGGCGAAATTTCGGCATTATCCTTGTGATGTGGTTCCTATATGTGGCTGTGACAGCTCTTGGCCTCAGCATCATGACCCGTGAGAAAAGCACATCCAATACGCGCGTTTATCGTCGCGGGGCCAAGGGGTACCAGCACGGCTCCTCATCTGAGAAGACCGACTTGGAGAGCCAACATGCAACTGCGGCCGCGACGCCAGCAGCTTCATTGCCTGAATCGGCATCCCGAAGCTCCCTCAGCACAACAGTGGAAGAGACACCAAACCAACGTACTGTTTCGCACACAAATCAACGCACATTTTCTTTCCACAATGTTAACTACTTCGTTCACTCCGCTGGGCAGGAGCTTCACCTACTTAATAATGTCACAGGGTATGCCAAACCAGGCCAACTGACCGCTCTTATGGGAGGTTCCGGGGCGGGAAAGACGACGCTGTTAGAAACGATCTCTTGCCGCAAATCCGAAGGAAGAACAGAAGGAACCCTTCTATTTAACGGACAGCCCTTGGACCAAGGCTTCTCACGTGCATGTGGGTTCTGCATGCAGCAAGATGTTCACGAGCCGTTGGCCACTGTGCGAGAGGCACTACAATTCTCGGCATTCTTGCGACGATCTGCGGAGACATCCCACGATGAGAAGGTGCAGGACGTGGAAAAGATAATTGAATTGCTGGAGTTGGACCCTATTGCGGACGCCATTGTTGGCTCTTTGGGAGTTGAGGAGAGGAAGCGTGTCACCATCGGTGTCGAACTGTGCGCTCGTCCATCGGCGCTTTTGTTCTTGGATGAGGTATGTTCCGGAATTTGCATTCACCTTTCCTTCAACTTACTGACAATTGATATAGCCAACCTCCGGTCTAGACAGCCAGGCCGCCTTTTCGATTGTCGCATTCCTCCGTAAAATCGCTGCCCATGGCATTCCGATCGTCTGTACGATTCACCAACCGTCGAGTGTCATTTTTGAGATGTTCGACCACACCTTGATTTTGGCTCCTGGTGGCCGCACTGTCTACTTTGGTGAGACCGGGCAACCTCTCAATGGTTATTTCGCTCACCGTGGAGCTGTCATGGACCAACAGGACAATCCAGCCGAGTTCGTCATCACAACCGTGGCCGCATCACGCAGGGGCGAGAACGGCGCAGACTGGCCGCGCCTCTGGCAGGAGTCTGAACAATGTCGCGAGGTGAATGACCGTGTGTTGGCGATTTCCGAAAAAGCGTGTCCGGACTTCGAGTCAGACACTGCCTCCGCAGAGCAATACGCACTCCCGTTGACGGCCCAGATCTTCCACTTGACGAAGCGGCAGTGGAAGTCGGTCTGGCGAAACGGACCATACAACTTCAGCAAATTGTTTAAAAGCATATTCTTTGAGATGCTTGTCGCGTTTACCTTTTTCAAAGCTGGCCCTGACACCATGGGACTGCAGAACCACGCTTTGACTTTCCTAATCGCATCATGGGTCGTTCCAAGTATTGCAACTGACATCCAAGAAGTCTGGTTCGAGAAATGGTCCATTTTCGAGGCGCGCGAACGCAATGGTATTTATGATTACAAGGCCCTACTGACGGCACTGATCGCCGTTGAAACTCCCTGGCAGGCGCTCAATTTTAGCCTTATATTCTTGTGCAGCTATTGGACCGTCGGATTCCCCAGCAGCAGCGCTTCAACAGGCATGATTTACTTCCTGTACCTGTTGCTCTCGTTCTTCACTACTGGATGGTGCTACTGGATGGCATCGATGTTCCCTAACGGTACCATGGCCGGCTACGCCAATTCACTCTTCTGGGTGCTTTTCACGTTATTCGGTGGCATTGTCGTTCCACGCAGTGCCTTGAATGACTTTTACCGTCCGTGGATCACCTGGGCCGATCCGCTACGGTACTTCTTCGGTCCTATGGTTGCTTCGAGCTTGCACGGTGTCCACGCTGTTTGCAACAAATCTGACATGGCAATTTTTGACCCTCCTCCCGACCAGACCTGTGGTGACTATGTCGAGAATTATAGTCGGTTGAATCCCGGATATTTGCAAAATCCGAATGCAAGCGTGTCGTGTGCGTATTGTCCGTACTCCGTGGGTGACGATTATGCGAGTACGATGGATTTCTTCTACGATGACCGCTGGAGAGACTGGGCTGTATTTTTGGGATTCTGTTTGACTAATATCGTGCTTGTGTTCTTTATTACGTGGTTGACTCGGGTGCAGATGCGGCGCTGGAGACGTTAGATTGGAGGAGGGGGGTGGCATTTGAAATCCTACTGATGAAGTGGTAGCTGGAATAGAAGAATGATAGAATTGCGCTATTTTGGATTACAGGGAAATCTTATTATAACGTAGTTGATAAGCGAGCGGCGCGGATAAGCGAACGGCGCACTTGGTACCTCACGACCGCGTCTCATCTTCAACTCGTGATTTCTCAACAACAACAAATGGAATCCGTTTCCAAAGAAGGTAGGCTCTTATTAGCCATTTAGTCTATCAAAAAACGCGATAAAATTAGTATTCGAGAAGCCGCTCGGATCTATAATGTGTCTCAGACAACCTTATGTGCCAGAATGAACAGTAGAAGTGCTCAGCAGGACCTTCAGCCAAATCCAACCAAATTTACAAAGCTGGAAGAGGAGGCTATTCTCCAGCATGTTTTAGATCTGGATTTGCGAGGGTTCTTGTCTAGTTGACTGATGTGGAAGATATTGTGAATCTTCTGCTTGCAGATCACAACACAGGGTGTGTGGGAAATGCTGGGCCTTGAACTATGTTAAGCAACAACCAGAGCTCAAGACATGTCTAAATCGCCTGTACAACTACCAAAGAGCCATATGAGAAGATTCTAAGAGAATTCAGGCATGGTTCAATCTTGTATGGAATATGCAAACCAAGTACGGCATTGAAGATGCTGATATCTATAACTTTGACAAGACTGGGTTTATGATGGGCGTTATACTGCCATCAATGGTGTGACGGCCCGGTCATGTTGTCTGGCTATCACGTGAGATGCAGTTGTTTGCTTTGTTGATAAATACGGCGTCACCTCCTTTCTTCCTTCCTCATGTTGATTATTCTCGTCGATAGCTACCTAGGTAGAACCCATGAGTTGGATGTTCCATTATCCTAGTAGAGCGCCGTTACAGGGAGTCAATGCAGATGGGTGGTACATCCTGCCATTTATCATACTTCAAGGAGCTTATCATTTGGCGAATTGGTACTCAGAGAGCAACCTCCCTCCAGAATGGGTGCTTGGAGCCACCCATAATGGATGGACCAACAATGAGACTGGCCTGGAATGAATTCAACATTTTGATAAATACACAGCTTCCCGTGTAAAGGGTGCATATCAGATGCTATTGATTAATGGCCATGAGAACCACCATTCGGCCAAGTTCGACCAATTTTGCAAGGCCAAGAACATCACTACTATCTGTATGCCACTGCACCCATCTCACCTTCTTTAGCTACTTGATGTTGGATGCTTCAGTCCACTCAAGCGGGCAAACAGTCGCTAGATAGAAGGACTCATCAAGTCACATGTCAATCATATTACCCAACTCGATTTCCTCATCGCGTTTCATGAAACATTCTTTACATCTATGACCAAGAAAGATGCCAAGGCAAGATTCAGAGGCTCTGGTTTAGTACCTCTGGACCCTGAAGCTGTTTTGTTAAAGCTAAATGTCAGGTTAAGAACACCAACATCATCTGACTTGCCTCCAACTTTTGCCAACCACTGGGTTTCTCAAATGCCACACAATTCAATTGAAGCGGTTTCGCAGTCTACATTCATCAAGACTCGTATCTTCTAGACACAAGAGCAGCTCTCCAGCACTAATATATACTGCAGTTGACCAACTTGCAAGAGGGACGCAAGCATTAGCCCATACTATTACCCTTTTAAATGCTCGAGTCCAATCACTAGAGAAGACGAATCAGGAACTCAGCAAGCGCTGACGAGCAAAAAAGAACCATCTACAACAGGAAGGGGTATTTTCTGTAGAAGATGGACAAGGTTTGATTAACCAGAAGGAGATTGATGTTATGGGGTTCTCGTACGAACCCAAAGGATGACAGTTTGGCTAGGGCCAGCACAGAACGCAGTCAGCAAGGGGTCTAAAACAACTATCAACAACCTTCATACGACCTGCTAACATACGAAGACTATCATTGATTCCTTTGGCCAACTCTTGACTTCCGCGAGGGATTGCTGATAACACTACTTGGAAACTCATTCCTGTACGACCATAAAAGACTACTTCCACCTCTACTCTGTTTGTTTCTTCTTCGACGATTCCTTCTTGTACAATAGAGGTTATCTTTAGGTTAAGACAATTTGAGCTCAAAGCCCTAACAATTGATGCACAACCGGAGCATGAAATACTCGAGGAGAGTAGTCGGAAAATAGAGACTGAGCCAATTCTGCGGCACTGTAGCAAGTGCGGAAAGACTGGTCAAAACTCTAGTACTTGCAAATAAGATGAAAAAATGGTCTTTTATATATACCCATAATTAAATTTAATTGATCACTGGTAATCTAGTGGTGCAATTGATGTTTGAATGTGAGGATCCCAAAAAAGTGCGCCGTTCGCTTATCCGCGCCGCTCGCTTATCAACTACGTTAGACATGTATAGAATAGGTTAAGTTAATGCTAATTAATATGGTTATAGATACAACCGTTGTCCAATAGCACACCCGATTAGTACAATGAGTTTGGGATGTCCTCCGGATCAAAGCCCGCTTCCAGCCAATGCGACATATAGTTCACCTCGGGTAATGTTGACAACGAGGGTATGAAGTCCTGCGGCCCCGAGATCGTCTGTTCCTGAACGTATGGTGCCGAGACATCTGATCCTTGAACAGTAAAACCATCCTGGTTTACTGGATTGTTGCCACTGCACGATCCGAATAAGTCATATTAGCATTATGTAATATAGAGAAGGTCCGAAAATGATGGGATTTATAAGAAACAGAGGGCGTACCTTTGCAACCACGGGAATAAGTCGACCAAGTCTTCATCCAGTTGACTATCGGCTCGGGACGACTGAAGCGCATCTTTGGCGACCTTCATGATATCCAAGCTCAAAGCCTTGCCATTGATCGGCCCCACGTGTTGAAGCTGGTCGAGGCATTGGATACCACGTTCAACTACACTAAATGTTTCCCTTGCATATTCCGGGCTCGTCCCGGGATCTAACACATCATAAAGCAACGTCACGAGAGCGGAGACTAAAAATGAAGCCATTGACCCATCGAATCTTATCTTCGGACATCGACGAGAGTAAGCGTTATGACTCAGGTCAATCATAGATCTCGCCGAAGAGATAGACGCATCGATCGAGTCATGGACATGCATCGCACCTCCTCCACGCTCCTCTGCCTCCGCTTTTGAGTTGAAAAAGGTCGCAAAGACTAGCGCTTGGCGGTGCATCAGTATACGAGTGATGTAGTAATGGCAACCCAGCAATATCCGTTGTACCTCCTGCCACCCATCACCAACAGGGATATCCGGATCGAAAAAATGCAAATATGGCGGCAGGCTGGTGGTGATAGACTCCAATTCCATGTCACATTCCATTACGGCCTGGCGAGACTTGGTTATATCCGTCACATTTGAGAGGCTTTTTGAAGAATAAATGTCCACGAAGATCCTGTCAGCAATTTTGCCAATACGAGCCAGGGCCCGAATATAACCACATTTGGTGGCCACAGAGGATTGGAAGTCCGCCACATCTGAGCCACCACTTACCCCAGGTGATGGTAGATCTTCCGGGTACGGCACATCGATCAGTTCATCCCGGAACGCCGATGGACGACCCGTATACAATGTGCAGGATCGTTCAAGGGAGTATATCACCCAGAATGTGCGTCTTAATCGATGCATTGCGAGGTTGGCGCCGTCAACGACTTGTGAGCGGTTGATCCCGAGGGCCATTGCATTGCGCGCAGCATGTCCAAGGTAGAGATAAGCATCATTAGGCCGCATTACTTGGAAACCATACATAGCCTAGAGACGATTGACTTGGTAATGAGTTATTTCATCACACATTCACGACATAGGAGCTCACCTTAAGAACCAGAAAATGCGTTGAGAGCAGACTCGGGTTCTCAAATAAATTGGTCACGTCATCAGCCTTCTTTGAAAAATATGCAGCCCAACCTTCGGACACATTGACATCTTGCCGCCCTTCAAAACTTGATACTCGCGCTCCAATTGCTAGAACCATAAGTAGCAGCTCTTCGCCTCTGAGAGGAGTTCGTTTAGACGGTGGCTGCCACATCCTGTCCCATAATTCCAGGATTTCTGAATATACTAACACCGGTATCTGTGGATGTATCAGTTCGAAAAAGGATTTGATGAAGGCGTCTCCTAACTCTCTGGGGAAACAAGCGTTGAGTTGGCAATTGGTAACATCGTTACCCGGACTCAATGAGAACATAAACCGCTCGAGGCCCCATTTACCCACGCTTTCGGGAACGGGGCTGCGCTGAGGTGTCAATAACGTTTCGTGGGTTCTGCGTTTAATACGTTGGTAGATGCGCTGGATAAAGCAGAAATGTGAGGACGGTCCTGGACCTGATTAGTGGTATGTTCAAAAGTGACACCCATTTTCTCATACAGGGTCATTTACTTACCGTAAAATTGAAAAGAGCCAGTATCTTTGTTAGAAACACCGATCCCAGCGCGCAGTTCACGCTGCCGCTTATAGTGCACCGGATCATTCAGCAAGCGAGCCGGTGCAGCATCAATTCGGGTTGCTTCCGAGACAGGTGCAGTGATATCAAGCGACGACCCAACGTTATCAGAAGAGGAGATCAATGTAGGTAGCTGCTGGTTAACGCCGCGCACTGCCTGCTTCCTCTCACGTCTCGGGTTTCGGTAGACACATGAGGTTCCGGAATGCTGGCACCCAGAGCACGGGTTCTGTCCATCACAGCGAACCTTTCGTGTGCGACATTGCTCGCAGGCAAGAGATACTCGGGGCTTGCGCTTGCTTGCAGTGGTTAAAGCCCCAGGTGAAACGTCGCTCAGTTCACGATCCATGTTGCTTCCAATCAAAGCAACAACATCTCCAGTTCACGCAGCGGAACGCAGTTTACCAATTCCGAACTCCGAGCCGAAGCTGAGTCAATATAGTCACGTGCCATAGGGCTTCCACGTTAACCCTTTTTGAGCTTATTTGGATATGGAAACCGATGCTCCTTTTTATTTATGAGGAATTGCGGTTTTAGAATTGGTAAGTATAGGGCTCAGAAGCATCGATAAGGGTTAGTTCACGATCCAATCTTACCGCCGCAATAGGTACCAAGGAACAGTCGACGTTATACACGTCCAGTTTCGACTACTTCCGTACCATAGTTGATATTCTGACATGATACTTACATCACTAGCACGAATTTACTCATTGTAGGAATTTATAACGAATTCCTCCGTTCTATATAATACCAACACCCTGTCTCGCAATGTCTAGCAACGAACAAGTACCAACAATTCCCGGTGACTACGAATATGTCATTGTCGGCTCAGGCGCAGGAGGTGGTCCTCTTGCCGCAAACCTCGCCCGACACGGCCATAGTGTAATCCTTCTCGAAGCTGGCGATGACCAAGGACATAGCCTTACGCAGCAAGTCCCCGCGTTTCATGTTGTAGCCACAGAAGATCCAGCGATCAGATGGGATTTCTTCATCAAACACTATGACGATGACGCACAGGCGGCAAAAGATCCCAAGATGACCTGGGAGGCGCCGGACGGCAAGGTGTTTATCGGAGTCGATCCTCCGCCAAGTTCAAAGCAAAAGGGTATATATTATCCGCGAGCAGGGACATTGGGCGGATGCACGGTGCACAATGCTCTGATCACGGTGTTACCACCGGATGAGCATTGGGAGCGTGTTGCTAAGATCACGAACGATCCATCCTGGGACCCCCAACAGATGAGGCGTTACTTCGAACGACTGGAGAGATGTGGCTATCTTCCAGAAGGAACCGAAGGTCACGGGTTTGGCGGCTGGTTGGAGACAAATCATGCCGATCAAATTGTGTTGACTTCAAAGGAACCATTTATTGAGGCTGCCCTTAACGCTATACCTTCCCCAGGCAAGCAGGTCATCCACGATATAAACATTCAAAAGCCTCATCAGGTCGAAGGAGTGTACCAGTTGACGTTGTCTATGAATGAAAGAGGTAGACGGAGCAGTGCTCGGAACTACTTGGTCACGACTGCCAATGCCAGAAATGCAGACGGATCCAAAAAGTATCCACTCCATATCCGCGTTAGATCTTTCGCAACGAGAATCATGTTTACCAACAGCGAAGGAAAGCCCAAGGCAATTGGAGTGGAGTTCCTGGAGGGAAAGAGCATGTACAAGGCAGATCCGACATACAACCCCAAGCACTCTGGGGTCAAGAAACGCGTTTTTGCCTCACGTGAGGTTATTGTGGCCGGAGGTTCATTCAATACGCCACAGCTTCTGAAGTTAAGTGGCATTGGTCCGAAAGAGGAGCTCCACAAGTTCGGAATTCCATTCCGGGTTGACCTTGCTGGCGTGGGTTATAACCTCCAAGATAACTACGAGTACTCAGTCATCTACCAATGTGATCAGAACATCTCTGTATTCAAGGATTCGCTCTTTGGTTCCGCCGGGGATCTGTCTCTTGCCCGATGGATTCAGGAGGGCAAGGGGCCATATAGGTCACTCGGGGATACGATGGGAGTGAAGAAGAAGTCCAAAGTCAGCGAAGACGGCGAGTTAGATCTATTCCTTTTTGGGGGAGCAAAAAAGTTCCCTGGGTACTTCCCAGGTTACTCCAAAGTGCTGGGAGGCGCCTTAAACCGATTTTGCTGGAACCTCATCAAGGTACACCCGCGCCGGTCCCAAACAGGGTCCGTCACTTTACGCTCAGCAGATCCGCGCGATTTGCCAGAGGTGAACCTCCGGCTCTTCAATGAACACGACAACCAAGACAGACCCGATCACGACCTCGTTGCAATAGCAGACGGGGTTGAATTTGCCCGCTCAATGCTCAAGAGTATTCCCGAGCCTATTGGTCCTATGATAGAAGAGTCTCCCGGTGCTTCAATCGACAGCCTCGACGCACTCAAACAGGATATCAAGGACAAAGCGTACTCTCACCACGCAACCAGCACCTGTCCGATTGGTGCAGATGGAGATCCAATGGCATGCCTTGATTCACGATTCCGCGTGCGAGGTGTCAAGGGCTTGAGAGTCGTTGATGCTTCTGCTTTTCCCCATATACCGGGACCTTTTCCTGTTCTTCCTGTTTATATGATTAGCGAGAAAGCAACGGACGTGATATTGGAAGACATACAACTAGACCTTAACGATGCGATACTTGATGAAGTGTCAGAGGACATGAAGCTGGAGGATGGCTAGTAGCTTGCATACTAGATATTTAGAATCGTATAAAAATTTGACCACATCAAGATTGCTTGTTCTCATTCAAGTAGACCGGAAGATAGACCTCTGATCCAATTGGCTGTGCCAAAGACAAACACGTGAGTTTATAACCTGACATTTGAGGCGCTGAAGTTTGCGTGTTCTTATTTGGCTTATAAAACTACATAACATATTCGGTAAGCTAGCGGGCCACTGTATTGCATTTAAAACCGCACTTTTTCAGACCTCGATGTTTCAACCATCATTACAGTATACTACTAAAATAAAATTCTGACCATTATGTACAGGCTTTTTGACACCAGACATTTTATTTTAAATTTTCAATTTTCCCTTGGCCTACAATACAATATTATGTTATATACAGCTGTATCTAAAGCCTTCCCCCTGTAATATCGAAAATTACATGTGCTATAATGGTCTAAACTTAGTAACTGTATAGATACTGTTATATCAATATAAATCTCAGATCTCGGATCCTGTGGATGTGTTGTTGTTGTGATATTTAGGTCTGAAAAGTGCCGTTTCAAATGCAATACAGTGGCCCGCTCGTTTACCGAAAAGGGATTTTCTGCTGCTCCGCCAACACTTCGCTAAGAGAGCACACTCAGAATCTCAACTCGTATGATATGCTTGGAACACTTGTACGATGAAACGCAGAGGTCGGAGTGGACCTGTACGCAAAAGATTGCGAGTCACTACAGGCTGGTATGTTATCTGCGGTCTTGTCATACATCAGGGTGCTAATATTACCAAGTAAAACTTGTCGTGGCCGCCGCGTGAAGTGCGATGAAACAAGACCGATTTGTAGCAATTGCGCGAGAAAGAATAGGCCATGCACGTATGAGGATGCTCCCAGTAGCACTGGGAACACAACTTCCGAGCCAGGGCCGCTGCGTCGTTTGAAACGCGCATATCCGCAGGATGACGGTCAAAATAGCAGGGATTTATCTAGTGGCCAACAAGATATGAGTTATCACTCCCTGGGAGCTGCGTCCTCGCAAACCCGCCTGTCACGGAGCGAGCGAAACAGGGCCGGAGTATTGCCTGAAACTCAGAGAGACGCACCATTTTCCCTAAACGGGATGGATGCGATCGATCTTCGCAGTCTGGAAATACTGACAGCTCCACATGACTCGCCCTCACCAAATCTGGCTGCCATCTTCTCGCACGTTGAAAGGCCTCCGTCCTATTCGGCGGCGGTCGAGCTGGTTCCTGTGGCCAGCTTCGCAGGTGATCGTGGCCGGCGGAACAGTGAAGACCGTTCAATACCACTCCTCGTACAGCAGCAGATCGAATTGAGTGCGGCGGAAGTAACCATTTTCCGGAATTACGTTGAACGAGTTTCCAGATGGGTATGTGAGAACTATTGCACCACACATCATACAATATGTTTACGGATACAGATCGATTCATTCTCCCGGGACCAGCCATTCTACAGGAAAGTGCCGATCATGGCGCTTCAGTGTCCTGTCCTCATGAACTCATGCCTTGCACTGTCAATGAAGCAATCAACCCTGAAGGCATCAGGAGACGAGCAACGTATTCGCGAGAATGCTGCCATTCATTATCACCAAAAAGCTATCAAGGCGCTAAGTACGCTACTGGCGGATACTGAATGTGCCTCGAGAGATGAGATTCTAGCCTCAAGTATTATCCTTTCGACGTACGTACGCACGTTAGAGCCATGGAAGATAAGCTGACTTCCACAGGTATGAGATGTTCGATGTCGTGGGCGAGAACTTCGGGTCTCATTTAGGTGGCGTCGCGTTTTTCTTACAATCTCGTCGGGTTTACGGTGATCAATGCGGACTCCAGGGCGCTGTGTACTGGACGTGGTACAGACACGAAATCTGGGCGGCCCTTCAAACCGGTCGACAGATGCTCCTCGACGAGGCATATTGGCAGCCCCCGCCTATTGAGACTTTCGAAGGTGTCTGCGTCGAGGACATAGCAAATCGCGTGATTTTTATATTTGGGCAATGCGTGTCCTTCTGCAATCCAGGTGATACGGGCGGCGGTAGTATCGACGAGAAGATTGATGCTCGGCAACGTAGAGTTACCACCTTGGATGCTGCGCTGGAGGATTGGAAACGAAAGCTTCCGTGTTCCATGTCCCATTTCTTTGCAGAGCCGACAGCATCTCGGGATCAGAATGTGTCTCATCAGTTTCCCTTTTTGTGGTTTATGTATCCACAGAGCGGTATGTTTACTGTTTCCCATGACCGTTGGCAATGATAAACTTTCCACTCACAATACCAGCCATTGCCTATCAAGTCTATCACGCCTCGAAAATCTTGCTCAACCTACATCGACCACCAATACCAGTCGAGAGCCGCGGTTTGGGCCGCACGCAGTCTCTCTGGACCCGCCGCCAAATTGAGCGATCTCGCGAGCAGATATTCTTGGTCTCGAATGCGGGCGTTCCCGACACCTGGAGCCTGGTCTCCACACAATGTCTGTACATTGCGGGACTTGTAACTGAAGGGGTGTTGGAAAGACAACGGACGCTTGAGCTGATTGAAGACTGCCAGAAGAGTTCCGGTCGACGGACCATATGTCTTGCGGACGAGCTGCGAAGACTGTGGGTTCAATGAGTCGCAGACCTTGGGGATAAACTTTGCGCATATCCTTTTATCGTCGGATTACGGTGGAGATGTGGGACAGACTTGGCGAATTGCCGTTGAGTGCGAGATCATTCATGGCTCAACTCGTTTCTCGCTCAGTTCTCTGATTGGCCAATTATGGCCCAGTCCATCATGATGTGGTCAGTCTCTCCGCATACCCCATATATCCGACATCTGTCGGGGAACTAATAGTTGTCCAGGACAGTATATATCTAGCAGGATTTACATTCAAAGCTGGCTGTATACGCATTGAGCTGTATAGAACAAGGACAGCAAATATGTCCGGAAATCACCATCCAGTCTTCCGCAAGGGAGCTACTGCTCTCATCAGCGGAGCAGCTTCTGGAATAGGTCTGGCGACGGCACAATTCTGCTACTCTCGCGGCATGAACCTCGTTCTTCTCGATGTCCATGAGCATTCATTACTGCAAGCCACCAGTCAACTCCCGTCAACTTCCGAGATCAGAACGTCAATGTTCCACCTGGACGTGGCGGACGCGAACGCCTGGAAGGTCCTACAACAGGGCCTTTCGACAATGCATCCCTCCGGGATTGATTTTCTCATGCTGAACGCCGGATGCAGTGTCGAGCCAGAGGCCGGCAAGACCGTCTGGCAAGACCCGGAGTATTTCTCGCGCACACTCGCAGTCAACACATCAGGCTACACGAACGGAATCGCAGCCCTCCTCGACACGATGAAAAACGGGACGGAATCAAAACCCCGCGCCATCGTCCTAACCGGTTCTAAACAAGGAATCACCAATCCCCCGGGTAACCCGGCCTACAACGCGTCCAAAGCCGCGGTGAAATCCATCGCCGAGCAACTATCCTACCATCTCCACGCCGACCACCCTGAAATCAGCGTCCACCTTCTCGTCCCCGGCTGGACGTACACGGGCTTCGGCGCCGGTCGGTTCTCATCGAAGCCAGATGGCGCGTGGGCACCGGAGCAAGTTGTTGATTATATGAACCGGAAGATGGCAGATGGCGTGTTTTACATTATTTGTCCGGACAATGAAGTGACCGAGGAGTTGGATCGGAAGCGGATTGTGTGGTCGGCTGGAGATATTGTATATGAGCGGCCGCCGTTGTCGCGGTGGAGGCCGGATTGGAAGGATACAGCAGCGGCAGAGATTAAGGATAAGATTACTTTGTAGAGTAGCCGGGTTTAAACAAGAACTGCAGTGGACAGTGTCGAATATCCTCAGCGGTTTCGGTGTACTTTATCGATAATGAATATCCACCAATCAGGTCACATAGCGAATTCCCTTCGATGATGACATGGATTCCAGCGCATGCTATATAAATCGCCCATGTCACTATCAAAAAAGGACAACAAGAGATATTAGTTACAGGGCAACAAGATGACTCTTCAAGGATCCAACGTGCTCCTCGTAAGCAATTCACCCCTCATGACCGGCAGCTCACTAAATGGCTTAGACTGGAGCTTCCATGGGAATCGGCTCCGCCATTGCCGAAGCACTCGCTGCGAAAAGCGCGAATTTGATTCTTTTCTCCAGATCCGAGGTACGTACAATCCCATTAAGTTCTGAATATAGTCTAATGCCTAGCAGAATAAGCTACAGAGCCTCGCGGACAAAATCAAAGAGCAGCACGCAACCAAAGTGATCTACAAAGCAGTCGACATCCAAGACTACACTGCCGTCGAAAATGCTGTTAAATCTAGTGTGCAGGAACTCGGCCAGGTCGACATATTGGTCAACAATGTGAGTACTTCACGTCTAAATACGAACTATATTCTAAAAGCAGACAGGCTGGCCTAGCCCTCGGCGCCCCATCCGCATTCCACGACCTCCGCATATCAGACATCCTAGCCATGAACAATACCAACATCAACGGCCTCATGTTTGTAACTCACGCAGTCCTCAACGCCTCAATGATCACCCGCAAAGCAGGCACAATCCTCAACATCACCTCCGTAACTGGTCTCGAGGTCCCTCCATTCCCAGGCGAAGCAGTCTATCACTCAAACAAGGCGGCACAGGAGGCCTTCACGAATGCGTTGCGCAACGAGCTGAGCGGAACGAATATCCGCGTTATGGCGCTGCGACCTGGTTGTGTGGCAACGAATTTCCATTCGCAGCGTGTTGGGCATGACAAAGAGATGTATAATAGCTTCTTCGAGGGGTTTCAGTACGTCAGTTGTATACTTGTGCCATTGGTCTTACTAACACTGCTATCAGACCTCTGGAACCAATGGATATCGCAGACTCAGCTGTTTATATGCTGGAGCAACCGTTGAATCGATCGGTGAAGGCTCTTGATGTTGTTCCTTCTGGCATGTATAGTTCATCAGCATCTACGGGACTTGAGCTAACGCTATCCAGCGCAACGATCGTTGACTGTGTTTGACCGGGAGTGGAATAAGAGAAATGCATAGTCTGGGTTTGACTATTCTTCTCTTTTAACTGATCATTTTGTGTCTGTTCAGCAGTAAGACATTTGTTTTTATACATGGCACTCTTTGAAACGGCTCTCTCCTATAAAGAACCTGCCGACTTCTTGAAACGGGAAGCAGCCATGGATAAGATTGGCTGGGACAGTTTTGAGTAAATCCTAATCCGAATCCTGAAACGGGTGAAACGGATAAGCCAATAAGGCGGTTAAACTCCGAGTCGGGGAAGTCGGGAAGTCGATTATCCGGACTGCACGAGGCTGTATAGGAAGAGGGAATCTAGATTACACGGAGGGTGGCATTGATATCCATAGACACCATAGATGGTAGAATGAGTGCTTGGCTATCTAGACGAGTGTGTCCGTATATGAGGATCTGTCGGCCTCGGTAATCGGACCAGCTATTAATCCATCTCGACTTTCATCAACGGGGAAGCTTCGGGGCAGCGATGTCGATTCTCCAGATAGCCGTACGAGGCCTATATGACGACCCAGAGCTATAACGATAGTATCGCGCAGTAGACAGTATACGTAGTATTGAAGTTATCGTAGGGTGCTTGCTAAACCAAGAGCGCTTCATCGCCGTGCGATGAAACCTCTCCGAAGCTCGATAGATCGGTCCGATCTTCATCCGATCTTTATCATTTTAATCAGCCTCTTACCGTTGGCAGACACCACTTCCGGTCTTGTGGGAAGATCATGCCAAGGCCCTTGCTCTATGGGTACCAACAATAGCGACCTTCCTGACTGGGCTGTCGTCCTAGGAGGAGGCAACAAGAGGAGTAAGAGGGTGGGCGCCTCAGTGCTTCTTGGTCATTCAGGTCGCCACAATTATCCTCAAATTTGGTACACAATGCATTATTGAGAATTATTGAAGTTGCGCCCGTGGTTCTGATGCTCAAGGGAACCGAGAATCCACTGGTGGAGTTTGATACAAGACAGGACCAAAGTATGGTTGTATGGAGTACTCAGGGGTATCCGCCGTTGTCGCTGCCGTGTAGCTCAGTAAGAGTGGATTATAACCGTTCCCGACCAGAATTTGGTCATTGTACATGCTTTTCATATAGAGTTGAGTTTACAATGTACAGTTAACTTCCATGATTCTGTCTTTTCATCTCAGTGATCCTCTCCCCCGGACCGGGACAATGGGGCTAGATCAGCACAGGCCATGCTGGTCAAGAAAATAGGGTACAGTGTACGAAAACGCTAGACCCGCTGAGGTAAATACTAGGGGTAAATCATCCAAATTAGGCAAGAGGAGCAAGCTTTGCTAGTGGAACAACCAAACTCTGTTCGTCTCGTGTATTCTTTTAATCCCGCCCCTGCCCCCCCTCACCTTCGTTCTGATCTTTGTTTCGGAGTCTTCGTATGCAGCATCATGGCTAGCCCCTACAGCAAGGCTATCACCGTTGTTACCGCTGTCTTTCTCGGCATTTCGCTGACAACGGTGCTGCTGCGATGTTTTGTGCGATTCCGTGTGGTCCGAGCCTTTGGCTGGGATGACTCCTTGATGGTCATTGCAGCAGTGAGTTTTGCATTTCTTCCTGATGAAATTGTGATATAACTGACCCTGGGTCCTGTCAGATGTTGAATATCGCGTTTGCAACATGTGGCTTTATAGGCGCAAAGTATGGCATGGGCCAGCATCTCGAATATTTCCTCTTCCATTCCGATGATTTCCACAAAGCATTATTTGTATGACCTCCGGCTCCCTATCCTTAACATGCTCGGGCTAATCATATGAACTAACAAAACAGTGCTTCTGGCTGGGTCAACTTTTCTACATAGGTATAGCGATTATCGTCAAAACCTCAGTTGCTCTGTTGTTACTCCGTATCACGGTCAATCGCATCCACATTGTCATTCTCTATATCACCATGGCAATCAACATGATTGCTGGATTGATTTTCATCTTTGTCACCATCTTCCAGTGCTCACCCGTCAACCACTTTTGGAACCGCCTGGATCAGGACTATGGCAAATGTATGGACATTGGGATCCTCATTGATTTTGCATATCTGTGCAGTGCGGTTGCAGCCCTTACGGACTTTATAATTGGCCTGTTGCCGGCATTCATAATATGGAACTTGCACATGGCACGGCGAAATAAGATAGCTGCGGGCATGATTCTGAGTCTGGGCTGCATGTTCGTTCCCCCTTCCCCCGTCGTGCCCGCACCCATGGTCTATGGAACAAAACTAATATAAATTGCATTACAGAGCAGGTATCGCTGTCTTAATTCGCTTCCCCTTCCTCAAACACTATGGTGACAGGGACTTCCTCTATAAAACCGCCAACGTCGCCGTCTGGTCGAACATTGAAGCTGGCCTGGGTATCACTGCTGGATCCCTGCCAACATTACGCCCCCTAATTCGATTCTTCCGCGAAGCTTCCTACGGCTCCTACGGCTCCTACGGCCGCCACCAAGACTCATTTCCACTGTCAACTACCCTGGGGAATAGCACACCAGTCCCGCACTCCAAACTGGCACAGGAGGGTGAACAGCATTTCTGGCCCGGTGGCAGAGATATTGAGTCACATGGGGTGCACACGGTGGTGGTAGGGAATGGACGGGTTGCAGTTGCACCGGCGAATAGCAGTGACGACGACTTGAATACGGTGATGGGGAGTCCCGATTTGGGACCGATGCGAAAGGAGTGATCTTTTCTTTCCCTCACCTTCCCTTCCTTCGTTGTCATTTCTCTCTTTGCTATCCCTTTTTTGTTTTGTTCCGTATACCCATGATTGTATTGTATTGTATACCCATGATTGTACTGTATACCCACGATTGTACTGTATACCCGCAGTCCTATCTTGTTTCTTCTACCAGTATCCCGAACCTTAGCTGAGAAGAGGCGTGCTTTTATGGATCAATAGCGATCCACGCCACCGACGGCTTCTTGGGCTCTTGCTCGGGACCGAGACTTGGCTCATCTCCATTCCCAACCCGGCGAAAGTATGACTTCGCGCCAAACAAACACCTCTTTCTCGACCGCGACGAATTCATCAAAACAGGTTCCACTTTCTGCCAGTGCCAAGGTCTCGTCACACTTTGCACTACCACAAACCAAGGAAGCATGATGCGCCGCACCCGCGTGGCCGGGCCGGTGGATCCGTGCAGGAGGCCGGGTTGAGAGATGCGGGCCCTCGAGAGCGAACGCGACTGAGCCAAGCGGGGATGCAGCAGTGCTGGCCTGAGATTACGTTTGTAAAGCTCTCCTCGTCTTCTTCATCCAGAGACACTGATCCCTGAATGGTGTTAATTCTCCCTGTCTCCACGGCTCACGCCCGGTCTCCGGGGACGGTGTGCTTGGCGGCTGTGTATATGATGGAGTAGCCGTTGAATAGATCGGGGAAGGCCAGTTTATCTGCATCACGAAGCTCGAGCTACATAATCCTTTTCTGGGGCGCAACGATCTTTGGCTATCTTTGGCCAGGAGTGGGACAAGACGGTTGAACCTCTAAAATCGTTGGTTGATTCCAAATGTCGCACGTAAGCCGCCGGCTTTTCTCCGTGTCCAATAGAAGTTTAGTATCTGGCCCACGTAAGCTACCAGTAACCGATCCTTCTCTGCGCTATCAAGACGCTCTGCATAGCATCTGTGCTTCAATAGATAAAGCACTGTCAGCTCACATTGAATGGAACACTGCATCACGGCTAAAGTACAACCTAACTAGTCCGCCAATGCCCAACTGCCAGTTCTCTCAAGTCCTCGACTAGTCCACTCGGGTGCTCGAGTGCAGCAAAATGACCGGCATTGTCACGCTCTGTAATGCGTTAGAACCACGTTAAAGAGAGTCCGCATAAAGTAGTACACACCTCTGTAAAATACCAACTCTCCCGTCCGTTCAACTGCCCTTTTCGATGAAGGCTCTGTATCCCAAAAGAACGACGTATACCCAAACGGAACCTTAATCCGATTCTCCGGCTGCACGACAAACTCGGCGAATTTATCGTGCTCCACATTCTCGTAGTACGGCAGCATGGATGTCATGATGCAGTTGCTAAAGTAATACAACGATGCGGTTGTGAGGATCGCGTGCGTCCATGAGGGATCGCTCTGGTTTTCGGGGTTGGAAGCTTCGATGAATTTCTCGCCTACCCACATCAGGATGCCGAGGGGATTGTCGTGGAGGGCGATTCCGATTGTGTGTGGCTGGGTTTGTTAGTACTGACTTGTCAAAACAGGGCGGAGACAAACCCGAGTCCTCATACACACAGCATATCCAATATGGTTCTCAAGCCAGTCGTTCTCCCGGTTCACAGTGGCCTTCTCCCGACCCGTATACTCCACGCCAGGAGGCAACGGACTCGGAGCAAAGTTGAAGTGCACCAACTTGCACGAATCTGTGTACTTTGACGCAAGCTCCCGACCGACAAAGTGTCCCCAGTCTCCGCATTGCACCATGTACTCCTGATATCCCAGCTTCTTCATCAACTGATCAAAAACCCTGGCCGTATCCTGCAACGTCCACCCGGAGCGACGCGGACCATCCGACCAGCAAAATCCCGGTAAACTGGGAACAACCACATGAAACGCGATGTCCTTGTCATCAGACGGACGCGACAAAGGACCCCAGACTCGACTAAACTCCCAAAACGAACCCGGCCATCCATGTACCAGCAACAACGGGATTGCATCGGGACCTTCGGCACGCGCGTGCAGAAAGAATATGTTGAGGTTTTCAATCAAAGTGGTATACTGGGGGTATTTGTTGATGTCGTCTTGCACGGAATACCAGTCGAAATCGTTTGTCCAGGTATTGTAAAGGTTTTGCGCCCATTCGTAGGGCGGGCCTATTTTCTCAGCGGAATGGTGACGAAAGACGAGATACTGGGGCACGACGTACCGTAGCAACACTCCGCATCGACAACAATTGGTCCTCCGGGGAGTCTTGTGTCTTTCAGTTTTCGGCCCAATCGGTCGACTTCTTCTTTGGATGTCCGCCATGTCGGATATATATCTTGCTTGTCACAAACCGCAAGGATTGATTAGGGGCGCAATTGGGAGATGTAATTGTAAATCCACCACAAGACAGAATTACAGATTTACATGCGGACTCTATATACTACAACATCGCTGGCGAATAGACCATCCAGCCAATGACGGTCGGAAGCGAGGTACCCAAGATATAGTGACGTCACGATTATTTAGTTGCATTAACTGGAGAATATACACATCGCTCTACTATGCCCGTATAGAGAAGCTCATTGTAGCAGCTTAGGCAGATCGTCCACCGATGAGGAACCCTCGATGATGCCTATCATTGGTCAGTGCGCATCGTCACGCATGAAGGCGAGAAACTTACCGTGCACCGCATTGAAGAGAGGAAACTCCTCGGTCTTTCCATGCTTCGACAGAAATTCCCAGACCGACTGGGCCGTACCAAGACCTTGTAGTTTCTGACCGTTAAGTTCCGTCTTCTCAATCTCCTCTACAGAAACCCCCTTCTCCACGGCGTGGCAAGCGGAGCGGAAGTTTCTACCAGCCGTGCAGGATGCCACTAGATCCGCGACACCGGCGCTTTCGACGGTAAATGTCCGCTCGTCAACAGACTGTGGGAACCAGGTTTGGCCGAACTTGACCATTTCAAGCACACCCTGCCGGAGCACGGCGGCCTTGGTGTTCTCTCCCCATCCCTTGGCTTGTACGAAACCCGTCGCTAGTGCCACGATGTTCTTCAATGCACCGCCCAGGGACACACCTGCTGCGTCTGGCACAACATGAACCTTGAAGTACGGCCTCGAGAACAGCAGGTCCCACAGTTTACCATCGACATGAGGGTAGTCCTGGGGCACGGGTTGTAGCTTGACGTGCGTAGGCTTGGTTTTATCTTGCCGTTGCTCGTCGACCTTGACCAGGTTATCCTTGGGCGATCCATCGTCAGACTTCAGATCCATGGGTGGAGGGTCGTAGCCGATCGTCGTCTCGCAGAATCTCTCCGCAGCTACTTCCGTCGCGATGTTGGCGCCCGACAAAGAACCGCAATAGATAGCCAGTTTCTCCATGATCAACTCCGAGTATAGCGTAACCGTCGCGTCCGAAACATCCACACCCTTAATACACGAGATCCCACGCGCGTAGGGCACAATTTTCCCTTGCACCTGCTCCAGTGTCTTCGAAATGAACTGATGCGGGAGGTTGAAGATCAGCAACGTTGCGCCGTCAACCGTCGACGGCAGATCAGGGTTTGCGACGAGGTTATCGGGCAATCGGATATTAGGCAGGTACTTGATATTCTCGTGGGTCTCGTTGATAAGCTGGGTGAGTTTGTAGGTTTTATCGCCGTACTTGCTGCGGTGTTTCGAGGACTCGGGAACCTGGACATCTTCGTCAAACACCCACATCTGGACTTTTTCGTCGAAGACATCGGTATGCGCTTTCGTGTTCTCCGCAACGATTTTGGCGATCGTCGAGCCCCTGTTGTTGTTAGCTATGGGTGTGAGGAATTAGCGAAGGAGTAGATACCAGTTTCCGGAGCCAACGACGGCAACTCTGTGTTTCTGCGGCATCTTGACAATAGCTCGGTGTGATAGATTCAGATTGTGTATATCAACCTAGGTGAACCTGGAAGGACTGAATATATACCGCGCCGGTAATTGGATGTCATGCTTGCATTAGACCCGGAAACCGGTTGTATCAGAGCTGAGGTCGACTCGGGGGAACACCCAACGATGACGTCATGTCACCTCCCGACGAACCCTTCTGCTCTCTTTTTCAATTTTCTTAGCACTGCTTTATCTGTAGGATAATACCACTTATATGACTTAGCACCGCAACCCCGTGTGCCTCAATAAACTGATCTAGTCCGTACAAGCGTCAATTCATAGTAACAAGTAGACCAATCAGCAGCCGCTATAACCGAGCCAATAATATACCAGAATTACCTGTGCTCAACGATGCCTCCCTTCACTAACAGCTGAGATAGAATTCCCGTTCAATTGTCTATCTCTAGGTGGATAACCATAGGAATAAAGGCCATTATCCAGAGACGCAGTTTTAAATTCAAGTTTCTTTGGTCGTACGCCAGCACAAAACGTCTTCCCACGACCAGTGTCACGGCGCTCTACTAGGATAATGGAACATCCAACTCATGGATTCTACCTAGGTAGCTATCGATGAGAATAATCAACATGAGGAAGGAAGAGAGGAGGTAATACTGTGTTTATCAACAAAGCAATAAAGCAAACAACTGCGCCTCACATGATACCCAGCCAACATGACCAGGCCGTCACAACCAGTATATCAGACAACCGGAACAAGACAGTTATCCTTCCGCGGCTTAAATGGAGAGTGCACAAGACGGGGCAAGAAGTCCTACCTATTACTGGATGACCTCGAATGATTTGTTATTGCTGCAGTCAGCGCAAAACTTGCTGTGTATCCCGTCCTCCTACATCCGAAGGATAGCTCTGGTCACCCCAGTCATTCCAACTAGGTTCTGAAAACCCCCCAAAAAAAACTTTTGGCAGTTGAAGTTGAGGTAAATCTTATGCAGACGGGAAAGGCACCTTACTAGAGATGGGTGATACAGAAAACATTGGTCCATAAGTCCAAGGGACACCTTTAACAACCTGTCAACTCCATCGAGAACCTGTTTCTGTTGCGGAGGTTTTTGTGATCCTTGCACGCTGATTCGAGTAGGATAGGGGAATATGAGCATTGTCTGATGGCACCATTCGTTTGAGGTTTGAGGATGATTATTTGGATCGTTATTGGTTTCTGCATGCCAATTAACAGTTTATGATACGGAAACCTGTAGTACGATAGCCGCTTGGAATTGAATGCACTCTTTGGGTATACTTCAAGATTCCCACATTACGTTGAGCAACGCCATGTCTCTTAGGTCGCTGGGTAAGAATCACCCAGTTGCAAGGCCTGAGAGAAGGCAAGACCGAGAAATAACCCTGAAAACGATGAGATGGTCGTCTACTGCAATCCATGTTCGCGAGCCAGTGACTCTGTATGCTTGATTGCTTTTCCCTCTCGACTGTGTGAGAAAATATTTGTATTCATGCCATTACTTTACGACCAGTACCCTGATTGCTACCCTACGACAAGCTCATGACTCTGATTTACTTAGCTACTAGGCTTTACTTTACAATGAGAGTATGTCTTCATGAGTGGTACGGGCTCAGGTAGCTCTTAAATTTGTGTATGCTTAGTACCAGTGTCTTAAGCTGGCGTATTGCTACTACATCATTCTTTCAGGTAGACACGATTTACCATTCTTATGAGCTTTCTGGCCACTTTTCGTCTTGGATACGCATGTACGACACGACTGAGTACATTTAGCTTGATTCAAGGTATAATTCATGTATAACACTATTTTGAGAGCCCGTAGTAGGTTTACTGGTTGAGAATGTCCGTCCTTCAGGCCCAGTCCGCATCGGGAATTTTCCAGACTCGACTAACAAAATACAAACACAACAGAAGAAACGCAGCCTATAACTATGGGAATAACTGACAAGAGGTGTAACAGGAGATAAAACAACACAACAGACGCTCAAGGTGGACTGATACATCTCTTCACAAAACTCGTCCAGTGACCGCAGATGAGAGGATTCATAGTTGTTAATGGCGAGGTAAGCAAGTTGTCATGTAGAAGCAGAAGAGATCATTCCGTAGTCGTTTTAAACATGATAGCGGCCCTGGTCCTTTTCGTCTGCGCTAGGAAGTACCACCTAGAGGCCATTTAAGTTGTTGGAGACCGGGGGGGGGGGGTGTTGATGTGTCTGAGGACCGGGAGAGTCACGGACATAGTACCGTAATTGTCTCATATGTAGTATAAAACCATAATGGTTCAAAGGAGGCTGTTTGTATGAGGAAGAGTAGCGGAGCAGGATGGAGAGGTATCAAATGGGTGAGCAGATGAGGCGCTAAACCGAATTAGCAAGGAGCATGACATTGCGAATTCATTTCTCGACAGCTAATCTGTATACCACTCTTTTCGCCCTTGGTGTCCAGTCTGATGTCGATATCTCATCGCTTTTATCGACGTCTCTATGCCTCACGTGCCGTTGAACAACCCGAGGTCTACGCGACGCACTTAATTCAACCCCTGTTTCCCCGACCTCCATACTGATGCGGAGCTCGTTCAGCTACGGGATCACCTACGCAAATTACCTCGATACTCACCACGAGTCCCAGTCCTATGCCTTCCACCTCATTGGCCCAGGTGCCACAGCCAGACGAGGCTGTTGCAGAGACCAGACGACCCCACGCCGCATTTTGTACTCGACGAGGGTGCACAGACGACCGAAACCCGATCCTCCGGTCGACTTCACGTTGCTGAGTTGTCATTTACACCTACCAGCCAAGCCAAAATTGCCATCACAAAAGAAACTATCAGGGGGACGGTATTTCCAAGACAATCAAGACAAACACCACCACACGACCCCTATAAAATCTCTTCCTAAGATAGTAGCCTCTCGATGAAAATATCAAATATGGAGAAGAAAAGTAGGAGAAGAGAAAGCTATCTACAGGAGAAAGCAGGTATTATCTATGGGTTGTGTGGCTGCGTTAAGTGCTTTCTTTGTTTGCTTGCTTGGATGGTGACGTTTAGGTGTTGAGACATTACAACAGCACCAACTGCCAGGCAGTGGCTATGATGCCCTTTGGAATTCCCAGCACTGTGGTTATAAGGGGCAAATAGTTTAGCCCAGAAATGGTGATTGCAGAAAAGGTCGACAGACGTCTATTGGGAATGTTTTATGCGCACACAAAGACCGCCAGTGATAATGTCCTTGGATCCAAGAGGTAATTCTCAGCTGATACCCTTTGAAACCTCTATCCTCAGTACCCGTATTGTTTGCTCGAATGCGCTGGATGGTAATGTATTCCTCAGAATCTGACAACCACCGACACTCCACTGGCTTATCAGGAAAGAACCCATAATGAAAATTGTCCATAATGCTGAAAAGGTGACCAAGGCAATAAGTAGAAGGCACCATGGCACAAGGGCAGTATTGACGTGACCAATCCCATAAGAGACTAAGCCTGAGGAGACTGAGAACTATCTATAAACACCCCAGCGTTGGTACTTTTTTCAAGCCGTCGAAGCGATGTACCTACCTGGTTTTACCGGAATGCCACGCAGATTGGCTGTTTGGCCTTAGTATACCACATGAAGGTCACTATATCGTGAATTTGATATTCGGAAGTATTAGAAGCTTTTGGCATGGTTGAGGATGAGAATAAGAATGAGAATTTGCTTTAAGACGGAATTTGCATTAGACTCGGAAGCACCAACCCCAGAAGAATGGAGCGACTCGAGTACATGGACAAAGCTATACTGAATGACCGATCATTGACCAACTATCCTCAACCTAGCTATATAGCTAAGCCCATACGTTTGGCTCTATCTTATACAACATTCAGTTCTTCGCTCTTCTTTCCAACCTGCATTGGCCCAAACGCCCTTTCTGTTTTGCGGAACCAGTAGTCGAATGTGGCTGCGACAATGCGCCCTTGCAGAAGATAGTCATGGGCCTCCTGCGCCAACGCACCGGGCACGGGCTTTAGCGGCCCATATGCACGAGCACGAAGTTGGATGCGAGCAGCACGCTCAAGGTACACACACAGGTAGGTAGCCTCCTCGATAGTCGTTCCGGCTGTCAACATACCATGGTTGGCAAGGACGATTGAACGGTTGGTGCCTAACGCGCCGCTGATGATCACGCCCTCTTGGTCTGCGATGGGCACACCAGGCCATTCTTTTAGAATAGTGCAGTCGTTGTAGAAAGGAGTCATGTCCATCTGCGAAACAACGATGCCCTCGCCAGCAGCTGCAAGAGCCTGGATCCAGGGCGAATGAACGTGAACAATGCTCTGGACATCGGGTCTGGCGGCATAAACCCACAGGTGGAATCGAGTGGCAGGGTTGGCCATGCCGGTGCCGGTAATGGTGTTGAGGTCTTTGTCGACCTCAATGAAGTCTTCTGGCTTGGCTTCCTCCCAGCCAACGCCGAAGCGGAGGGTCCAGTATACATCTTGTGACCGGGAAGAGCGAGCAGTGATTTGACCAGCAAGCCCAGCGTCCTCCTGAAAATTCGCTATGATGCGAGTGGCACAGGCCAATCTTTCATTCAAAGTGCGCTTTTTCGTAATCAAGTTCCGTTCCATTTCACTGGTTGCCCGTTGATCAAAGTAGTCCTTGGAGCGGAGGTCCTCGTCCACGGAAGTTGGTGCCATGTTGCGTGATGTGTAAAATAGAAAGGAGTGTGTTCGGTTGCTTCGAGAAGATGATTTTGAACGAGTTCGGTGTCTGTTTAGAAGAATCCATGATGGAAACAATGGGGGTTATGAAAGGGATCTTTATACATGATGAACTCCTCCCTGTCTGTATCGTGATAGCGAAGTATAGAAGTTCTCAAAATTTAGGAGCCGCAAGTGATCTTCATCTGACTATGCGAGCCAATCGGATGGCTAGAAATATGCGAGCCAATCAGATAGTCAATATGTAAGCCAATCATAGAACCAAAGATGTGAGCCAATCATAGAGCCAGAGATGTGTGAGCCAACCCCTAATCCATGTTATCTCTCGCCTCCGCTATCTGTCTAACAATACTTGCGCGATGCCGGTCAAGGATTCACTCATACAGGGTAGAAAGCCTGTCGGTCTGGTAAAGACATAATGGTGATTCGGGGGAGGGACAAGATATGATCCAATTCGGTCAGAAAACCGAATCTTGAAGACCTTCCGTACGTACAACAAGCCCATGCCTTTTATATTCCCAAGCAGATATCTATCAAGTGACGTCGCTGGTGGCGTTGCACCGTCAGACCTCGGAAGGCACTAGCCCGTGACCCCCGCGTTTGGAAAGGCTTCATACATGTTGGAAAAGGGGAACCGACCCTTTACAGCCGCTGAATACTAGCCAAGTTACTCTCGCTTTCTCACAGCCCCGACAACGCGAGCCAGTCGTGCAGGTTGTGCATTATTGCTATGGATGAGTTGATTTGTCGTCTCCTTGCATGCTTGCGCTAATTTAACCTCACCCCACCCATGTCTGCGCGTGTGCCCCTTTATGTTGCTGCACGATCAACTGCAAAGCAGAAAAGACAACGGACTCGGTCAGGTACTATATCCCTCAGTTGTGTGTTCTTTTTCCGGAGCGTGGGAGGTAGCCTAACCAACATTCTAGGCTGTCTCGTATGCAAGCGAAGAAAGGTCAAGTGTGATGAGGGGAAACCTTCATGCGGCCATTGCCGTGCCAAAGGTCTCACCTGCACCTACGACCGTAATGCTACGCGGGCCCGCATAAACAATGGCGCAAGGAATACTTCCACGGTTCTGGGGTCGATCCAAGCACCTACGGTTCGGGGTTCCTCTTGGGAGTCAGTGGATCCTGACAAGGTTTCTCACTCCGTTCGTGACCAAGATGTCGCGAACTACCAGGTCGAAGAGCCACTCGCCAAAGCTTTCTGCGCGCAAATGACCAGGAATATCATTCGGAGTGTCGACTGTCCGGGAAATCCTCATTTGGACGTCTTCAAATGCCTCATGCAGTCTCCAACAGTGCTACACGCATCACGAGCACTGGCGAACCTTAATAATTTCGCGCCCACGTTATGTCCTGAAGAAGTTGCCCGCAACCGAACAGTCAGTTTGAAGCACCAAGGAATGGCGATCCAACTTCTCAAGCGCGACCTTCAAATCCCTAGATTGGCCCATACGGATGCTGTACTCGCAGCGACTATACTGCTTTATCTGTTCGAAAAGGTAAGTCCTCATCCCTCCACGTAGAAACAAGCGTGCTTATTCGCGGTAGGCATATGATGCCGACAACGAAAACCATTCAAGTTACTTTGAAGGAGCTCGTGCCCTGATTCACCAACGCTTCTTCACCGTAAAAGACGTAGCTCCGCAAGGCGACGAAGTTTCGTGGGCTACAAGGCTTCTGGTGAAAACATTCGTCTGGCATAATGTAACGATTATTGTGTCTAAGCCGTTCTTGTTTCAGGACAGGGACATCGATATTCTTAGGCTGACGGACTTGCTGAATATAAAGAGTGAACAGAATCTTTATTTGCTAGGCTGGGCGAAAGATGCATTCTGGTTTATGACCGATCTTGCTGCTTTCACTCAGAGCCTACTAGCTGGTATGCCGCCAGACCAAGATAACGCTGCATGGAGTATGAGGATGCTCCCTAGAGCGATGCGCGTCGAAAAAAGGCTCAAGGCGTACACAGTGACTATAGATTCGGTGAAATATTATATGGGAAAGGTTGAGGTTGCTGAGGACACCACGAAACATTGCCTATGGACAATTGAACTTCTACGCCGAACCTCACTGCTCTATCTTTACCAGGTGATGCCGGAATTGATGCCATCGTTCTTAGTAGACGACTTAGCTCATGAGTTGCTCCAACAATTGCACACCATTCCGAAAGACAGTCCCATGATAGCATACCATGGCTGGATTCTGCTCACTGTCGGCGCACAGTGCCTGGACCCTATAGACCGTCGTTTAGTGCTCGAAAGATTGGAGCTCAGCCACGGCAAATTTCAGCTCTCGTCCGTCGCCACCAATGCAACGAAACTCCTTCTAGAGGTAAGTATCGGCTTATTTTTTTAATTCTATTTTTTCAATAGGATATTTACTTACATGGAGAAGGTCTGGAGGCGAAGAGATGAGCGACTTAGGGACGGAAATTATACGAGTCGTGTGGGTATCGGGCATTGGACTGATGTTCTGAGAGATATCGGACCAAATCTAGCGTATGTATAAAAGTCACCGTTAGTGGCTGCTACTGGCCATCCATTCCAATAAAATTTTCGTATAAGTCAACAGGTACACGACAAAAAAATTATCCGATTGTGATTTGCTTCTTTCTAGATAAGCAACATCCATGAATGTGAACATTAGCGCCATATCGTTGATCACCAACAGCTTTATACCAACGAAAAGCCTTCGCTTATTTTTATCCCATCCAATTGGCTCGCTTTCAAGATACCATCTTCAGGTACCTCTTATCTTAGACCCGATTATGCACCTACAACAGACTGGTGGATCGATAGCTGGGCAGATAACAAAAAGACAATTCCGAGAGCCACGAACTCAACAGCTCTATTTAGGGGCCCGGCGGGCTCAATGGTGGCTGTTCAAGACTTTAAGATTGCTGGAAAGGGTTGTGAATGTTGATAAATTGAGGGCTTTGTTGAAGATAATCCCTCATTTCCCCTGGTTGTAGGTAGTAGTGACTGGTAAGGAATGTTTGAAAGAGGGTTCTGTGATAGAGTGAAAAAATGCCGCATACCATGACTACATTGTACATAGCAATCGGCTTTGGATGGTATTATATAATATGGAGGTTGGAATGCACTATTTTCGCGCACAGAGGACGGTTGTCTCGAACTGTCCCCGGGCACATAAATACTTAACGACGATGGCCCGTCGTTTAGATCGTCAGGACCAATATATTGTTCGACATTATTCCTTTTTTATTCCTTATTCTTTACGATGTCGTCCAAGACTCCATCAGAGAAGGCGCCCCCAAACCCTACTATCTCGGCGGATAAGGCTGAGAGTGCACTTGAGGGGACATACTCAAGTACTCTTGACCCTGCTGCCATCAGGCGCTTGAACCGCAAGCTCGACCTCCATGTGTTGCCGCCATTGTTCATCTTGTATTTCCTGTCGTTTCTCGACCGTGGAAATATTGGTAATGTGAAAATCCAAGGCTTCGAGAAATCGTTGGGGATGTCTGGTCAGGACTACTCGATTGCACTATGCATCTTTTTTGTCCCATACATTCTTTTCGAAGTTCCGAGCAATCTGATCCTCAAGTGCTTGTCACCAAGAATATGGCTTAGTATTCTCGTTACCGGTTGGGGTCAGCGAGTTGTCCTTGTTGCAAGGAATTTTCATGTGCTGAGTTTATCTAGGCATCATTACCATGTGTCAAGGTTTTCTTCACAACTTTGGTGAAATTGTGGCACTTCGAGTTATCCTAGGTGTGTTTGAAGCTGGAGTGTTCCCTGGTGAGCTATAACCCCGAGTGTGTGAAATGGCAAAGGCCGGTATACTGATCCCATGTGAAGGTTGCATGTATATACTAGCGATGTACTATCCACGATACGAGCTCCAATGGCGCTTTGGCATGTTTTTCCCTTCTTCGACCCTGGCGGGTGCTTTTGGAGGCGTAAGAATTCTTCAAACTCCTCACGTATTCTGTGTGACTAACTGACAGCCCCCTTCTAGCTTCTAGCATACGCGATTGCCAAAATGGATGGCCTAAAGGGCCTCGAAGGCTGGAGGTGGATTTTTATCATTGAAGGTGTCATTACAGCTGCGTACGGTATCTGCGTGAAGTGGCTCGTGGTCGACTGGCCTAATGAGGCAAAGTATCTGAACGACGACGAAAAGTCACTTCAAAAAGCGAAGATGACGCAAGATGATGGTGAAGCTTCCATGGATAGACTCACGCCAGCAGCGATGAAGCGCATTTTTCTCGATTGGAAGATCTATCTCGGTTGCATGCAAGTCACTCTCCTCATCCCCTCAATCCAAAATCAATGGGTTAATGAATCATTTAGAATGTATATCGGGGCGATCAATACTACATATGCTGTCTCTTTCTTCGTGCCAACTATCATTGCCGTGAGTCGCGCTGTTGACAATCCCTCACTCTCGCTAACAGACCGCACAGCAACTGGGTTACACGGCTTCTGATGCACAGCTCCGAACTATTCCGCTATATATCGTTGCCGTCCTCATTCAGCTCTTATTAACATACATGGCCGATCGACTTCGAAACAGATGTTTCTTCGCTCTATTTTCAATTCTTTTCGGCATCGTCGGATACAGTATTCTCCTCGCAAGCTCTTATGTATCCATCCATATCCAATATTTTGCATGTTTCCTCATCACGATAACCGGGTATACAACCCTGCCGCTCGTCCTAGCATGGGCTACCAACCAGGTACGCAAACCATCTCAGTATTAGTACCCAGTTGGAAGATATCAGCTAATAGTGTACTTTTAGCTTGTCGGTCAGTACAAACGATCAATCGGTGTGGCTATGGTTATCGGCGGAGGGAACTGCGGTGGGATCATCGCGAGCAACATTTTCCTCGACTCCGAGTCCCCGTATTACAAGACTGGGTTCTCGGTTTGCCTCGTTCTGTTGTTACTAACCGCCCTGGCGTCAGCTGGATTTGCTATTGGGCTTGCCATGGAAAACAGAGCTCGAGACCGCGGTGAGAGAGACTACAGACTGCAGGATCAGAGCGAGGCGAATAATCTTGGGGATGACCATCCGAGTTATAGATATGCTTTGTGAGCTGTTGCCAAAAAGTATATATAGAATATATATTATAGAGTTGTGCCATAAGCGTGTCTTTTTGTTCTCATTCACGATTATAATTACGTGCTAGGAGCCATTTGGGTTTCCTATAAACCCTAGTGTCTATACAAATTGGCAATATAAAGTACTCTTATTCTTCCTGACAACAATAGCCTTAGGATGTTTGAGTCATAGCCTTGTTCCGCAACAAATAGAAAAATAATCAATGCTGATATGTACAAAATCCACAGAAAGCCGCATGGATTGTCGTTATGATCATATAACCCTTGCCCAGGCCGTGCCGGGCAAGGGGCCCGGAAAATCAGAAGAGTGCCTTGGAGGAAGCACCAAATGCAACATCGGAGGAGACAAGGGTGAGAATGGAATATGATGGTGGTGCCTGCGCTAAGGATGCTCTTAGTAGCGACCAAAACACTCGTACAGCAGAGTTTTCGGTTCTTGTTTGTGCTGGGCGATCTCTTAGTGGAGCTGTCAATTGGGATGCTGCTCCCGTGGTTGTTGTGTCCGGCTTCTAGTTTCTCTGCGGCGAGGTTTGTCAGCACCAATATGGTCTTTCTTTTATACGCCACCTTTGACAGTGAATAATGGTCGACAGGAGTGTAGCCCTCCTTCGACAGGCTGGTGATGGTGGCAAGTCTAATACCTCTAGGATCATCAAATCCGAAATCAGGGTGATCGGGTGAGCACCGGTTAATTACCAGAGTGACACTCCTCCCATCATTGTGCCGCTGATCGTTTTCCGAGCTCAATTGGTCGTTCAATTTTGATGTCATAGTCAATTTGGTTGGGTCGAAACGGGCCTCGATGAGGAAATTCATGATGACCGGAAAGGGACGGCCTGCAACAATAAAGCTTGCCCTGTCCCTGGTCTGAAAAGTGGTGTATTGCAAGAATATATGCAGCTCCCAGACTCAGTATCGCCCCTGAAGATCGAGGCAGTGGCCAATGGAGAAGGCGATTTGCAAAGGGCACAAGGCTGTGAACCAGCTCAAACCCTTACAACTTCAATGAATCAATCAGTTTCCTTCATTTCACTCCATTAAATACCATGATGTTTATATTGTTCAATTGTACGACATAATATTTTTCAAACTGGAGCCGATTCAATTCTGACCGAAGTATGCGTTGTTACGAATCCTAACATGTTCCCTTGAAAACGACGTCTGGACTAACCAGAATTAAACGGAACGGTATGGTGTGCAGCACTTTGGAAAAGCCACTTAATCCATTATTCTAAGCTAGCCAAACTAAGTACATTCATATTCTCGTACTCAGTTGATTGTTTCAATCCCCGCCATTGATACTGTCATGTTTATCCTCCCTGGCATTCAAATCATAACAAAGCCGCTCTCACTCTCCAGATCATCCTCTTCTTCCTCCCCATTTTCGCCATTATTCTCAGTCTCTGGGTCTCTTTCATCCTCACTATCACTATCCCCGTCCATCACGAAAGGAAATGGTGGATGATCAGGTATCATTGTTTCGTCAAATGTCCAGGTCTCCTTTTCCCCTTCCCGCAGCTGAAGTTGCTGCCCATGATGGGCGAACTGGGCCTGCTGCCACTCAGTTGGACGTTGAGATCTTTGTTGCAGCCTGGACTGAGCCCGCTTTTGGTTTTGTGCTTCCTGGAATTGCTTCTGCTTCCAGCGTAACTGCTGAATCTGCTGATCCAAATGTTGATATTTGGCCTGTTGCGTCCGGAGGATGTCTTGAGTATCCAGTTGGTATGTTATATTACGTGGGTGATGGCAAACCTGGTATTGGGGCTGTGAGTGATAAAGCACGGGTAGAGGTTCAACATGCGGGAGCTGGTGACAATAATGAGCCTGCTGCTGTCTGTGCTGATTCTGTGCCTGCCGGTTCTGGATCAAATTTGGAGGCACCTGTTGCTGATGTTGGCTGTTCAGAGGCTTTTGTGCGGGCGGGTCCTGTAGCTGTCGATACTCAAGCGGGATTGGACATTCATCTTCATTGTGAGATGGTTCTGTCTGGAGCTGCTTCTGACTCCGATCCCTGAGCTGCTGGTTCCATCCCTGGAGAAGCTTTTCCTGAAATTTCTGCATCTCGTCTGTGAATTGCCAATGGAAAGGCTCGGGTTGGACATGCTGCTGTAAGTGCTGGTACTGCTTCTGCAAATCTTCGTGATGGATCTCGCGTTGGTATGGGTGAATCTGTTGCAGCTCATACAAGCATCTATTCCAGATCTTTTGTCGGTTCTCTTGCTCAGCTTGGTTTTTCTGGGACGACTGTGGAGAATTCAGTTGCTGACGCGTGCCCTGAGTCTGACTCTTGAGATTCTTGAGCTGCTTCCGCTGGCCCTGAGAGAGGGACGGATTCTGATATTTTGGCTCTTTCTGCGTCTGCTGTTGCTGGGTACTGGCATACTCCAAATTGTATTTCTGCGTAAGCCTATTCTTCTCCCTCCGGCTATGGCATCGAGCCTTGCATACCCATACCATGTCGTCTCCCTATTTGCACGTTAGATAGGGTCACTATTGAGCTCTGAGATGGGACTTACCAGGTCGGCCGTCAATTTGAATGCTTTGTGAGACATCCTGGAGTTTTGCCGCTGCTGAATGCTTTATTGTGGAATGTTGTAGTATAACAGAGAATGGTTTTGTGTGAAAGGATATGACCAGAATAAGTGATGGTTGTAGGCACGATATTTGCTGCCTACCAAGCGAAATGGAAACATTATGACAGCTTGATTTGAATATATATAAAGCTGCCTGGAGATTAATATAATATTAGTTGTTGTCAAGTAATCTACTATGATTATTACGGGCCTAAAGCTTGAAACGATGCCTGAGAACTCAGTACTCGGTTTCTAGCCTGTCTTAACTGATTGCCACGTCGTGTACTTATAGATCAATTTATCGCTGTATCGTATTAATAGGCCATAAGACCAACTAGCAAACCGCAATAGCATGCAAATTCCTGTATTTCCCCATCCCGTTACTTAGATATACCAAATAAACTATCGCACTCGGCACTTGACACCGCATCAATTGCAGAAGATGGTCTTGAACTCTCAGGAGTCAACGAACCTTTATCAGAGCTGCGAGACCGTTGTTGCGGCTTCTCCTGTGGAGGCTGAATCCGAGATGTTGGCAGCTGAATACTTCCAATGAAAGGTCGTCGTCCACTGTATGCAGCTACTGGGAACCGAGGCAGATCCATAGCTGCCTTCTCGGGTGCCGTATAATGCCGTTCCACCGGAGATTTACCTTGTTCCTCGACCCGCTCAATCTGGTGAGAAGTAAATGGATACTGAGGCCAACTTGGAATTTGCTCTTGTGTCTCATGCAGAGTTTTGCATTCAGCATAGAACCGCTGAAGCCTATACCGACGGAGCTGCTCCTGAGTCGGATTCCGGGGCAACTGCATCTTTTGTTGAGGCTTCTCCTGAAACTTCGGCTTCGTGATCCTGTCTTTCTCCGGTCCTTGACCTTGTCGTTTTTGCTTCTGGTCCTGATCCAGCTCCTGTTTCCGTATCAGCTTCACAGGCTGTGGGTACTGCGGTAAATCCGTCGCCTGCTGCAGTGCAGGGGTTCTGTAAAACTGTTGCCGTCCCCGCTGGTGACAATTCTTTGGGTATTGTGGTAAGAGAGGAAAGCGCTCTTGGGGTTTCAAATGAGATTCTTGGTGTTGGGCCTTGGGTTCAGGGAGATGTTTGCCACAGCAGCAACCTTGGGCCTGGGCATGGTTGTGGTCGATTGAGTCTTCCTGTGTGTGTGTGTGTGTGTGTTAAATTGGGTTTGTTTGGGCTAAGAAGTGATCTTACCAAGTATGTCTTGACGGTCACTTCCTTTTTCGACATTTCGGGGGGCATTTGAAATTAAATTGTAGAGAGTAGGAGAATAAGCGAATGGTAGTTTGATAAGCATGCAGGTAGAAATGTAGTACAGGTATAAAATATTAAATAGGTGTAGCTAGGCAGAAACCCTCGCTGCCTGTCCAGCGAAATGGAAGCGTCATAAGCATCCGAGTGCTTGAGGTCTACATGCTGTTGCCTTCTTTCTACGAAAAGGAATGCATAATTCCAGACTTGGAAACATGATTTAATCCAGAACTTGAATTCATGAGCTAAGCTAAGCAAAGATAGCGAGACAGCATTCTTCAACGCATCAGGTAGATTCTACCACCAAGATCCGTCACCTTCGGTGGCTTTCCAATTTCCGATCATAACAATACTCTCATCACTGTCCGAGTTGAAGCTCACTATAGATGGAGATCTTGAACCATCAAAGTCCAACAACTCATAATCAGTGTCAGGCTCCGATGAAGGCTTTCCCGACCCGAGCTGGGCTGAAATCCAAGGAATATCGCACGAACCCAGAACGTACGGAATCGACTTTTGCGACTCGGTATCATGAGAAGAGGCCTGGTCAGATGCTGAGCGGGACTGGGCCACATCCATAAGCTGCTGTGATCGGAACCCTTGTTGAGATAGTCGCCGCGTAGCCTCATCAACTTGCTTTTCCATGGACTTTGTATACGGACGCTGCTGTTTCTGCCGGCTTTGAGGCTCGATTTGGGGCCGATAGCCCACCGGCTGGCTCTGAGGCTTGCTCTGTAGCTGATACTGTCCTCGGGATGGCTGCTGCGCCTGGGAATCCGGAGTCTGCGGCTGCTCATGCTTCTGACAAGAACAACTCCGGTTCTGCTTTCGTTGAATACGGCGACCTCGTCGGCTCTGGCGCCGATGCTGCGACTGATTCCTCGGGATTATTATTTCCAATTCGCACTGAGAAGTCATCTCCACTCTGTCCCCCTATCGATGCATGTGAGATTTTGTTTAGGAGAAGCGGTTCAATGAAATCTTACTGGATTTAACTTAATGATCGCTCTTTGATCCCGAGGCATCTTGTTGTGTTTATCGTTGGGTGCGGGTGTGGTTGGAAAGTGGGATTTAAAAATGACGCAGAATAAGCTGATATCTGGAATGGAAGCATCATCATGATAGCACCTCTGCCTGTTGTGACACTGCAATTGTTTGAAATATTAGGTGTGTGTGTGTGTGGTTTTTTTTTTTTTTTTTTTTTTGTGGAAAACTCATAGTATTTGATTCAAGCTAAACTAAGCTGCTTTAAGACAAAAACTCGCTATATGAAAGCCCCCTTGTGCAAGTCATCAAATGCTACTGGTGCTAGAATAATACCGGAGACTTGCTTTGATCGAAATGTAGCTAGAAGCTAACAGACACCATTGTATTATGTTTCTCGTACTCACACATAGTGATATCCGTCAAATATAGCGGATGCCTCGTCCTCGTCGCTACTCGGACACGCACGCAATATAGGTGATCTAAAAGCCTCAGGACTTGACTGAATATTATACTGCGCCTGCTGGGTCTGAAGTTGGTACTTCATGCGCATGTTGTCAAGACATTGCTGCAGGTTTCGCTCTCTTTCATCCCTCAACTGCTCCTGCTGGGTCTGGCTTTGGTGATTCTGGCGCATCTTCTCAATCCCTTGGCCCAGCAAGTATTGGGTGTCGTATTGCTGCTGTTGCGAGGAAGTGGTTGGAGCCGGTGACTGCCAGACGTGGTAGTTCTGGGTCGCTTGGTTGAAATGGTTCAAACGCTTCCAAGATCCGAATTCCCTTGGACCCACCGTCTCGTAGAACTGGCTTGGTATCTGCCGGGACCGACGTTGTTCTGGGCGTTGCAATGAACACTGGGTCTTGACCTGCTGCTGTTGTGAGGAAGTAGTTGGAACCGACGGTTGCCAGGCATGGTCCTGGGACATGAGCGCTGGACTGAGGCAGTCCTCACGCTCCCAGGGTTGGAAGTCACTTGGAGACACCGTCTCGGTGAACTGGCTTGATACCCGCTGCGTCTGTGGCTGTTCCTGCTGTTGCTGAGTCCTTTGATTGTGCTGCCACCAGCATTGGCTGTTCCGGGGATACTTGCCACCGCGGAAGTTCTAGGTCTGCTTCTTGTGGTTGTGGCATAAATGATAACGACGTCCCTGGCCCCTGCGGCGTGGCTGTGGCTTTTCTCCCTGCGCAATAATGTTAGACTAGTTTTTTATAAAGAGCATAAATTTTGACTACTAGGTTGAATGTGAATCTCAGTCCGTGAGGCATCCTGAATTTCTTGGTAAAGCCACCTCGGCGGTTTCGGTGCTGGGTCTCGTGCCATTTTCCCTTTGACTGTAAATGGATACATGTTAGCTTGAAATTTCATATGGTTCTTATGTATATCTTACCAGTATGAACGTGATATTCATTCTGTTAGACGCCGCGGATGGTATTTTTGTTGCTGTTATGTGTGGAATGCGTTGAAGGTTGTAGTTTGAAGAAAAAGAATGAACAGAGAGAAAAGAGAAAAAAAATCCTTCTGGGTGCGAGGCTTGCTGCCTGGCAAATCGAGTAGAAGTGTCATGTTGATATCTCGGGGTTTATAACACGGTGCCTGGCGACTACCACGGTTTTCAGGATGGCTACTACGCTGAATACTATCAGATAGCACGACTAGCTATCATTTCGTTCTGAATTATCGCTACACTTTCTGACTGAATCATCTTTCGTATCTCATGGACAAGTTAAATAAATGGACTGTATGTAATTGACCGGTCATATTGCTGCGCCCAATTGTCCCGAGTTTCCTTTCTGTTGCCTCTTGCTACATCTCTTTGAGTGCGAGTGCATCATCATTTCCACATTCGCCATCGTACCATATGTCGAAAGGAGGAGGTAAGTCCTAGAGGCTAGACCTCGGAAGCTCGTGAATACTTGGGAGGCTGATGTCATTGGTGCTTCAGAGATTGATGTTGTGGGTGAAGGGGAAGACCCCAGCTAAGATGTCATGGGCGGAGGATAGGCTGACATGCACTGCTGATGCGCTGCTGGTAGGGTTTAAGGTCTGTTTGTGGCAACGCTCCCATCACCGCTACTCAGTAACAACGGGAGAATATAGCACCGAGGATAATCTTCGTTTTCTATGCGAAACGAATGATATGCCAGCCCAGCGGGTCTGGCTCCTTGTGGTGAGTTACGTACGAAAAACCATGGGGGTCCTGCCGAATCAAGATCCGATAACGTCGAATTCAAAGAGTAAAAGGCTTTGCAAGATGGTGATGGAGAGGCATTATTGCTCTTCCAAGCTGTGACAATGGTCTTCACAAAAGAACATAGGACTCTGTCTAGTTATCCTGTGAGTCAATAGCTGGTTGAGTAAGCTTCTGTGGAATAATACAGGGACCGCAATTCTTCCTGTTGAACTGAGCAATGTCTCTATATGGGAAACGCATGCCGTGCCTTACGCCATGCTCTGGTCGTTTCGCTTCAATCGTCATCTAAAGAATGACACATCCGGTTCTGTGTATGATAGTGTTGCGGCAAAAATATACTGGAACAACGTGAGTTCGTGCAGCAATAAAGCCATCGTAAGATCCACAAAGAAATGGGATTCTACACATAGGACCAGTGTCATTTTGCAAGACCTGTAGACAGGATCCATTTGATATCGATGTCGGCCTTATAAAATATAAAATTCCCCGGGGTGACGGTAGAATTGTCCGAAACCCCATACAGGGCTTGAATGCTTGGACATATCCTCGTTGTCTTAGCGTGCGATATCAAATGAGTCACCGGATTGCCTCAATCAAGCAAAAACAAACATTCGTGATATTCTTTGTGTCGCTGAAGTAAGGGTTATGTTATTGCAAGTGTCACCTGCGACACTAGATACGTCTTCAAACCAGGCTTTACAACTTCCGTGGTTCTCTCGCCAAATAATGCGCCCGAGCATATCCAGGTGTCATCCAGACTGGGAGCAGTTGCTGACACGCTCAGGCCCTTACCATTAATATACTGACTCTCCACGGAGACTTACTTCTTATCATTGCCAGAGCGGTCAGCTTTGTCTGCAGTGCGGAGGCCCGCAAAGTGATTCACGCCGTGCTTAGCACATGGAGTGCCTCGCGTTATCACCTCATTCACGCTGGCATTGGTTGGCTCAAAGAGGATCGATTGGCCCCATGATCATATTACCTCCAAACCACAGTCACTTTTCTGTGTGGGCATGGTGTTTCCCGGTGTGATAGGCTTCTAGGATAGCGTGGACGTTTGCCAATTCTTCCTCCGCGGATGTTGAAAGTGTCGCGGTACATATCTCAGGTATTGTATTCGCCGTAACACGCCGGTAGGTTTTGTGGCTCTGCAGGGTCTACACTATTTCAACAGTCAGTTAGTCGGGGTAATATCAAATGATAGAAGTTAGGATACTAGGGATATGGGTGATTTATGGCCACGTAGTGGGTATATTCTTAATTGCCCACTGTATACCTCCACAACAACCCTCAACGTTAATTCTTCAGGCCATAGGCTTCTCGCACTGCTGAATCATTGTATCTCATCGACTATGTATACTTCTGACAGTAATTGCATAGATAGCCACGGACAATGGACTGCGAGCTTGAGTAAATGTACCCAGGATAGCCAAGGTGGTAGATAGCCAATGCTTAGCGAGCGAGCATTTCATCGATGGTGGGGTCTTCATCGTTGTTGATAGTGATTCTCTAGTCGGGAGAATCTAAAGATCCAGTAACGGTCATCTTTGAAAGCTGTCGGGCTACTAAAGCAAGAAAAAGAATGGGAGTGGCAATAAGCTTGTCGGACTATGAACGCTGTACATGTCATTGACCGCGGTGATAGCGGCCTCAGGCACTGAAACCACCTTCTCCCTTATCCAACATAATGCGGCTCACCATTCCTCATTCATCACTCCGTATACAATATACACAACCACAATCCTGACATCTCTCTTGTATACTCAATTTCACGGTACGGGTCGCATCCCATGTGGTTCGCCATAACCAGAAAGAACCCTGTTTCATCTGGGGAGTCCGCGGTGCGGAGGGACTTCCGAGATACTATATCACTCCGTGAGTATGAATGAGTGTATGAGTATGGGTTTAATCATAAAATCTTCATGGTTGATTTTATGCTTACACCTACATCTACACCGTATTACACTCCGTAAATCTCAGGCAACTATTACCCCTAGCTCAACGATCCCCGTACACCGTCCCCGTATTTATCCCGCCCAGCCCATGCTCATGCACGGTGCACGGTGCACAGTACACGGTCTCACGATCAACAATTCAATAGCGCATAATAAACCCAACTCAATTCAATCAACACACGACAGATCATCTGCACGAGTCCTGTCTCTGTGCCCTGTAGCATGCACCCCGTATTCAGCCAGCCAACCCCATCCCTGCGCTGCCGATGCAATAAATGATAAATTGATGTCTAATGCCAACGCCCTGTAGGGTCGGATGGAAGCAGGAAGCCGAGCCGAACTAACGGACACGGCCACGGGCGAGCCGAGAAATGTATGCTTTTTGTATGTACACGGACGGAGAGGATTCCGCAAGTACGGGGTGTATAGCACGGCCGAGACAGTGTAGTATGTGACTACTGACAGCAAAAACAAACAGAACATGCACACTGCAACCAGAATGTACCATACTGCACAAAGAAAATATTATCACGTAATGCAGGGATAAGAACAAGTAAATCAAATCTGCATTGCATTGCATTGCAGCGCAGCAGCGTATGTAGTACAACACCCTCCGTCCGAGTATGCGCATTACTGGCGTACTTGAGCAAACACGGAAAACACACGCGCATTCCATCGGTGTTCCATTCAGCTTCTGTTGACATTCCAGTGGAGTTAAGTCACATACTGACGAATGCATCGAAGGCGTCGAATGTCGCAGTCGAATTCGAATGTCACGATCGGAGGTATGCACACCTGCATACTTTGTGATCTCGGCATAGCTGATACGATCTGGAAAGGAAGGATTCGAGAAGTATTTTGTATTCTGTAGTCAAAACTACAAAAGATAGATACTTGAGATCAAGTATATCATCTAGATACTAGAAAGCAATATTAATGTGCAGCAACGCAGTGCAGCAATGCAGAGCAATATAACCACATTTTCCTCCCGACCATGGCATCATGGCTCATTACCAGCAAGACAAAGACATACACAGTCATCTGTGCTAGGTATCACAAACATCAAAAAATAAGGAAATTAGAGAATAAAGAAAAGGAAAATAAAAAAAAAACTATGTACAGCCTACAGCTGGCTGGGCTGGAAAGAACCCAACTCCTGCGAGGCAGGCGGGTCATTCTCGGCAATGCGCTCCTCAACCTTCTCCTCACGGTCCATGATGCCGTACTCGGCGGCCTTCTCTTCAATCTCCTCCTGGGAGAGCTTAGGAAGTTCGCGAGCGGCGCGGACGTAGGACATGTTTTCAAGGTAGCCCTTGGCGAAGATGAGGTCGATTTCCTCAAGAGTGCGACCGGCAGTTTCAGGGTAGAAGAACCACACGACGGGGATGAAGAGGCCGTTCCAGGCGGCGAAGAAGAGGTAGGTACCCCACTTGATGCGGGCGACCATGACGGGGGTGATCATGACAACGGTGAAGTTGAAGAGCCAGTTAGAGCAGGTGGAGACGGCGTTGGCCTTCGCACGGGTCTTGATGGGCGACAGCTCGGCGGGGTACAACCAGGGCAGGGGCAGCCAGGTGGCGCCGAAGACACACATGTACATGAAGAAACCGAAGACGGCGCCCTTGGCGGTTTCGGAATCACCGGGGATCAGGCAGCCGAAGACGATGATCATGGCGGCGCATTGGCCGAAGGAGCCGCCCAGGAAGAGGTTGCGACGACCGATCTTCTCGACGAAGAACCATGAGAAGGTGGCGAAGATGGCGTAACAGATCATGTTGATACCACCGATCAAGAGGGCAAAGTTGTGCGATTGTCCAATGGAGTTCTCGAGCAGGACGGGCAGATAGTAAATGACAGCGTTGCAGCCGGAGATCTGCTGGAAGAACTGCGACGAGGAACCGACAATCATGCGACGGAAGTGCTGCGAGGGACCACCAGTGAAGAGATCAGAGAAAGAGGATTGTTGAGCGCCGGAGCTAGTCAAGTTAGCATCTGCATATTACACTTGGGTGGAGAAAAAGGGAGGCGTACATTCTGACAGAGTCAATGACAATGTTCTTCTCAGCCTGAGCCTGGCGGTCATCGATCTCAACACCCTGGAGGGCAGCAATAACCCTCTCACCCTCGGCAACCTGGTCGTGGGCAACGAGCCAGCGAGGCGACTCAGGCAGGTAGTACATGCCGACAATGATGACAACACCAAAGACAATCTGGAAAGCGATAGGGAAACGCCAGACCAAGTCCTGAGGACCAAAGTGGGCACCGTAATCAATCCAGTAGGCAATCATAGTACCAATGGCGATAACACCACCCTCGATACAGATAAGCAGACCACGGTTCTTGGCGTGCGAGCATTCAGCCTGGTAGGTGGGGATGGTGGAAGTGTTCATGCCGTTACCGATACCAGTGATGACACGACCGAAGATGAACTGCAGCAGAGGAATCTGATCGGTAATGGCCGTGACCTGGATGATGACACCGACAATCATGACAATGGCACCCCAGATAACCATCCAGCGACGACCCATCCAGTCACCAAAGAGGAGGGCCCAGATGGCGCCAAAGAGACATCCTACTCCGTTAGGATCATTGAATGTCGACATATTGGAGTACAAGAGTAGACATACCAACTTCATACACAGCTGTAACGGTCGCCTGCATCACATCATCATTCTTGGTGGCTGTGAACATGGCGTTAAAGGCCGGGTCCGAAATAATACCCGACATGACACCTTGATCATAACCGAACAGCAAGAAACCCATAGTCGCAATGGTCGAGACCGTCAGGGACAGCTTCTTCCCTGTCAGGCCCAGATAGGTAGGGGGCGCCATGATGGTGGGGAGTTATCGTTAAATGGAGCCAGTCCAGTTTTTAGTCCAGCTCAGTCCAGGTCGAAGTCCAGCCTCAGGTATAGACCAGCACAAGACTAAAAAGACAAATCCGGGGAGGAAGAAAGGAGTAACGGGCAAAAAGGAGAAAGGGACAAGATTTGGGGAGAAGAGGGATATATAAGTTTGCTGAACACCGATGCGGAATCTTTGTCATAATTCGAATATTCAAAAAAAAAAAAAATATAAAAATGAAAAAAAAAAAAATGGAAAAAAATAATAATGAAAACAGATGCTGCATTCGGTAAGGATCCGTCAGTGGGAATGGGTGGGCCCCTTCTCTGGATCATGGGGTAACTATTCCTCTTTCAGAAGGCTATGATATCATGAAGCTTAACGCAATTAGACTGCAACCAATCAACACAGACCATAGTGGGCCATGATGTCGGCCTGATGCACGGGATGGCGGTTTCACCCAATCAGACTTTTAAGAAAAGGCCCACAGGCCTGCCTGAATCGGTTCTTGGCAATTCCTGACCAAAGCTTTTACAGAGTATGGTGGTGTATATCCAGGGTAGGACCATGGCGATGGGATAGCTGGTATATCTTTAATCTTGGGGATAGTAGGATAGGAAGTAAAGGCCCTGAGGCGATGCACCTAACATGTCGTATCCGGGGGTCTGGGGCACCACACCCCAGGCAACACAGGACACAGACTACTCGGCTGTCGGAGTCCCGAGTACAGTCTGTCCTTTTGTATTAATGCACAAAAAGCCGCATAATCCACACCTGGCCAATGCACTATTATTTATTTGAACCCATTCTGGTCCACTAATCTCGGTTGGTCGACCGTCGTCCACCGTCCACCGTCTGCCGTCGTCCACCGTTGCTCCACCATCGTTTAGTTGATGGCCGAGGATGTCTACGTTGGTCCGATCAGCATACAGACACTGGACTGACTGGCTACGGATTCCAACAGGGTAAAAGCCTGTCGACCACCATCAGCGGCATGACGTAGGATGGCTACAAGGATATGTGCAAGAATTGTCGTAAATCGGAATCCTTCAGTCCGTGCCCGCCGTTGAACGCTCGTTTATTGCACGGAGAAGAGATAATGTGCGGAGAATGGAGATGGAGATGAAATGGAGATGGAGATGCGAAAACAGCCCGTGTCGTGTCAGTAACTCGTTTGGTTTCAACCCTGAGTCGGCTCCGTAAGAATACTGTAACGAGTACTGCTCTCACAAGTATCTCCGTATCGGACGAAGCCGGACACTTACCGAACGCGGCACCCCCCTCGGCCAACAATTCAAGCCGAAAAGACCCCGAAAGTGAGAGGCCGATCCACCCCGAACGCGAACACGGAATGCACACGAGCCCCGATTCGTCTGGCGGTGTGGGTTTTTCCCCACGCCTCCGATACAAGCACAACCAAGATTTTACAAGATTTTTACAAGCCTTGAGAAGGATTGGTGAAGGATGTCTTGGCTGTGCCTGTGCTGTGCCTGTGCTGCTAATGCCAAGTGCCAAGATAGATGTGGTCAGAACAAGCACTGCGTCATGATAATCTGGTTGTTATATCTTGTACACAGTATATAAGTCCGGAGTCGTATTCGGAGAGCGATAACGCGAATACAGATGCTTACTACTCTGTTCTGCACAAGTACGAGAAAGGAGACAATAAACTTATGTACTACACAGCACATCCCCAGACCCCAGACTCTCCAGGCAATAATATTCCCCATCCCCTGAATATCGGTCCACCGCCAGACACCAGTCCACAGTCCACAGTCCACAGTCCACCATGAAAACTCTGACCCAGTCATATTAAACGCGGTATAATTATTATTATTACCATCTACACCGGTGACAGGACCGATTTCCTTGTAGGGTGAGGTGTTTCTTTCTCTAGAGTACTCCGTACAACTACGGGTGCAATCTGGCACATGCTCATTACCGACTTGTCTCCGAGGCTCGCCTGCCATATCCGTGGATGGACGAGACAATAATTTGTGTACCACTCAATAGCATCTCCGGTCGTCAATATCTCTGGATAATGATTCCCGGATCTAACAAAGGTGTTGGGCTCTGTATTAGTGGCACAACTCCTCTGTCCCCAATGGCGGGTTGTTATACGAATCCTTCGACCCCGGATAAGTTCATCTCCAAGTGGTGGTGGCGGCTGCCACGGAGCAATCATATTACTTTTTGCACCGCACAGAATGCATAACTCTTTACGTACAGAGGAAGTATGGTTCACTTTGTATGGTTCCTCCATACACGAGCGTCGTAATCTGCTGCATCATCCATCGCCGTGTCTCGTTCATGCGACCGAGCCTCATCTGGGGAAGATCTGCTGCAGGTGACCTTGTGCATGTACTTTTACAGCTGGCAGTCATATCAGTTGGCAGCTGTATGTATGTTCTCGTTGGTTGAGCTGATGCGTGGCGAATGCGATTGCTTGTCGACACCTGTCGGGCACGCACTGCTGCTGCCATCGTCGTTGGGTTTCGTTTCGGGGCTGAGTTTCGAGAGTTCGTGCGAACCTCGTGTTAATTTTATTCACGGATCTTCGCTGTTCATCTCCCTGGACTATGGATAGATGGTCAGGGATGTAGTCAAGCTTTATTGACAGAACTATTCTCGTCAGGGATAAGGATCTTCTGCTGTGCAGCGGAGGTTAACGTGCTCATCGACATATCGGTTGGGATATTCGACTCCTGACACAGTACTCCCCCGAATCGGAGTACCAGACTAGGAAGTTGCATCGTAGTCGTGGAATACTACAAGTACACAGTACCGTATCAGCCTCCTACGTACCTCCTAGATGACCTGACTCATGCGAGACACATGCAGTGTTACACAGACATGCATCAGTAACAAATGCAACCAACCATTCACATCTCTCATTAGAACCAACTATAATCCCACATCACCAACTCAGCCGTACTCAGGGTACTACAGAATAAGCAAACTACTCCTCCGGCAAATGCCCCAATCCCTCCTTAGCCCTCTTCTTCCCCTCCTCTGTGACATTCGGATTATGCTGCGCCCTGCACATAGCCATTAACACTGCCCACATCCCATCCAATTCAATACAATCCAATAGGGACAACGCACGCTTTATATCCAGCCGCAACGCGCATCGGATCCTTATTTCCAGCTTGAGCGTTATGGATCTCCTCGCTGGGCTGGTCGCCCCCTAGATCGTCAAGGACAGATTGGGCGTTTTGTTTTGCTTCGTCGGAGGTGTTGGGGTTATGGAGGGTGCTGCATCACATATACACTTGTTAGTATGAGCTGAGGTAGGGGCAGGAAAGGGAGAACGGACGCTTTGTAGCCGCGCATGACATTGACCCTGTCGTCGGCCATTTTGTAGTTTGTAGGTTATGTTGTTGTAGTGTGTGGTTGAGGGATTATCTGGGTTGACTGCAGTAGATACTTATACTTACTGTCCTCTGTCTACTCGTACACATAGCTCGCCACTTGTGTCATTATCTGTCATATACAATATCCTGTATTCTGATCGATCTTGCATCGTGGGCAGGTCATAGTTCGGTAGTTTGTGGACGGTGCAGGTTGACACAGCGGGATTCGAGAATGAGGTATCGATTATTGTGCATTGTGTGTTGCTACTGTATTGTGCAATCCACAACTCTACATCAAGAAGCACAAAACACTAAGAATGATTGATATCGAAGTATGCTGCTACCATCCGATCCAATATATATTCCGCCGTCGGTGCCGTTTATACGCACCACGATTGCATCTACAAATACATAATTGACAAGTATCTCAACCTACAGAACCCTCAAACACCAATCAACGCAATATCGACTATCAACTAGCAATTCTTATCCTACTTTACGTTGTATATGCAGTCAACGATGTACGTCAACCTGACACAACCCCGCAAAACCAGACCCCAACCCCAGACCGAGGGCGAACCGGTCATCACGTACCGAACTTCTATTCTACTACGATTCCAAGTAGATGGATACGGCACATTCCAGAAATGACATCGAATGTGATTGTATTCGTCTAGATCACAATGATCTGAACTGAATCGCAGGTTGGCGAATCAGAATGGATATCAAACTCCACTGTGATGCTTGTTACTTCACAGCGACGACATCAGTGTATCTGCTGCGATTGGTGACAGGGAGCTTGACAGGATGGAGTATACTTTGTAGAATCCTGTTCTAAATGTAGGCAAGAGGACTTCATCATGATGTATCCCGTCAGAAAGACATAAATACTCTCCAATCCTCCGCTAACTGACCATCAACATCAACAATCAATCACTACAAGTCTATCTACAAGCCTACAAAACAAAACCGAAGCCAAAACGAAGAAAATGGCATCCTCAAACCCTGGAAACTTCGCCAACCGCTCCCACGAACAAGTCGAAGACATCGCCCGGAAGGGCGGCCAGTCATCGCACAACTCTGGCTTTGCGCATATGGATGAATCCAAACAGGTTCGTTTCTACCCCGCAGCAATCCGGAATAAGTATGTTAATACAGGCACAGAAGGACATCGCATCGCAAGGCGGCCAGGCTAGCGGCGGTAGCTTTAGACCTGGTGATCCGCGGGCCAGAGAGGCTGGTCATAAGGGAGGTTTGAGTGGTGGGCAGCAGCCGGAGGAGTAATACTGAATCATGAGATGGAATGACTATTTGGATATGAAAGCTATTGAATGATGTATGAAATATACTATATTATAGTGAATGAGAATCAGATTGAACTATTATACAGTTGCAGTGACAATGCATGTGCGTGTCTCATTAATATATTACAATATGCTATTATACAAGTTACACCTCCGGCTCGCTAAGGATGATGCCTCAACCGCACCCCATTAGCCGTTGTCTCCAACTTGGCCTTGATCTTCTGACTCGTCTTCTCCATCTTACTCAAGTCCGGATGCACCTCCGGAGCATCGACATTCGAAAACAGCAGTGCCAACGGACTACTCTTCCAAATGAACTGATTGCGCGTATTCCAAATCGTCGCGATGAAGAAAATCAATGTGAACGCCACCAGCGAAATGGGGAGAATCATCCACAGCCAGCGCACGTGGACGTACGATTCGACGGTCCAGGTTGTCCCGTTGGTGGTTGCGGCGCAGACTTTTGAGCGGGCGTGTGTTGTTAACGCGGAGGCGAGAGAGTCGAACATGCTGCTTATTTCAGTGAGGTTGCCCGTTTCACCGTAGATTGCGCGCGCGGTGTCGGAGGACCAGGAAGGGCGGTTGCTGACGAATAACGAACCCTTGCCCTTTAGCAGGGGACGGAGTGAGTTGCTCATGGCTATCTGACTGAGCCAGCTGACGCCGAAGGTGCAGTGTTCGTTGTCGTAGGGTTGGTGGTATGTGCTTCCGTTGTAGTAGCATGTTTTTGGCGTTAGGGCGATGTTTTGCGTTGATGAGCCCCAGGTGTAGTTGGATGTTGTGTCCGTGTCGATGAGTTTCTCGCTGAATTTGCCGTTCTTTACTGATGCTTCGTATGACTTGACGCAGAAGGAGAGGGCGCATTCTGTTGCGCTGATGTCCGGGGGCACTCCGTAGCCTCCAGCTGCGATGGCTGTGAAGTTGTTGACCAGTGGCCAGCCAGTTGGGTCGAGCTGGACGAAACTGCGATCTGATGTCGCATTCATGAGGTACATCATGTTGCTCGATGTGGTAAAGTTCCAGTTGTTCGGCAGTGTGTACTTGTAGTTCTCGATCGTGCCAAAGCCGGTCTTGTTCAGGTCCAGCGAGTTTGTGATGTTGACGCACTTGCTGCAGAAGCCAAGGGACTGGTACGGTGCGAATGTGCAGTTTCCTGTCGGACAATCCATTGTGATACTGTTGCTGTTTGGACTTGAGCTTTCGAAGATACCGGTGTAGATCGCGCCCGTTGTCGAGAGCGGCACCTTGTTCATTCCCGGCCCGGCACCCTCGCCCCAGTCATTGTACTCGCTAGAGTTGCAGATTTGGATCGACGAACGCTCAGGCGAGTGTACCGGTCGCATATCGATAGCGATGACCTGCTGCACGAACGGGGCAATCGCCGAAGCGATGACGATAATAAAACACCCAATTGTAACCAGATGCCTGCCATCATTAGCCCAGCCCATCTCAACAATCGGGAGAAGCTCACCTCGGAATAAATCTAAAAAGAACGACAACAGCTCCCACAGCTCCCCGACTAGCCGCATCCAACAACGCCAAATCACTCAACTTATTCCCCTCATTGAACCACGACCACTTGAGCTGCGACAACGCCTCGGTAATCGGAAACGCCATCGCCGCCTTCATCACGGTCACCAACACGGAAATCAGCGCGTTCAGCGTAATCCCATAAGGCCAATCCGGCGTACTCTGTCCGTCGAAAATATACAACACCACGATAATCCCCGCCAGCGACCCGACTGCTATCACACAGCTGACAATCTCCCACGACCACCCGGCGCCCCAGAACCCGGGCGATAGCTGCGAGTGCGCATACGCCTGCTCGAACGCATGTTGTTGCGCGTGCTGCTGCCCCTGCTCGAACGCGTGCTGCTCGTTTGGCGATAACGGCCGTGGCGTGCCCGGGGCGCTGTCGAGCGGATCTTCGACTTTGAGATAAGTAAGTCGGTGGCTATCTTTTAAACGGTCCATGTTGCTGCCGCTCCCGAACAGAGACTTGAGATTGGGCATTTCGGGCTGGACGTCGAGTGAAAGGTTTTATATGATGCTGTGCGGTGCAGGTGTGTGCGGTGGCACACCTCACGGCGATTCCAGATGGGGTAAGCAGTGAAACTAGGGCGAGTTCAACGGCTGTAAATGGATATCTGTTGCCTTATGGGGGATAGCTGTTGGCTTCAGGATTGCCTCTTGGGGGAATGATTACCCTGATCGACAATGCTAATTTGTTTTTCGAGTTTACTTGTTTATGGGACGAATATGCAACCGGTACTTGTACGGAGTCAAGAATCGGTGCGAAGTAGAAACACTGGTGTAGAGGCATTAGCTACATTCATTAAGCCATCGTGTTTACAATCGAGGTATATGGTATACTTCCGCCTATACTCCGTAAGAGTATTCTGCAAGTGTCCTGTACGAGGGCTGATCGGCTGCTCAGTCCAAACACCAGCATCTATATATATCATAGCCACCTGGCAGGCTTCGAGAAATTCCGTGATTAATCCACCAATTGTCGCCGAACATGACTCGTTCATGGAGCTTTGTTTGGAAGAGTTTGATATAGAGCAGCGATATATGGCAGGCGGTGATTCGCGGCAGTAAGATAGGGGCCTACGGAGTTCTCCGGAACTCATCAGATCTGCGACCCCTCTACCTCTGTATTGTGCATCTCTACATACTAAGTATGCTACCTACGCTGCGCTATTGGCGCGTCAGCTGAGACATGACAGGTAAGCCCTATCGGGGGTGGATTTGAAGAATGAGAACGCTGTTGACGGTGCCTCTACTAAAAGGCCCAACTCGACTCGAGGTCGCCCACTAGTCGACAACACCCCCCGGAAGCAACGCTACATAATCCAATGGTGCCGGCTCGGTTCCATCCGGTTCCCCAACGATCCAAAGCACATCTCCGGGCCGTAAATCGATGTCGCGAAACGTTACACGAGTGGCGGAATGTCCGTCCAGGTAGGTGGAGGGGATGTGGCCGAGTTTGGTGTCGCCTGTCCATTGTCCGATTTGATCGTCGTTGCGGTATACCGTCCAGAGTGACTCGCCACCGTGAAGGTCGTAATAGTTGATTGCGAGATTGTACGTTCCTGATGGGATGGATAGTGTTGTTGAAGCCATGCCGGCGGTCGAATTGGACGATGTGATAATGGCAGTGGCGTTGGAGGCTGTCTCGAACGGATACACTGCATACGGCTCATATCCAGACAAGGTCATGCTCTCCGCTTCGATGCGCCACGGATGGTGACCGACACGCTGCATCTCGTCTGGGATACCAGAGAGGTTGTGGTAAAAGTTGGTGATGGCATCTCGCCAGACGATGGAATGACCGGCCTGGTAGATCAACCGGGCCAGGACGTCGTTGTACCGCTCCTGGTCGATCTTGTCGCGCAACGACTCCCACATGTCTACGAATGAGTGAGCAGTTTCCGCACCGTCGTAGTGCGCGTCGTAGAAATGCTGGATGACCGTTTTCCCTGAGTGGAGACGGTACGTGTAGTTGACATGGTGGAACCACAGCAAAAGATCGTCCGGAGTGGTGTCGATGTCCTCATACAGCTGAGCCACCTCTGCTGGATATTGCCCGGAATAGCCAGTCCCGTTATTCACCGTGCGGTCCATACCAATGCCTTGGCGATCTGCGCGTGTCCACTGTCCCCAGCCGTTGTTGTCCTGCGAGGCTGGATTGGGTCCGTAGTGGGTGTAGATGATATCTGTCAAAGTCTGCTCACCAAGATTACCGGTGTAATTCTCATAAGCTGGCCAGGACGCCATTGACATTTCTGTGATCGTATCCAAAACATGCTGGTCAGAACCGAAAGTCAGACGAATCCAATCTTGCAGAATGTCTTCCGAATCAACGATCGGATCCCAAGCCAGTCGACCATATGCATACAAATTCGACATGGCAAGATGACTCCCAAGCCATGTCGTATTCGTGCCCACGTTAACAACAGCCGTCCACCCCCCAAGAGGCCTATTAAACGTCTTCCCCGGGATCACATCCCTCACGGGCGATACTTTCCCATCAACCTGAAGGTCAAAATCCAAAACCGTCTTCCATAGCGGCGGCAGATAAACAAGATGACACTGTTGCCCTAAATATTCCTGCGTGACCTGCAACTCAATTGCGACGTTGGTCCGATTCAAATTAGCAAATAGAGGCGACGCCGGTTCACGGACTTGAAAATCTATCGGTCCATATTTTATCTGCACAATGACATTCTCTTCGAACTCTCCGTCCAACGGCTTGAAATAGTCAACCGCCGCATTTGCGCGATCGGCCGTCCAGCTCGACTCGTTGAGATTGTTGTCGTACACGAATGCGCGGAACATGAGTATTCCATCGTGCGGCTGGAGTGCTCGCGCAAAGACGTTCGCTCCTTCAGCTAGTGTGCGGTTGTATGTCAACGGACCGGGTTGGCCTTCTGAACTAGCTTTGACTAGATATCCTGCCAAATCGGGGACCCGCTGGTAGATCTGGTTAGTGACGTTCTCCCACCAAGACACGACAGACGGATTCAGTGAATCGAAAGTATCAAGGCCACCGAAATCCTGGGGCGAGGCGAAATTCAACGATATGCCAATTTGCACGCCATACGGCCGGAAAACGTCTGCAATCCTGCGTAGGCCGTCGATATTTCGAGCTTCCAGCAGCGTGGCGTTAGCATTGACATTATTGACGATAATCCCATTGATCCTGATCGAAGCAAGCAGACGCGCATAATCTCTGGCGCGAGTTAAATCTTCCGCAACCGTGCCGTTGGCGAAGAATATCGATGGCCCTGCATATCCACGTTCAATACTCCCATCCATATTATCCCACTCGTTTACCCATCGTATTGGTGCATGGGGATTAGATGTATAGGCAACTCGGGAGAAATTGCCCTGTGCCAGCATGGACAGATACTCGAACGCCGCGTAGAGAGCACCGCGTTGATTCTGGCCTAGCAGTTGCACTGTGTCGCCTGTTGTGTTGAGCACGAAGCCATCCTCATCTGGTTCGGGGGTATTATGGGTACAATTGTAGTCTCCGAGAGTACCAACGATGATCGATGAAGCCGCGCAGTCACCGTAGTTGACAGGGAGGGTCTTGTTGAATATCCGTTGGATACCCCGTTGTAACTCTTGTCCGGCAACATATACCGGGCTTGTCTCATTGTTATTGAGAACGACAACACTCGACGGCAATGCATCCTGACAAGCCTTTTCACAAGAAACCGGCGCATAGCGAAGCCAACCCTGCGATCCATTCTCTGCGGCCACAATGGCACACAGTAGGTATAGTAAAAATGTGCACAACATGGTTTAGTTTCCCACAAACATGAATTTAGCGCCCTCGAGGAATATATCATAGCTACCAGCAGTAACAATATAAGCGTGCATTTATGCTAAATGTGTCTTGGTGGCATGACGCGGGGTTCGGTACTGCATAGATGAGGTTCGTATAGTTGCATCGTGAAGACTGCCGAGCCGGAGATGCTCCGTTTAGGCTGTTTTTGATATTAGAGCTTGGTTTTAGTATGGATGAATTGTTTAGGTCATATTGAGTCGGTAGATGAGAACGAGAAACAAGCGAGAAGTATACAAAATAGAAAATATGCATTTGATTGGCTGATATTATACATTTCATTATTAGCTGACTCATGCGTGCACAAATGCACAGCTTACTTCCACTTCGGCATGAATTTATCCAGAACAACAATTACGTACATGGCAGAATGACATTAACTGCAAATGCGGGTGTCAAGAAATCATTCCGTGCGCGAGCAGTATGTACTATCACTGTGATTGAGCTCTATGACTAACTTCTGTAGTGCGAGAATTGCCGGCTGCGAAAGGTATGTCCATGCCATTATTCACAGGGTGTTTATTGATTCTCCTAGATCCGATGTGACAAGGAGTCACCGTGTTCCAGTTGTAGTACGCTGGGCATAGCATGTAGCGCTATTGGATCTCCGAGCGCATCTCGAGACCAGCCAGCCCAGCCTCAGCCTCGAGCTGCCTTGATCCAGTAGTACGTGACCCAGAACCATTACGGACAGAAAACTAACATCAAAGTGAACACAAAATCGACCTGATTCAAGAACAACTGTCTGCACTACAACGCACAGTCCATGATATATCTCGGTCATCTGTTCCCGCTGCAGCCCCGAATCCCCCGTCATATCAAGTCTCTTCAAGCCCGACATTCGAGGGGCAGAGTTCATTTAACAGTGAAACGCGTCTTGCGCAAGATGTCGCTTACTCGGCTGTCGCAGGGATGCAGAGTGGTAGACCAAATGAGGATGTTTCGGCGGCGCTGGCGTCGCTGAAGCATAGTTTGGATAAACATAATCCGGCGCAGCCGCAGGCGGCGAGACGCGTAACTGATTCTGTGCAGTTGGGAGAGCAACTACTACCGGCTGCGTTTGTTGTCGCTGTTGTTAAGAAGATTAAAGGTTTGTGATCTGCATCTATGCGTCTATAAAGAAGGTGATACTGACCTCCCAGCACAACCACCATTCTGCCTCATCAGTCATTCGTGGCGAGATTGTCTGCAAATCGAATCCCTCTGCCAGTCAATCTACTTCCCCTCTGATCCGATCCCAGCTGGATCGCTAACACTCATGCATGGACTGCTCTACTTTGTCGTTCGTGATTACCTACACGAAGATGACCCTGATCTTGCCAAATTTGATGCCTCGACATATTGCAAGTCCTGTAAGGATCGGTTTTCCGCCGGTCTCAAGAGCTATGAAATGATGATTGACCCAACGCTTGAGAAGATTCAAGCTCTTCTTCTTGGAGTATGTCACCTGCCATCTCGGTAAACCTTGCTAACGATTGTAGGTAATAAAGGCGCAAGAAGAATCTAACATCCAGCTGTGCTGGACACATCTCGCGTTGGCATTCAACATGTGTCAGACCTTGGGATTGCATAGACGGGGTTCTCTACAACACGAATCGCTGACACTGGCTGAAGCAAAACGTCATGTGTTCTGGTCATTGTATACCGTTGACAAGCATATCTCTCTGAATCTAGGAGTCACATCGCATTTTCAGGACCATGATATTGATGCTGATCTGTTTACACCGTCAGATAAACCGCAGCAGCGTCCGTGGGATGTGATGACTCTTGTTACTGTCGAGTTTTCGAGACTCCAAGGACAGGTTTATGACCGGTTATATTCTACATCTGCTTCGAATGCCAATGCAACTGAACGATCCAAGACGATCGAGAAGTTATCAAGTGACTTAACGGCCATACGGGATAAACTGCTGGCGGTATGTATTCTACTTCACAGTTCAATCAATCCAAGCTAACAACAGCAGATCGATGTCAGCCAAGGTCTCTACGCCGACTCACTCCACGGAATGGCCGCGTGCGCCGATTTTATCACTTATTCCATCCTAACCATAATCCACCGCGCTCAAACCCGTCCTAGCAACGCAATGGCTATATCAACCAAATGCTTCGACGCGGCTACGCTGGCATTGCAGAGTCACCTCAAATGCTTCGCTTATTTTCGGGACCGAAAGATCCACAAACAAGCCGAATACGTCAATTGGTTAGCCCTGACCTGGTCACAGCCTTAAACGCACAACTTCTAATATTGTAGGATCCTCCTCTATCCATCGTTTACACCATTTGTCATCGTCTTCACCCACGCCATAACAACCGCCTCCGCAGCCTCCCTTTCCCTCCTCCACGAAACAGTCACCTCCCTCGACCTAATCAAAACCCTCTCCCGTGGCTCCCTTCACCTCTATGAAATCTGCACCGCCTTTGTAAAAACCGCCCAAGCCCTCCTCGACTCCTGTCAGACATTGACGGGCCTGGAGCAGCACCATGACGGATTATTGCTTGCGCAGGCGGATGCTGGGATCAATATCACTTTGCCGGATGTCACTGGGACGGCGGAAGGGGGAATGGAGGGGTGGATGAATAGTGCGGATATTGAGATGTTTTTGAATGATTTTATTGGGTCAAATCGGTCTGCTATGGATATTTTGGGGTCGAGTTATATGAGTTAGCACGTTTCTTTCAAGAAAACATGCCAATCGTGATTTTACAAGCCATCCATAACTCAGACCTGGCACAAGGCTAATCATACCAAATCGCATTCGCACAACACCCATTTCCCGCTAGCTCCAACGTATCCACAACCCCAGCACCAACCCCATCAAATCTCCAAATCTGCACAAACCCCCTCTCGTTATCTGTAAGTGCCACAAACTCATCACTAAACACACTCGGGCTTACTGCATTAGCCATACCACCCGATGACGACGTGGGGGTTAGGAAAAGCTGGGACTGGATCTTGCCGGATGGCGACAGAGTGAACGCAGTTATGTAGCCTGGGGAATCGGGAATGTGGGATCGAGATGACGCCCAGAGGTAGGAGTTTGAGTGAGAAAGGGTTACTTCGTCGGACCAGTAGGCTGTAGTGTTGTGGTCTATGTTGGTGGGTATTAGTGAGTGTATGGACATTGCGGTTTTTAAAGTGGTACATACCCGGGGGTATCAACGGGTATGAAATATTCGCATATGCCAGCCCTCCGTCAAAATCAATGCTATACACAGCTAATCTGTTAGTCCCCTCAAACACCACATATGCAAAACCCCCTCCAGGATGAACAACAATATGTCTAGGATCCGCCCCAGGAACTGGCGCAGCAAGGCGATCTACAAAATGCACTTCACCCGTCCGAGAATCGACTCTATGAGTCCAAATTGCATTTCCTGTATCATCGGCGGAGTAGATCGTCTCACCACTGGGTGAGAGTGCGAGTCCGTGGATGCCAGAACCAGGGCCATAGTCGAATGCCTGGATCATATCCGAAAGACCGTCTTCGTTCACGGATAAGACATTCCCGCATGAGGCTGCACCACCGAACGAAGAGCCGTAGACTCTGTGAGGTGGGTGGAAGGAGCTTGTTAGGAAGATTGATTGCGAGCCGGGACCTGACCTGTCAGCATACAGACACTAGACCGGAATCGAGGAAAGATATACAAGATCCAGTGAGAGGCAGTGATCGGACAGGAACAATGTCCATATCATCCATGATCTTGTAGCTTGTCCATTTTGACACGGAGGTAGCATATATGTTCTTTTTCTCGTACTGTTACTGTCAGCATACAATAACATGGGTAGAGAAGAGAAGTCGAACGTCAAAATCAATCCAGTAGTGCGGATCAGACGTAGGAAAGCTCCGAACAAGCGATAGGGTCAATGTCTCATCATCAAAAGCAACGTTGTGAATAGCAGACGCGTTGAAAGATCCGACATAGAGATGGTGTAGCTTCGCAGCGGTGTTGCTACCGAGGCACAGAAGGTAGAATGCTGTTTTCAGCGCATGCATAATTGTGTATCAATCGAGGTTTAGGGGCGCCATTGCTCAGGATCTGGCAGATTGAACTACATATCAAGCAGATGTGCCGGAGTTCTCGGGATATTCGGACTGTCGGCATTTTCGGTCTGCCGCGAACGGTAACCGAATTCTAGCAGCTGCGCGGATGAAGAAGTCGCAGTGAACATGAGTAAACATGCATCTGACATATTTCGTGTAAAAGCTGTGGGTTATCCGAAGTATACCGACATCTCCCAAGATCACTCTTACCAATCATAGCACAGCTATTACTCGCTCTATAGAGGATCGACGCTCTACTATCCATCCTCAGATCTAGTATTCCAGCCAAGAATCATATACACGTCGGCAAACTGCTATATCTGATCCACTTGACGGATTTATAATGCTGAATCAAGGAAGGGCGGAATTGGGCCGCTGGCAAGAAGTGCCCTGCCGATGCCGATGTAAAATCAATCTAGCATAAATAGAGCCATCCATGTAAACAGCAACAATGGTCAGGACAGCTTTTCAAACCGTGACATTAACCATGCTCACCAAATCCCTCTTCCTGTCTCTGCTCGGCCTGGGCGCTTTCGTTTCTGGTACAGCTCAGCCCAAATACACACCAAGATATACCTAACTAACGAGAAAGCCCACACACCACCCTCCGACACATCATCCATCCAAGCCCATCAGAGCCTCGCCCAGAAATGTGGCCCCAAAGTTGGCCAAATGAAGCGTGCCCACGCCCTCCGCCGCCGCGGCTCCATCGACCCCGGCACCACCGAAACAGACTACACCGTCCACGCCCAAGCCCCTAAGTACGACTTCATCAGAAACTGGACCAGCATCCTTACGCCTGAAACTAGCAATGGGCCATACTTCTACCCACGTAGCCAGACTCTCAGGCAGGATATTCGAGAGGACCAGCCTGGTGTGCCGCTCAGCCTGGAGATTGGTGTGGTTGATGTTGATACTTGTGAGCCGGTCCAAGATGTGTTGGTTGATATCTGGCATTGCAACGCGACGGGGTCGTACAGCTCATTTACGGGGTTGTCTCCTAATGACCCTTTCGAGGAGGTGTACGCCCAACAGGACGAGGGGAAGCCGTTTGATCTTCACGACGGACTTCCTGATCTTTCCGTGAGTAACCACCATCCTCAAATAGATTGTGTGCTAATTGGTAGTTCCTTTCAACGGATAATTCGACCTGGCTCCGTGGCATGTGGCCAACCGATAAGCACGGCGTTACCTCGTTCACGACTATCTTCCCTGGTTTCTATGTATGCCTCCCTCCTTTAACCAATCAAAACCCCACAGCTGATATACTAGATCCAACGCGCAATTCATATCCACGCGCAAGTCCACACAAACTGGACCATCCGCTCAAACGGCACCCTCGTCCACGGGCCCATCGTGAGCACCGGGCAAATCTTCATCGATGAGAAACTCGAGCAGGAAATCATGGCTCTGGAGCCGTATGCGAGTCACACGGAGATTGAACGTGTGAAGAACCTCGATGATGGAATTTATACCACCGAGTCTAACAGTACGTCCCCATACCCCATTTAGAGAGTTGTAAGGAACAGTGACTGAACATTGTGCAGCCGGGGCAATGACCATTCTTGATACCGAGCCGTTGGATGGGGTTGACTATATGAATGGTGTCGTTGGATATATTACTTTGGTATGGAGGCTTGGTTTTACGTTTGCTTTCGTCTTCTAAGGCTAACGTCTCTCTAGGGAATCCAACAAACGCATATCCGGAACGGGACTACTATTGATGCTTGTAAGTGGTTTGTGTTTGAATTTTACTCAATGCTAACATCCAATAGTGCCGAGTGCGAGCCCTACTCCTAGTTCTTGAGCAAAATGGCGCGAAGCAGCAACTTTTGGCTGTTGTGGAATATCCGGCAATTTCAGTCACCTTTAGCAAGAATAGAGAAGAGTTTATATCCACGTTTGTGTACATTAGAGATAAATAGTGATAGAGCAGCGGATAGACATATTAGACCATGGATTGCGTGGAGCATTCTCCAATTACACCATCGACGCTCAAATAACATACTACAATCGTCAGCACTCACTCTTAGTCCAGGATGAAAAACAACTCACCGGAATAAAAAGACACGGCACCCGGCGCTCATATTCCATCCAAGCCTCCCCATATCTCTCGCGACACCGGTGAATATCTCTCCTCGCACGATGAACAATCATCACCGCAAAGAATACCGAGTAAAACCATGGGAATGGCGAGTTGAATCCCGTGATCAGACCCCATGAGGTGGCGAAGAAGAGGTCGCATGTATAGTGGACTTTGCGGGCCAAGCCATCTACGAGAGTCAGTATCATTGAAATGGGGCGTGGATGGAAAGGGGAGACGTACACCATCCACTACACAAAATCGAATCGCCAGTCTTCGTCCGAATGACATCCGGGTTCTTGACGTATTTCCACGGAAGTTGGGGGAACGTTTTTCTGTCAACTGGGATGCCGCGCTCTTGGGCTCTAAAGAAGTTTTTCTGACTGTTTCCTGTGTCCCAGACCCAGTATGCGAATAGATATGCAGCAAACAGTGCGCATAGTGCCAACCTGTTCCATCTATAGGTGTCCGGATGGTGCGTAGCCAGGTACAATGTACAATGGCAGTAACTCATGGGTACACCGGCGAGGTTCCAGAAAATAAGCATGAAGCCCCATTTTTCGTAATACATGTCCCTACCTTAGTTAGCCCAACAGTCAACAAAGGAGTGAGAAAGGAACCCACCAACTAGTGATAATCAACTCCTCTCCCTTGGCACAAGCATTCGCATACAAAAAGTGCGCCATGAGCACAAACCCAACTTCCCCAGACACATAGCCAAACTCTTCAAACTGCTTTAGCGCCGTCCCCAGCGAAAGCAAAAACAGTATGTACCATGGAATCCGGACCTCAAAGAACATCTTGAAATCCAACCACCCGAGTAGCCGGGGGTTAAGCTCCGCGCCCATGAAAAAGTCATATACATGCGAGCCTGTCATGCGGTGTTCCGCGCCCCGGGCTAGGGCTGATACGTATGCGAGGACGGAGACGATAAATCCCGAAAGGATGGCGACAGACATGAACGAACCAAACTCATCGATAAGAGTATACAGCTTGAACACCCCCGAGAAGTGCAACGCCAAAGCCGCAGCGATAGTCATGTACCATGAGGACACGGCAGAGCAGTAGTATTCGAGCTGCTTGCCATCTAAATGCGGAAGACGTTTACCCTTTCCGTAGACCCCAGGGAGATAGAGATATCCGATGCCTTCGAGGATGAGGAACGTCCAGTATATAGCCCATGCTTTCTTGGTAGGATAAGCGTGCGTGTAGACTAGGTCGACAAGGCGGGTTATGAAGTGAGATATTGATTCATCGGAAGCAGGCAGAGGTGGTTGGCCGTCGTATAGCATCGCTCCGATGTACATGTAGTACATTAGTAGGGGGAATCCGATCATCAGGGCAGTGACCCCGAGAGGACCGCCGAATTCCATTTCGGGGCGTCTGCTGGTGTTAACGTAGGTGTGTGCCATTTGGGACTGGTACATACTTGTTAGCCATTTTTACGGGCTTATCGGGGGCCATTTTGATGATTTGGTGCCATTTTTGGAGAGACAGGGTCATGTTTTATACTTGTAGTGTTGAGATGTTTCGGAATTCGCGCATGCCACGCACTCCGTGGACTCCGCGGTTTCCGCGGGGGGCTCGGAAAGCGCGCAGTGTGCAAATGTCGCATCTCAAGGGTTAGTATTCCCAGGGGTGGATTATTAAGAGATTCGAGCCATTGCTTAGTGTGCTGTTTTTTATCCAAGCAGCCTCACGAGGGGCAAATGTAGTGTGTCTGGAGTATACAATGGAGATCTAGAGGCTGCGGACGAAGGCAAACCAAATTCCAACAGGGGCGAATGTTACGGAGATGCAGTTCCTAAGCACGCTCAGCAACCTGGGCTGTTTATCAAGCATTGAGCGAGTGTCCGGGGCTTGACCCTAATGTAATGGACGCCGGCGTCCCCTTCCAGCAGGTAATCTTCCACCCTCCTCCAGTACCCGCCACTTGGACCTCATATCATCATATGTCTATCGCGGCGTCTTAGCTACATTCGGCTGCTCCATCAAGTCATGAAAATGATTCTTCGCAGCATCCTGCAGCACCTAAAACATCTCGTCCTGCACTCTTATCCGATCTGCCATCATTACATTCCCTTTCTTTCTTTCTCGGGTTTCCCTCGGCCGGAGAGTTCCTCGCATCGCTTCGTGTATGGGCGTGTTTCCGTCGCAACTTGTAGCGCTGATATCCGCCTCACCGTTGAGTAAAAACTGTGCTGCTTTGACTTGCCGCAGATTTCGGGGCATTGTGTGCAGAGTGGTGTTGCCGTCTTTGTCGGTTGTGGTTGTGTTGGCACCTTGCGCGATCAGAAAATCAAGTAGAGACGTATCGATGGACTCGCCGTCTACGGATCCGAGGGCTAATATGTGCAATACGGTTTAGCCATGGTTGTCTTGAAGACTTGCACTTGCCCCGTTCTTGCATCAAACCTTGATAGCGCCATCGAAATGTCGGCTGCCACATGTAGCGTGGCTTCTTACCGCATAGTGCAAGGCTGTTGCTCCATACTTGCCTTGAGCGTTGATGGTCTCGGGAATACCGGAAAGGAGCAGCTTAACTGTACCAATAATCCGGGGGACAATCGGAGCATGTATCCGTCACACAAACTGGGTCCTGCAGCCACCCATTGCGGTGGCAGTCGTCCGGTGCTATCGCGAGCGACCCGGTCTACTATGTTATCTAGATGGTCAAGTAGCGCTTGGACTCATTGTATATTCCAATAGAGGTTGGCAGTATGTAGCGCGATAGCATTGTGAGCGAGTCTCAGCGGAAGTCTCCCAAGTCGCTCCACTGTAGCCATTCATGTACTGCTTCCTTCGATGTACATCAGTCCCTTCGTCCAAGAGGCGTTTCACCAATCCGTAACTACTCCGGCAGACGGCCCACCCGAGAACAGTGTGCAGCGGTTGTCCATCACCACCACCGCGTCGGGGGATAATAGCATCGCGGGCAGAAGCGCCCCGATCGAGAAGTAGGTGCATCAATTCCTCGCCACACGCGATGCGTTCGCTGAAGTAATCATAATCACAACTCTCATGGTATATCCTCAACTTCACAACTCAAGCAAGCCAGCGACGCTGCGGTAGCTAGGATCGCAGCCTCACCACGGCGATTCCGCGCATCAACTATCCCCAACAGAGGTTGGCTGTCTAGCAGGAACCGCGCTGTCGCAAGTTGTACATACCGATATGCCACATCAAGCACCATAAAACCTCTCTTATCAAGCGGTTCTGTCTGGGCTATATTGGCAGTATATTGCTCAAGCAGCATGTGCAAAGCATCGGTACTTCCATGTGCCACGGCGACCCAGAAAGGGTCGTAGTATTCTACCTTGCCAGGAGCTAAGGCGGCTTGGGTGTATTTTGTGATATATTGACTTAGAGTAGTCACGTCACTGAGCTTGATTATTTGGAGCAGAGGCCTCGGTAGATGGTTTCGTGGAGGACGGTTCGATCTCTGTCGAGAAGTAATGTCTGTATCCCCGCAATTCGATCGGTGGATGTGGAATTCACTGTATAGCATTTCGGTCTCTTGTTAGTTTGATCTTGCATTCTATGCCGGCGAATCTGATACAATGAGTAATATGTAGATCTGTGCCATTGCTGTAGATGGCTTCCTACACTTAATCGCATGTATGACTCCGCTGATCAAGTCTAGGCTTTGGAGACCTTAGACCTGCATATTTGCACCTTGTATAGTAAACCCCGTAAAGAAGTCTAATTTCTAGGGGTTGTCAAGCTGCAAGTCCATGTTCTCGTCGACTTTGTGAGACGTAGATGCCTAGGCATATGCATATGCATGCACATTAAGATGAAGCTAGCGCGAGATATATATCCAACATGCCAAACCGGAGCTTTGATATCAACATACAGCTACTTGCAAATTTTACAACTTATTTAAACAACCGGTATTTCAGACTGTCAAGCGATACATATTATTGAATCCAGCATAATATCTATATCTATCTACAGCTAGTCACATCTATACATAATCCTCCGGCCCCCGTTGCAGGCAAGCAATCACGCGTCCTTCGCATCCTCATAATCCACATAACAAAGCTTATTATCCTCAAACGGCCCATAAAACCTCGTCCTCTCGTACGGCGTCAACGCAATCCCCTTGCGCAACCGATTCACTAAATCCGGGTTACTAGTGAACGGCCTGCCGAAGAGAATAGCATCGTAGCGGCCAGACTCCAGCACGCCCCAGGCGTTCTGGTCGTTGTAGCCGCCAGCCGTGAAGAAGGGAGTGGAGCCGAAGATCTGGCGGAAGCCGTCGAGGCTGACGTCGGTGAGGCCCCAGGAGGCAAGGAACGTGTCTTTTTCTTCGGTGCTGAAGATTTGCTCGTAGCGCTGTTTTCCGTTAGTAAAGGGGTTTCAGATAGGAAACTGGGGGAGACGAACCGGCTCGATAAAGCTGACGTAGGAGAGGTGAGGAAGAGCCTGCTTCAACGACCGACACAAATGCGACCAGGTTTCCAAACGCTGCTCGCCACGAGTCTGGTTGAAGAGACCAAACGGCGACAACCGGATGGACAACTTCTCCTCGCCAATGGACTTGGCCAGCGAGTCCATTAGCTCGAGCGTAAAGCGACACCGCTTCTCAGGTGTACCGCCATATTCGTCCGTCCGCTTGTTGATGTTCGAACTCAAAAACTGCTCCGGCAGGTATCCGTTTCCGCCGTGAACCTCAACACCATCGAAGCCGATGTCAATAGCCGCGCGCGCTGCGCGTCGATAATCTTCAATCGTGCGCTGAATGTGCTCGGCCGACAGCTCGATGGGCGGGTGGTCGGCGTAGCGGGGGGGCACGGACTCCCCGACCGGCGGGTGCGAGTAGCGCTCGTCCGGCGAGTCCCATGGAATAGCGGAGGGGGCGACGGGGTCGGTGCCCGTCATCTGGGGGACAGTGACACGGCCGGCGTGCCAGAGCTGGGCGTAGATGTAGCCGCCTTTTTCGTGGACGGCGTCGACGACGCGTTTCCAGCCGGAGATCTGCTCAGGGGTGAACAGGCCGGGGACGCCGGGCATGCCATTGCTCTACATTGCAGAACCAGGAATTAGATTCCGAGCTATCGGGAAATAATGAGTAATAAGCAATACGCACCTCGAGCGATGGCGGGATTCCTTCAGAGATGATCAGTCCTCCCTTGGTGGCGCGCTGGCGGTAGTACTCGACCATCAAATCGCCGGGGTACCAAATCCGGTTGGGGTTCTCGGGAGTGCTGTTTTCATTCAGTGGCACACCCCGGTTCCGGGTCATCGGGGCATGGATGACACGGTGGTCGAGGGTGAGGTTGCCATTGTTGATGACGAGGGGTTCAAAGAGCTTCGAGCTCTGGTTCTGGTGGATAGCCATATTGCTAATAGATTGACACTATTAAGGCGGAAGGATTGAGTAAAGTCAAAGTGAGTGGTGAATGGAGCCGGAGGTCCAATGGAGTGGGCAGACATCTTGGAGGTCATATATCATGAAATGACACCCCCCCGGCCGCCAATCAAGCATTCTGGACAACTGTCATGTCACCGCCAGTAGCCCCCTATTCAGTAATCATCACTGAGGCTCGTTCTGAGGCGCCGTTAGTGCGCACTTGCGGTGTACGACACGAATCATTGTACGCAGTACGGTGGTCTGCCCTCAAGAGCACTCTGCAGTCCGTACTCTCTGCACGAAGTATGAGGTACGCAATTCTGCCTAAGTCAAAGGTAACTTGGAGTAACCGTTGCTTCCCGCCGTGGAGCCTCCGCTGTCGCTGTCTCTGGGAGTGTCGTAGAAAAGCCGAGCTTGGCGAGTCAGAATCTTCACTCAGTCAGCGCCATAACAGGAGACCCCACAGGACCACAGCACGCGAGGGCCCAATGCACGGCTCGATCCAATCGTGATGCAGCGTTCATCAGAGGCGGATTTTATTGGTGCTATGGGGGACCGCGGGGATTCGGAAGTAAAGTTTAACTGTGCATAAATGGCTGCAGAGCCGAAAGGGGAATGGCCGGAAAACCCCTGACAAGGAATAGCGAGTCTACTCGGAAAAGATACAGATACGGACTAGGGCGCTGGGCCATATCCGGTAATTTGGGGTTTGAGTTGGAAGTGGAATTGGAGCGGAATTGGTGTGGAAATGGTGTGGAAATGAAGTGGAATGGCAGCACGCTGTCTCGGGACTGAACCTTGGAACCATAGACCGTACCCCCGGGGCTGAGCAAAAAGCAACGAATACAATGGAGTCGACGCATCGTATTCCCATTTGCCATCTGCCCATGGACAGGAGGGCATTAAAGTTATCCAGAATATGGTGAAATGCGGCGACAGGGAATGCATTCCTTCAGGATTTGGAATGATTATCACGTGCGATCATATGATCCTTTGTCTGCATTGACTTGTATTCATGTCTATTGATCCTGAGCAGTTCACCAATTTCTCGACATGTCGTCTGCACGGTCGATCATAAGTGTCTAAATGGTCTTAGGGTATGAGCGGGTTCATGACTCGTTGTAACTCGTCATATTTGAAATAGATCCTTGCTGCTCTAGAATCCACGAGTGAGCCATTATCATGGATCGAATCTGATCGTATAGTACAAGATAGCCAGGAGAATCGGTTCAAGGGTCAGTCCAAGCGTGTTAGTTCGAAGGGGTGTGAGCACGCTAATGCTGGCAATAAGAAATAATGCCCCGCATCGAATCCTTCGAAGAATCACTCAGGGGCTTCTCTATGCCTACAGATAATGTCCGAGCAGGCACACACCACGAAAATGTTAAAAAACATCATCGATTAACACGGTTGGCAACGGTCAATATGCAATATTGTGTGGTACTATGCTGGAGACACCCTCAATTATTTGACTGGCTGGGAGAAACTCGGTGTCAGAGACCGCGGTCCGAGAGTTAATTAAGCGACACTCGAAAGGTACTTTAGTCCGTATCTTGCCTAGAATTGTCGACGACTCATGGTGCCGATCTGTATTCCGAGCGAGGCATTGGCGTTGTTGGCCGTTGCCTGCCGGAGCTTGCGAAAGACTCGCCACAGGACATCTTCAACTGATATATATGCCGTACAGTGTACAAGCAGAGAACAATCTCCGGTGGACGAATAAACCATCCGGCATTTGACACATTAGCAGAACTGATTTCCACAATTGACTTTCACAATTGACTTTCAAGGGCTGAAAGGCTGAGATTGAATTCCGGATGCGATACTCTCCGTAAATAGCCCGTGTTGAGTGAGAAGGAATCAAAAATAATGTATATCATTAGTCTAGTCGGTGCACAGGCGCCCATCGATTCATCATCGTACGACTGGCGAAGCAAAAGCCATTGTGCATCATTTGACCCGCCGTCGATCAATTTTTCCAGCCAGACTATTACAGGATACGGATCCGATGTGGACCGATTGCCATTAGCACCAGCACAAAGTAATCTCGCAAATAACTCTACTGGAGAGAGAAAAATTTTCGAGTTTTGCCTGACATTTGACAGCGACTATCACCATATCCAACTCGGTAGACGCTGTACCCCATAGCAGCTGGATGCCATTTCCCTGACACTTGGTTACGACTCCATGCTACCATGGTACGGAGTACCTCTCCAGACTGCTGAAACGAGTCATTCCGGCATAACCTGAAACAGCCGTTCTCTGGAACCCTGCCAGTGCCGATCCATTTCCTTATCGACCGTTTTGCACCCCCGGAGATGAGAAATCGTCGTTTCTTTTTCTGTTATGTATACGAGCAATATTCCCCTGGTGGTCCGCGCCACTACTCTGCCCGGTTTATGTAGCGTTTCCCCTCCGGAAAAAGAAATTATATGGTGTATGCGTGAACGACGGGGCCGGTTCAATGATCGTCTGCTAGGGTCAGGAAAAAAAGTCTGATATGTATTAATACGAAGAATGATAAAAGTAGTAATTATCCTGCCTTTTTCTATTATAATAATATAGTGGTGTCATTCCCATCCCCGGGTTTCTGATTCTCCTCTTCTGACATTCAATCCACCCGCACCGGAGTCTTGCCTGGTTGCAACTCTCCTGCCATTCTCTCGTTTTCTGGTTAATGTCCATGCTTATGCATACTGCTACTTCTATATCATAATCATTATTTCCCATTATCAAGATGACAGAATTCTCCGTTGAGAATCCGTCCGACGACATCAACACGATCACCTTTATCACGCAGTACTTATGTATCCCTATCGTCTCCTTCTTTGTGTTGATGCGGTTCGGCATCCGGACATGGTACAAGCAGCCGTTCACCGTTGAAGATGGTAAGCTCACTTCTTAATGATGTAAAGAAGCATGCTGACTCTCTAGGTGCCTGTTACGCCGCATGGATATTGTTCGTGGCCTATTGTGCCATTGCCATCGTCAGTACGTCTTCCAATCCCCCCGGGTATAATACCATACTAACCCGCGCAGTGGCCCAAAATGGCGCTGGATACCACATTACCGACATCACCGACGATCAAGCTGTCCAATTCCTCAAATGGGGTTACATCGCCACCGTCATCTACTGTCCTATGGCCCTAATCGTCAAAATCGCCCTCCTCGCCATCCTCATCCGCATCTTCGGTCCCTACAAAACAAAAGTCACCCTCATCTACGTCTTCCTCGGGGCCCTCTGTATCTACTACATCATTGCCGAAATCATCAAGATCCGTATGTGTGATCCCGTCCCGGCATACTGGCTAGGCCAAACCGGCCCGGGAGTGAAATGCTTCGACCAGGCAGCCGCCCTCATCGCAGACTCTGTGATCAGTGTCGTTAGCGATCTCATTATCCTCATCGTCCCGCTACCCTTGACCTGGTCGCTGCAAATGTCGCGCAACAAGAAGCTGCGTGTCATGGGAATGTTATCTGCAGGAGGCCTAGCCACAGCATTCAGTATCTACCGTCTCGTCCTAGTCGTCAAGGACGGCCAATCTGCCGACCAAACCATCGTCTTCACCTGCGTCGTGCTCTCCGGAAACGCCGAAGGTGGCGTTGGACTCATCTGCGCGTGCTTACCAGCCGTCAATATCGTCATCGCCAAGCTCCGCAAGTACGGCAGCTCGCAGAACCGCTCGTACGGACACCAGGACTCGAGCCTCCCGCTGAGCAAGATGCGCCTGGGCGGGAGCAAGGGCCAGTCCAAGGCGTCGAAGAATGATCCCGAGGGCACCCTGACTGACTACGGCAATGACCAGAGTCATCTTATTTCGTATGCAGGTTCTGCGCAGGGTGGCGGAGGCATTCATAAGACGATCGATGTGTCGCAGACGGTGGAGATGCTGGATGAACGGGATGAGAGGAATTTCTCAAGTCATAGTCAGAGTCCATAGCGTGTCATTCTTTACTTCTTTTTTTGTGTTAATACATGGGTTGGTTCATGCATATACATTTTCTAATACTCTACTCTGTACATCGAAGACTACGACACCGAGTCATTATGCAAATGATCGTACTCCTTATCGCCGTATACTTGATATACTCCGTACTCCATAATAGATCTCATCTCCTTGCAGATAGTATCTGGTCGTATCTGCAAGCCATAGTGATATATCACCTGCATTGCTCAGATCAGTGCATTACACAAGCTTTGATGGTGGAGGCAGTGGAGATGATATATCATTTATCCAAGCGTAGGTCAATGCTGTTTTAAATGCATTGATTTGTATGCAATTGTATACTCGGTTGGGTATTAGCGTGGTTGTATACTACTTGTACAATTTGTATGTAGTTGCCGAGGTTCGGTAATTCATCCATCCCCGCATACATCATAACAGATAACTGACAGCGCAACAACCATACAATCTACACATCAACAGAACGAGAGCAAGACAGTCAAGGAAAGCACAATGGCACCGAACAGCAAACACTTCACCCTCTCCTTCCCCAAACCTCACATCCTCCTCGTCACCATCAACCGCCCCAAGCAACGCAACTCCATCCCTTCTGACGCCCACTGGGACGCCCACACCATCTTCTCTTGGTTCGACAACGAGCCTTCCCTCCTCGTCGCCATCATCACCGGCGCCGGTGACAAAGCCTTCTGCGCAGGCCAAGACCTCACCGAACAGAGCAGAAATGCGACCGCAGCGACCGAAAAGGGAGTACCACAAACACAACTTCACCACCCGCCTACAGGCTTCCTCGGCCTGAGCCAAAGAAAGGGGAAGAAGCCGGTGCTCGCGGCTGTGAATGGATTTGCACTGGGTGGCGGGCTTGAAACATGCTTGAACTGGTACGTATTTCTTTTTTTAAACACCCGTACTCCCTTCCTATTAAACTACCGCTAACAACACCAGCGACATGATAGTAGCATCCCCTACCGCCACCTTTGGCCTCCCTGAAATCACCGTGGGCCTATACGCCGCAGCCGGCGGCCTCGCCCGTCTCGCACACGTCACCGGCCTCCCGCTCGCCTCGGAACTAGCGCTAACCGCCCGCCGACTATCAGCCCAAGAAGCCCTTGATTTTAGACTGATCAACCGGATCTCGGAAAACCCCGTAGAAGAATGCGTGAAGCTAGCGGAGACGATGGGGAAGTTCTCGCCAGACGCGGTTATCGTTACTCGGCAGGGGCTGAGGGAGGCTTGGGAGACGGGGAGTGTGGAGGAGGCGACTAGGCGGACGAAGCAGGAGTATGGGGAGAAGTTGTTTAGGGGGGAGAATTTTGGGATTGGGGTGCGGGCGTTTGCGAAGAAGGAGGTGCCGAGGTGGGTGGCTTCGAAGTTGTGATTGTGCACCTACTTAGTTGTACTGGTCTCGGGCCGAGGCACTTCTCCGCATTATACATATATCCACATCATAGCTTAATGTCAATACCAACACTCCACAAACACACAGTACGCAGTACAGAGTACAGAATATGCCAACCCCTGTCATAGTCGGCGTAGCAGATATCAAAAACCGCACCCAAGATGCCAAAGAGCCCGCCCAGCTGATGCTCGAGGCCATCAACGCCGCCATCCATGATGCAGGCCCGGCAACGCTAATATCCAGCATTGACAGTCTCTCATCCGTGCGCACCTGGACCTGGCCATATGATAATCTGCCCGCCCTGCTCGCTAAGCAACTAGGGGCCCAGCCAGAGCACACGCATTACCCGGATTATCACGGGGGTAACCAACCCGCCAAACTACTCGATGAAGCCGCGCTCCGGATTGCAAATGGAGAAAGCAGAGTCGCTATTATCACCGGTGGAGAGGCATTAGAGTCGCGTGAGTATTCTGCCTTCATTTGAAACGAACAATGCTAACTAACCGTCAGTGAGCACTTGCATGAAAAACAAGTCTCCCCCGAAATGGACACCCCCCTCAGAAGCTGTGAACAGCATATTCTCCCCGACAACAGCACGTGTGGCTGAAGATAATATCGGCACTCGTCATTCCGTTGGCGCCCCGATTCACGTCTATCCATTGTATGAGAATGGATTCCGGGCGCACCGGGGGCAGTCGATTGCGGATAACCATGTTGAATCGACCAAGCTGTACGCGCGGTATAGCGAGGTGTCTGCTGAGCATCCATATTCGTGGAATTATGGGAGGAGGGACGGTGAGGAGGTTATTGGGACTGTTTCGTCGAGAAATCGGATGATTTGTTTTCCTTGTACGTATCTTGCCCTGGTATGAGGAGGTACGCTGACGACATAGATCCGCTGTTGATGAACGCATTCAATACCGTCAATCTGGCTGCTGCGTGTGTTCTCACATCGGTCGAGTATGCCCATGAATTGAGCATTCCAAAGAACAAATGGATATATCCTCGTGCCGGCGCTGGCTATCGCGATGCTGATCACTGTACGCATCTCCCTCCTCTCTGGAGATAGACATGCTAACGATGTAGTCTGGAACCGTCCGAACTTTCACTCCAGTCCGGCGATTTCCAAGTCCCTGGACCATAGCCTTGCTTCGTCGGGGTTAGCAGCAAATGACATCGACATATTCGATTTATACTCGTGCTTTCCTATTGTCCCGAAACTGGCCTGTCATCATCTTGGACTACCGATTGACTCACGTAAACCCATTACTGTCCTTGGTGGATTGACTTCGTTTGGTGGTGCTGGAAATAACTATTCCATGCATGTAAGCTTTATTTCGATACAATAGACTATGTACAGTTCTAACGACACAGGCCATCACCGAAACAATCCGCCAACTGCGCTCTGGAAAAGGCCGGCATGCTCTAGTCTTAGCTAACGGGGGCGTTCTTTCATACCAACATACCGTATGTCTATCGACTCTTCCCGGTATCGGCGCCTATCCAAACGGTACTCGTGCCGTAGACGCCGACGCACCTCCTGCAGTAGACGAAACGGCCAGCGGATCCGCCGTGATCGAGACATACACAGTCGACTTCAACCGCGACAACACACCGGCACGAGCGTACATCATCGGCCGACTCGAGAATGGACATCGCTTCGTAGCAAACCATGGCGACGGACAGACACTGGCGCAAATGGCATCGTGGACAGAAGAACCAATCGGGAAAACCGGCTTCGTGAAGACAGAGAAAGGACGAAACTTATTCTTCTTGCAGCGGGCCGTACTATAGCCAACACCAAACAATATCTGTAAATAAATTAAAATTAATTACCTCCCAACCTCATACTCCGTCGTAACCGCAATCCCCATACGCGGCGTAGTCCTCCCATTATTATTCCCATTCTTCACCAATTCATCCTCGCTCTCGTCCTCCAGACTCTGCACTCCCCCGCTTCGCTGCCACTGCCACTCCCACTGACTCCTTGGCCTCTCTGCAGAAATACTCGTCGCTCCCTTATGCGTCGACTGTGACTGACCGAAGGACAATTCGAATGTGCGACTTCGGCTGCGACTTCCTGTGCCGGTGCCGGTGTTGGAGCGGGAGCGCGAGCCGAAGAATAATGTACGCAGGACGGGGAGGCAGGAGGCGATTGTGGCGATGGCGGTTTCGATCATGGAGACAGTGCAAGTGATTAGTTGTTCGTTTTTGGAGGAGTAGATTGCACGGATTACTGTGCGGTGCGCTGTTAGTTGACTGTGCTTGTGAGTAAGGTGCGGTGAAAGGGCATACTGCTAGAGATAACAACCAGAAAACCAAGCAGGAAAATACTGAGCACACCCAGTTTCTGCTTAAACGGCATCTTGATCTTAACGACCTGCGAAATCGGCAAACAGATGATAAACACATCACTAAAGATGTTCAGCAGGACCATCAGCCAAAAAGCAACTTTATCCTGATACACCGGGCAAGCCCTCTCTGGATGATCCAAATCCCATAATCGATCCGGCGGGTAGCACTTGAAAATGATATGGAAGAAGATAGTCGCCCAGGTCGCGGCCAGGAGGCCGAGGGTGATGTTGTAGATGGTCTGGTAGCGCGTGCGGTCGGCAAGACGCTTGTAGAAGATGACCATTGCAGCTTTGATGAGCCAGAGGGAGGTGATGTAGAGGATTGAGCCGGGAATGATCATTTGCATCATGTTGATTGTTTCTTGTTTGGTTGCGTTCTGCATTTCGGACATTGCTTCATCCCGTCGTTAGTATCATCCGCGAGGTCTAGATGCAGCGAGAAGGAAATACCATTATCAAACATGTAATGCTGAATCCCCAATGTCGCAATAAGCCCTCCTACGGACAGCGCAATCAGAAAATCATCAGTATAGAACTTATGAAACTGCGTCCATCGCACGACCAGCCGCGCGAGCATAAACACAAACGCCACGATGGTGCAGATGTACCATCCGACCTATTTCCATCAGTCTCCCATTGACTCTAGAATGGAAAATGTATAGTAGACATACCACATGTCCCACGTCAGGATGCGACATAGCGATCTACAGATGTACTGTACGAACGTTGTGATCTGCCGGGAGGAATCTCACACGGGGCAAATGGCGCATCTTGCGGGATGATGGTACTATTTTATGGTTGTGTGGCGAGAGGTAAGAGAGGGGAATATGCGAAATGTATCCATGGTTCGGAGCTATTCAGTATTCAATATTGGGAATCCTCAGGGACCATTATTGAGCTGAGCACCAGGGCCGACATTGTATGGCATGTTACAGAAAGAGTTTTCTTTAGAAATCGGCGGCCACAATTGCATGACAAACCAGTGTCTTGGGTTGAAAAGTTTATAGTACCAACTGCGTGGTTGACGCTCGTTCATACGCTGTTACTATTGAACTTAATCGGGGAAAATTCGGACAGTAGGCCCACTACTAACGCATAACAGTCATTTCCACGCTGGAGTATACGGAAATCCGTATTCAATCGCTATTATATCAAATGTGCTATGCTATGTACAACTACTCCGGACTCTGCACCACCGGATATCCAGGAATATACTCCTTATACACACTCTGGCACCTTCCATTAAACTCCCCCGTCTCACCCATCTCAATCTCCAACTCCTTCCCAGGAACCCCAATCTTAGCCAACGGTCCATTCTCAGCCGAGGCACGGTCCCACCCGGGTCCAGCGCTGGGATTCTTGACCCACGCTACGAGCCAATCATTCATGTTATCCGCGAGCGCCTGTTCAGCGTCGCTTACACCGGAGATTTTAGAGAAACATTCGTTTCCGCCGTGGAAGAAGGGTATTTCACTGCCGTGGGAGGCAGCGAGGCCAGTGCCTAGGATGTTGTCGTATTGACCGAACCAGCGGTATACCCAGACTGGTTGCGACGATGCGCGCAGGTCTATCATGTAGTCTGTTGGGCAGAAGAAGCGCGCGTCGCCGTAGGATGCGCCGCTCATCTCGGAGATGGAGGAGTAGTCTGCTTCGTTGTAGGCGTCCAGGAGTACATCGTCAGGAACGTAGGCGATGTCCGCGTCGAAGGTATTGATCCAGTAGCTAAAGTTGGTGTTCTCGAACGAATACACGTTGGCGAAGAGTGCGCCTTCTCTGTCAGAGTTGCCGACGAGCAGCGGCACTGATGTTGGGAATTTACCCTGCGCATAGCGGCCTTCATAGTCAGAGTAGCGGGTGATGTTATCCACGACCGGGGAGAACCAAGTGTTTGTGGTTGAGTTGAAGTTGCTGGTCTGCAGGGCGTAGGTGTCGACCTTTCGCAGACAGTCGAGAGTCGGGTTGCTGGCGTCGCAGCCCAGGGTCACACCGCTGGCCTGGACGTCCTCTGCGACTTGAGACAGAGCTTCGCCGTGGGGAGCGTATGCAGGTCCGGATTTGGCATTCGCCGACAATTCCATCGCACCGGCGACAGTGGTATCAGGGTGATTCCAGAGATAGTGGTCGACCTGACACATTAATCACCACCCAAGCAAAATGACAGAAAGAAACCTACATGAACACCACCAGACGAGTGACCAGCAATCACAATACGATTCTTATCACCACCGAACGCGTGGATATTATCCATAACCCAGTCTAGAGCGAGTTCAACATCCAGGATACCGAAATTCTGCGACTCCGACGAACCCTCCAACTCAAGTGACGCTGGCGAAGCAAAAATCGACTCGCGATAGTTAATGTTCACGTAAATAACGTCTTTTCGTGCAAAGTTGTACCCTTGCCATTGCGCATTGCTGTTTCCGCCGGTGACCATCGCTCCGCCGTAAATGTAGACGAAAACGGGCAGGTCGGTGCCGCTGGTTGGTGTCCATACCTATCTATCTATTAGTATGCATATCCAAAACCGCAAGGAAAGAGACTTACGTTCAAATTAAGACAATCCTCGCTCTGCGCAACAATAGCATCCCCTGACATAGCCTGCGCACAACTCGGCCCATACCGCGTCGCGTCAATCTCCCTCGTCACCGACGCCGACACCCCCTGCGGCGCCTTCCACCGATTGTCCCCTCCAGTCGTCTCAGCAAACGGAACACCCAAGAAGACATACGTGCTGTTTTCCTCAAAGCCGTGCACGAGACCCTGATCCAGACGAACCGTCGGCTCCCCCTGACATCTCCCGACATGCCCAGTCCACAACGCCGTAGTCGTCACAGCGATGCAAAGGGCGCGGTCGACAATGTCCCAGAGCAAACCCATTTTCTGATGCTGATCAGCGAGGTTGAGGAATAGTGACGAGAGAATGATGCCAATCGGATGCAGCCGAACGGGTTTAAGAAGAGATCGGACGGTTGCCGAAAGGGGCTAGGGTATCCACCGACCACGTGCTGAAGAGGGATCCATGGGTCGGATATTTTACGGTTGGAGAATGTCAATTAAATTGGATGGACTGGCAGGCCTAGAAAATGCCTGGAAGGTCCTTTTGCTCGTGGAGGGGTCTGAATAGGGTCAAGTCCTATGTTCGTACTGCGTATATCGATTATCTCCGGCCCTAAAAAAAGTGGAGTATAGTTCAATAGATTGATTGATATGAATCTAAATCTATGTCTCAGATCAACCATAGAAACCGCAGAACCGCAAAGATCATGCCATAACCCAGCAACAGCAGCATCCTCAAACCCACCCTAAATCTACTGATAGCCGATCCGGCACGTTCCGGCAAAGGCAGGAAGTCCAGCCTCTCTGTATACGGCGAGACTCCCGCCAGCGTATCCATAACAAGCTCACCGTGAATATATCCGATATACCACCCGATCCATCTGCTAGTCACCGACGAGGATGCCTCGACACGAACCAACATCTGCGAAGCCCAGTAGAATAACAGTGCTTTGATCCATCGGCGACGAGACCATGTCTCTAGACCCAGATTCTCGGGATAATGTCCGTCACAGCGGTGGATGCGAGAGATATGGTTGGCTAGGGATGCGGCAGTTTCGATGGCGCAGTTGGCGCCTTGGGCGATGTTCGGTGTCATCTAATCTGTCAGCATCCCTCGTGACTACCCCTCAGCATGGATAATACCTTGTGAACTGCATCACCAATACAAGCAATTCTGTTATATGCCCATGTCGATCGCAGTCCCTCCTCCAATGGCACATGACGGCAGCGAATGCGATTCCGATACACCTGCGCAAAACTCACACCATCTGCTATCTTCACCGACAAATACGGTTTAACACGGACATCGATCTCATTCTGGTCACAGCGCGAGATCCGGTCAGATCTAGATCTAGACCGGATGGCTAGAAACCAGTGCACTTTGTCGTCCCTGCCGACTGTCACGATGAACGAGAATCCGCGGCAGTAAGTTCGATGCGCAATGCCTTGTTTCAGTCCTGCTATAGCAGTTGATGTCCCGAATATACCTGTGTAACTTGCTGTAGGGCGGATGTCTGGAACATGGAATGTACCTGGTTTGGGCATTTTATTGCACATCAAACCATGCGTTGCACTGTGGACACCATCTGCTCCAACGACCATATGTCCAGGATAATGTCGGCCCCAAGATTCTACATTCACTTCTTCAGGGCTATTCTCAATGCCTGTGACCTTGCTTCCAAATGTAATGGTCCTCGCCGGCAGACGTCGCAGGAGGACGCGCAGTAAGGCCTGCCGTTCGATGGCAAAGAACTCATATCCAGATCTACCGAGTCAGCGACCCTGATTCAATAAATAATGGTAGAATGCGGATACCTCGAAGGAAGCTTCGTCAGGTCTACACTCTTAAGAAGCCGCCCCGACTCTAACCACGTCCGATGCTCCAATACCGGCGCTGCTTCTTTCTTAATCTCGTCAAGAAGACCCAATTGATCTAAGATACGGGCTCCATTAGGTGCAATCAACAGGGCTGCTCCGGCGTCTTCTATGATGTCCTTCTTGGCCTCGATGATCCTCCATTGAATTTGTCTTTGGGTGAGAGCATTGGCCAGGACGAGGCCAGATACTGATCCACCGACTATGGTGATGGTGAAAGGCTCGCGCATTGAGAAAATGATGATCTTGGAGTCGCTGAGCTGTAACGCTGACTTTGAACATGGCCATGTCGTACAAATGCCAGCTCAGCTGAGCAAAGAACCTACACCGCTCTTCGGTGAACCTCGTAAGCAGGCCTTGAGATTATCACCTTTAAAGCATGAATCACCCAGGTTGATTGCAAAACAGCAATGAGACAACATGCAGCAACACGCAGAAACAGTATGCGAAATCGCCCTCAAGACGCGACAGTTTTACGACCGTCGACAACCGTATCGCATCTACCATGGATCGACAAACTGTACTCGGGAATCAGCTAAAACTAGAGCAAACACGATCGACATAAGCTCACTAAACCGGGTACTGCACGTCGACACGGATAGACAAGTCGTGCTTGTCGAGCCCAATGTGCCCATGGATAAGCTCGTCGCAGCGACTCTGCCCCACGGCTTAATTCCACCAGTTGTGATGGAATTCCCGAGTATCACAGCCGGAGGTGGATTTGCAGGGACGTCCGGTGAGAGCAGTTCGTTCCGACATGGTTTCTTTGATCGGACGGTGAACTGGGTTGAAATTGTATTGGCGAATGGCCAAGTCGTGAAGGCATCGACGACAGAGAATGCAGAGCTGTTTTATGGTGCTGCGGCATCTTTTGGATCACTGGGATTGACGACGCGATTGGAAATTCGATTGATCCCAGCAAAACCGTATGTCCGGTTGGAATATCGTCCTATATCGTCCATGTCGCAGGCTATGTCTGAAATCCAGCGGTATACCACCGACACTGACTGCCAGTACCTCGACGGCATCATGTACAGCTGCGATAGGGGTGTCCTCTGTGCAGGCTATTCAAGCGATAAACCCCCTGAATCTACACCAGTGCAACGTTTCACGCGGTCTACGGATCCGTGGTTCTATATGCACGTGGAGGAGATCCTCTCTAGGGGACACCCTGCAGAGGAGTATATTGCGTTAGTCGACTATCTCTTCCGGTACGACCGGGCAGGCTTCTGGGTTGGCAAGTATGCGTGCGAGTATTTTTACTTGCCCAACGTCAAAGCTGTCAGGTGGGCATTGGATGATCTCTTCCACGCCGGTGCCATGTATCACGCCGTGCATAAAAGCGGCCTATTCAGACAATACACCATCCAGGACATTGCAGTACCGTACGATGGAGCGTCTGAGTTAATAGACTATCTAGATGATTCCTTCGGACGGTATCCTATCTGGCTCTGTCCAGTTCGACAAACTACATCTCGTCCTGACGGTTCTCAAGTCCACGGGCTAATGGCCAAACACCATCCAATTGGATCACCTCCGGGAGAGCCCGAAATGCTACTCAGTCTCGGAATCTGGGGCCCAGGACCAGGAACTGGGGAGGAATTCGTCGAATTTAACCGCTCCGTAGAACGAAAGGTGCACGCCCTCGGTGGCCAGAAATGGCTGTACGCACGGACATACTACACTGAGGAAGAATTCTGGTCCATCTATGACCGTGAGTACTATGAGCGCCTCCGCCGCAAGTACCATGCCACATATTTGCCGACGTTGTATGAGAAGGTGCGCGTACGGATGGCAGGGGGGCAATGGATGGAGCTGTGGCCGCTGAGGGGGTTATATGGATTGATTCATTCGGCTGTGCAGACAGAATACCTGCTTGGGAGTAGGAGGTTGAATGTGTTTGCGGGGGATATACCAGCGTGGCTCTTTTTTTTGGTTGCTGGATTGTATTATGTTGTGACGGGTGGTGGGCTTTGACAGGTAATGGAGTGAATGCTTCGGTTTATGGATCTGGATTTTATACATTATTGCGTTCAGCACTAATTTGCATCGGATTTTGGGGGCATTTATTGGAATAGAGAAGCTGCCATTTTTCCTCTCCCTCTTCCTCATAGGCCCTTCTCCCCCCGTTCGTCCATCCAACCACCCTTGTGTTTTGCTAACAACATTCTGTTCGTGAATCCATCTGAGATGGTATGTCTACCAGTCGTTTTTGATCTATTCCTGTATAGTATCATTCATTCATAGACCATAAGTTTGCGAAGACTTGGTATAGATTTAAATGCGCATGCACATTGTCCAGTATAATGTATAGTGTCCCGATTCGGTAATCCACACCTGAGGCACAAAATACATTAAGCTATTTCTGGCTAGTGCGTTTTCACTGATATCGGCGGGGATTCCCCTCGTATATCTCGTCCACACCAAAATAAAAGGAAAATGGCCCACCCTCTGCTAGAGTTCGGACAGTATACGTCCTTTCTCTCGCCGACACAATTCGTCACGGCCCTACAAAGGGCACCTCCATCCCCGCGCATCATTCCAGTGGCCGCGGGGCGCGCTGCCCAGCATGGCGAGTCGTTAAGGAGACAGCATATTCCGGGATCTGTGTAGGTCTTTCACAGGTCGAGTTGGGTATAGCTAACAATAGCAGCCTTTTCGATATGGACATCATCCGCGACAACTCCTCTCCCTACCCCCAAATGCTCCCTAGCGCATCGCATTTCGCCGACTCCGTTAGCCAACTCGGAATCACCCCTGATGACGTCGTGGTGGTTTACGATCCGTTCGAAGTGGGCTTCTACAGTGCCCCGCGCGTCGCATGGATGTTTCGATTATTTGGTCATACTCGGGTGTACGTGTTGAATAACTTCCGGTTATACGTGGGCGAGGGGCACCCGGTGGCACAAGGGGAGATACACATGCCGGAGCGGAGTGAATACCCGGTACGCGGCATGGATGAAAGCAAAGTCATCGCGTTTGAACAATTGAAGGATATGATACAACAAGGAACAGGTGCAGATGTGCAGATCCTCGATGCACGGGTTCCCGGTCGATTCACCGGTTTTGACCCAGAGGCGAATGCAGCATTGAGCTCGGGGCATATGCCTAAGTCGATTAATGTTCCTCTTGCGTCGATGTTGGACACAGAGGCGCAGACTATGCTCCCTGCAATTCAGTTAAAGGGACTATTCGCAGCTGCTGGTGTCGACCCCGTCAAGCCCAAGATCCTGACCTGTAACTCCGGAGTGACGGCCGCGGCTCTCGACATGGCCCTGTCAGAATCCAAATTCGACGAAGCACCGCGGAGGATCTACGATGGGAGCTGGTCAGAATGGGCTCTACGCGCTGGGCCAGATGATGGGTTAATTGAGAAATCAGTTTCGTAAAACATACACCTTCCGTATTTAATCCTCTAACCATCCTGCAATTGCCCGAGCCACTTGATCGCTATTCTTCTCCATGAACACCATGTGGCCGTTCCCGTGAATCCCGAGTTGCGCCAACTCCCAATGCTCCGTTTTGACACCCGCTTGTCGCAGAAACAACACCGTACACCAGTCATATTGTGCATGATACGATGCTTCCGTTGTGATCAAGAGTACCGGGAACTTGCTGAGATTAGCCAACTGTCGCGGCCGCGGGTGTTTAGCCTGGGTAAGGCAATCTAATCGATCTGTCGAATTCGCTTCAACTGTCTGATACACAAAATCATTCTCTGGATCCGTGACAGCCGGCTCATACGTAACCGGGATGTCAGCCAAAGCAAACGCCCTGGCTGGTGTATTCCCAAAAGCCGCATCCCGGAATGGCGGCCCAGCTGGCTCAACAGCCACAAGGGAATGAATCAAATCTGGCCGTGCGTCCGCGATAACCCAAGACATCGTTCCGCCTTGCGAATGACCAACGAGGATAACCTTCCTCCCAATACGATCCAGCAACTGCACACCTGCATCCTGGACAGTAGATTGCTGCGCAGTCGATACATTCACGTACGGGACATTAGAGGCGTAGAACGCATCAAACACGGTGTCTCCCATGACTCCCGTACCGGGCCATTGCGTATGAAAATGTGCCTGGGGCCAAGTATTATATCGTTCCGGGGCTGTAAAGTACTCTTGTATATGTTCTGCGGTGAACACCGACCGCGTACCGCTTTCCGGTGTCCACGGACTACGGCCGCGGGATGTCTGGTCCAGGATGTAGCATTCGTAGCCTTGAGATAGGAAATAGGAAGCCCAGCCGTCGCCGCCGTCAGGCTTATTCAACCAGTTCTACCATTGTCAGTACATCCCCTGTTCTCCCCGGTGCAAGGCGTACCGTCCCAGTCTGCCCATTCCCATGCACCAACACAATCGGATACTCCCTCGACACACCACCTGCCGGGACGAGTTTTTCAACATACATCTGGTTGGTGAAGGCATGCTGGCCATCGGTGTTGACGCTGTAATTCCCGCCGACATAAAAGTATGAGCGGTCATGGCTCGTACTTGCCGATGCCAGGCCTAGGAGGGATATCGCTAGGAGGGTGGGGAGACTCGATACCATGGTTGTGGATATGGGTTGAGTACGTGAAGGATGGGATTTGGATTCGGACTGAGGATTTATGTCGACGTGTTTATTCGCTTATTCTCGAGGCTGGCTACCGGACAACAGTGATTATGCAATAAAGCTGCAGCTGCATGCATCTCGTATACCCCGCAGGCTAGTCCGTTTTCCATTATGCTAGAGACAGAATGAGATGATAACGAAGTTCTATAGGGAGTGGATCTGGCCAATTGGTTTATTAACCTAATGCTTTTTTTTTTTTTTTTTTTTTTTTTTTTTTTTTTTTTTTTACAACGGCTCGTTGGCATTTACAGTTAGAAGTTACCTAGTGCAGAGTCGGTATTCGAGTACTCGAGACATACATCTCGTCGGTCTATTTTATACATCCAGATTTCCAAATCCAACTCAAGTCCAAAATAAGTACATATACAAACCCAAACCACAGCCCTCACCTCATTTTCGACCCTTTTAATCCATTAATCCCGCTCAATCCATCTCCCCATCCATTCCTCATTAACCTTCTTCGCCTCATCCACCAACCCCAAATCCAATAACACCTGCACAACCCCCCTAACAGCACTGTGCAGACTACTACTAACCCACGCATGCGTCGGCGCCGTATGCTCCCCGATGAAAATAGTATTATGCTCGGTAGCATGATAAGCAGGGATATACAACTTGTGCTGCTCGACGTCAGGCCGACACCAGGACGTCGCTGTGTGCGGGTCTTCTAACCAGCAGAGTTTTTCGTAGTCTCCTGTGTAATAGTCGCGAGCTTGGTCACCGTGTAGACTAACGATGGCATCGAGGACGGACTGGACATACTCCTCCTCCGAAAACGAAACCAACCGATCCGACCAATCACCACCCCGATACTGGATAATGACACCCGGCCTCGACTCATTGTGTCCATAGACAGGATAGTATAATGCGCCCATAGCATTACTCGGCGGCTTGGAGTAACCGCCAAAGATCGGTTTTTCACCCTTTTCCCAAAACCGCTCGGAGAAGAGCAGCGCGACTTTGCAAGCTGATTTGAAGCGCAGGCCTGCTTCACTGATTGCGCGGTCGAGCACGGAGGTGTAAGTTGGGAGGTCCATGAAGCGGGTTTGCGTGAATGGGATGGCCATGATTGTGTAGTCGTATTCCTTTGACTCGAAGGTGCGGTTCGACACGCTTGGATACCAAGATAGTTTTGTTTTGGTTTTGCCGTCAGCATCGGTGATAGGTTCAAGTTTACGAATCTTCCGATTCAACGTAAGTCTATCCCGCACATGAGGAACAAACGCCTCACTCAATCGATCGAATCCTCCCTCAATACACATCCACTCCGTCTCCCCCATACTCCCCTTACTCCCATCCAAACCAAGGTTTGAGTTATGATGCAGCTCGTCCCAGAAAACATCGTAGTCGGTGTCCGTCCAGATCTGATCGGTGACGTTCTCGGAGGCCCCGAAGACGTGCCGCATCATGGCTTGCTGGCTCCAGTCATCGAGGCCGGCGTCCATTGCTTTCTTGTGGGCGCGCCAGGGGTCACGTTGGATGGATTTCAGGGTGGGTTTGTCTTTTAGGATTGCGTCCATGTGATTTTGGGTGGTTGTGTATTGCTCTGTGGACATACCACTGGACTCTTCGAGAGAGGGATCAGCCTCGATCTCGCCACGAGTTGGGATAGACCCATCAGGATGGCGCTTTGTATCCTGCGCAATCAACTCGTTGGGGTGATGCTGCACCCACGGAATGAAATCCACCTTCAACTTCTCGTCCCCATTATTTATTTTATTTAGCTTTTCAGCCAAATCCCAAACCATTGCATGATCACTATACTCAAGCACCTCCCCGTCATCCCATCTAACCCGATGCGGTAACCTCATAGGCCCCATCTCTGCCCACTCACTCGAATTACCGACATATTTTGTCCTGAACCGTCCGCCCACGCGGTCACTGGCTTCAATGATCTCCCAGTTATGCACACCCACAGAGTCGAGGAAGAGTGCCGTGGAGAGGCCCGAGATGCCGCCGCCGATAATGGCGATTGTGGTGTTTTTGAGGTTAGCGGTTTCGGAGGAGGTCAGATTTGAGGTGCTGGACTGGGGGATGGAGGCGACGCCATCGAACCACGCGCCCAGGGCGTCGAAGTCGCTGAGGAGGGGCTTAGGGTTGTTCGGGGTTGGGGTGGAGCTCGGTGCGGAGGACGGCACCGAGACGGGGTTGGCGGATGCCCATGGGAGGGCTAGAAATAAGGGGACCGCCCACATATTGCGGTTTCAAAACAACAAACAGCAAATAACAAACAATGAGGCAATGAAACAACGACTTTGTTTTCTTTTCTTTTCTTACTTGGCTCCCTTCTGTTCCTGGAAATTCTTTTATATGCAATGAGGACCCTACGAGCACCACAACCTTGCAGACCCTTGGCATATGAAGATCAGATTCAGACCTGCCCAATTTGGCGAAGAGCATCAATTTTTCATCTAAGAAATATGTACTACACTTTTAGTCAAGCCCCCAGGGTACACAAAATATACACATTAAGTATAAAACACGGAACGAAGCGATGGACACAGAAACGGCCACAAGAAAAGATAAAAAAAGTTTAAAAATGCGGCGTGTTCAGCGCCATCAAACACAGTAACCCGGCTACCAACCCGGCACATGGGAGGGTGAGGACCCAGCCTCCAAAGATGAAAGCAAGTTGTCGCCAGTTTACGGCTCCCAGGTCGTAGTTCATCAGTGCGACGCCGAGGGCGGCGCCAGTAAGGCATTGCGTGGTTGATACGGGGAGACCGAGGCGAGAGGCCAAGAGAACGGTAATGGCCGCGCCGAGTTCCATGGAAAACCCACGGGTAGGAGACATCTGAGTGATCTTGTTACCCATAGCACGCATGATTTTAAAGCCATAGAACCAGAACCCAAGACCGAGCAGGATACCCGCAATGACAAGGAACCAGATCGGTGTGGGAGCATCGGCGTCGGTTTTGCCGGTGCGGTATGTCTCATACACAGCAGCCCAAGGACCAACTGCGTTGGCGACATCGTTGGAGCCGTGAGCGATAGACATCATCATCGCAGAGGCAACTTGGCAGTATGTCCAGAGATGTTCGACGCGGTCGTCGTAGCGGTGGGCACGGGCGTGGATGGCGCGGAGGAGCTCGGAGTCGTGCGTGATCACGTCGCGGGTGACACCCTGCAGGAAGAACCATTTTGTGTAGCCGAACCATTTGGTAGGGCTTGTCCAGGGGAGGTGTTCGACGGGGGCAATGAAGCGCTCGTGGGGCTCAATGTGTTTTTTCTTGGGTTGGATTTCGGGAGAGGATTGCACGGAGTCGGGGATGCGTTCGACGTCGTTTGTGTTGAGGCCAGACTTTGAGAGGGAGGATTTGCGGATGGGTTCTTCTGGACCGGCGGCCTTTTCATCCTGTTGGCCGGCACGGACTTCACCGTAGGCGTCTTCGTAGTAGTTCTTGACGGGGCTATCACCCTTGCCGGGGAATGGGAGCCAGGGGTGGCTCGTGAGCAAGTAGGGGCCGAGGGGAAGATGGTAGAACTGCACGCGGGCATCTTCCTTGACCAGACGACGGTAGAAATAGGGCATGAAGAAGACAACAGAGATGAGTAGACATCCACCAAACACACCAAGGATGATGCCAACGACCTTTCCGGCGCCGAACTCCTCGAGGTCACCGACGGTAGGAGCTTCGATGAAGATGAACAGGGCCAGGATAGCACCCGTCACAGACAGGTACACTGGGATCAACCGCATAGCCCATTTGAACGAGTCCTTTCGTTCAAGAACAGAGTATTTGAGGGTACCGAAGATGATGGCAGCGAATCCGGCCGCGATACCAGGGGCGATACCCCACGAGGCAGCAGTCTGCGAGACACTTCCGCTCGTCCATTCCCAGTGGATAGAGGTCTGCGTGGCAAAACCAACGCCCACCAAAGCACCGATTGTAGTCTGCGTAGTCGACACCGGCCATCCCAGACCCGTAGCCACCATGAGCCAGGTAGCACTGCCAACCTCAGCACAACCCATGGCCAGCATGAGAGTACCGGGGTTTCCCTTGAAGCGATCGAGCTCGATAATGCCGCTCTTGATGGTATCCGTGACACGAGCACCGAGGGCAACGGCACCGATGAACTCTGTACAAGCCGCTAGGATACCGGCGTGCCACATCTCCAGGGTGCGGGCGGCGACGGACGTAGCGTAGGAGTTGGCGACATCGTTGGCACCGTTACCAAAGGCACTGAAAACAAAGGCAATGGTTGTGAGAGCGAGGATCCAGTCGTACTTGGCGGTGGCTGCGGGGATCATTTTGCCTGCCAATGTAGAGGTAGACGTTGAGCTGACAGTTGACAGTTGACAGTTGCACAAAAGCAAGGAGTCAAGATGTGAGATATTATATATGGCTCATATATTGCCCCATGAAGACCTCATGATATAAGCTCATCCACGAATGGCAGATAGATGAGAGGTGAGTGCCCTAATACCGGCCTGGGATTGGCTCCCGCCTACGGAGCGGACTTGGCATCGCCAAGCATCCCGCCAAGGACAGCCAAGTGCGGCCAAGGATGATAGCTGCCAAACAGACCAATCAGCATACTTGTATACACCTCGTGCCCTTATTGTAACCATTGCTTTGATGGATATGGCGAACAGACGTCGTGGCGGAGCAGCGAGACTCGTTGATAATGCCTGTTGCATTGCTTGGCTCCCGCTTGCAAACGACATTTATGGCTAGTTTGCCGTCTGTATGCATGTAGCGTTTGTCGTGGCAGGGGCAAAAGAGAGCACGTGGTTGGTATGTTCAATTCAATGGCCGTTATATCTCTGTTGCCGCAGACAAGAATACGAACTCATCTCCGATGTAGGTGTTTCAGAATTTGATGCGCCGGAATCGCCGTGTTGTATTGCCATGGACTGGAATTGATCCCGGCGAAGCATCACCAGTGCCGAGAACGGGAGGATACGGGCGAATACTGTAGCATAGAGACGATCAGTTGTAGCGTTATTACGTGGAGGGGCTCTCACGTGCCCATTGTCCACTTTCAGCTCTTTGTACAGTAATAGCATAAATTATGAACGCATAACAGTTGCAGCATTGACAGATCTATCTGAATATATGCACTAGTCATAAACGCACTGCTTTCCCCTTCCGGATTTCACCAGTCGAGCAGGTCACAATTCTCCGATCTGATCTATCAACTGCCAGATTATGCAATCCATTCTTATTCGTGCATCAATCCATACTAATCCGAACCCGGTAAGGGTATGTGATAGGTCACGAGACCGTTGACCGTTTTTGGTCCTGCTCCTCGATATACAAGTATATCTCCTCAAAGCATGAAACACACCTGACGCTGATGATAGGACATCGTATCTGCAGCCTGCTTATGGTGCAGGCTACACGGTCCACTCGTTACTTATTATAAGCCCATCATAGCTCTACGCACGAATCAAAGATGTGTAATACGAACACCAGTTCGCGACAGCACGATATATCATCACCACACGAGACACATAACGCCCCTGCAGCCATGAGGATTTACCTCTCACACGCGCGGGATTGACAGCGCAGGTACTTTGTCACCTTCATTAGAATGACATACATATAGATGTAGAGGCCGCACACTCTGGCTTTTGCTCTACCATGTTCCTCTGTTATGATCAAAATGTCTTCCCTATCAATTGACAAAGGCCCGGCCGTCCTCACCACACTGTGGTCATTAACATCCGTCAGTCTATTATTCGTCCTCGCGCGTCTGCTGGTCAGACTGCGCATTCTGCAAAAAGCCGGATGGGATGATATCCTCATCACCTTTTCAATTATCATGGCCTATATTTATGATGCGATCCTGACTATCGCTGTGGAATCCGGATACGGGCGGCAACAGTCCAACCTTACCCCGGAGCAATTATCTAACTCGATCAAGTTCATCATGGCGGGCTTTGCACCTGGCCTGCTATCGATTGTTGTGCCCAAGTTGGCCGTTGTTGCATTGCTAATTCGCACGATGAATCCGAGTCCGAGACAGAAATGGTTTCTTTGGGGGACGGTTATTGGGTCTGGTGTTCTGCTCATGGGTTGTGTGGTCATTTTGTATCTGCAGTGTCGACCTGCAAGCGAGATCTGGGAGATGAGCGCTACAGAGGGGAGTTGTTGGAGTATGACTATTTTGGTGGATTATTCAATTGTTGTTGGTGGTATGCTTCCTCTTCTGTAATAGGCAATGGGAGATGTTAACCTTTGTAGGTATTGCTGCCGCCGTGGACGCTTATCTAGCTATATATCCTGCGGTGGTTATATGGAAGCTGCACATGGGGATAAAGAAAAAGCTAGGACTTAGTTTCGCTTTGGGTCTTGGGACGTGGTATGTCTTCCCTTTGCTTGCATTTTCGCATTGTACATTAACAGTCTAGTGCTTGCGTCATGGCCGTCGTCAAGTGCACCCGCATCCCAACACTATACAACATGACCAACATCACCAGTACCCCTCCCTCCTCTCACTTTCAAAAGGAAGAAAATCTAACAGAACCAGACGCCACAACAAACCTCTTCATCTGGACCAGGTACCCCTCCCTCCCCCAGCACCTCATCTAAACCCAGGTGCTAATGAAGCGCAGCATCGAATCAAACACTATAATAATAGCCGCCTGCGTCCCAACAATCGCCCCATTGATCGAAATAACCCTCGGCAAGCGCGTCCTCAGCACAACCGAAAGAAACTCGAACCGCACAGAATCAAACCGCCACATCACGCGCCCACAGCAGGTATACATTCATCAAAACCAGAAACGCGCTCGCGCGTGGCTATCTGCGATTAACATCGAGCAGTCTTATCATGAGTGTTCGGTCCAGAGGGGGAGTAGTGCTGGAAGAAGCCAGGAGGATTTGGAGGGATTGACGCCGACGGAGGATGCGTTTGAGGATCGCAATAGGAGTGGGAGTGGGATTCAGAGGAGAGATGATGTGATCATTGAGTACGGGCGGTGGCCGGAGGGGATTTGGGGGAAGGATAGGGGCGTTTATATGGAGAAGGTGTAACCGCTGTACAATAAATTATTTCACTTGTTTTGTCATGGTATACTATTATCAACGTGTCAACATTCTTTATAGACAAACGCATCCTACTCCGTAGGGGGCTAGTGTGGATTATCATCCGTCTGGTCGAAATGCTGTCTCGCCCAGGGACTTCTCAACCGAATCGCCCGCCCCATATAAAAGAAAATAAATGGAATCGGCACCAGCAAAATCGCAATAAAGCCCAACAAACTACTCGCCCACTCATAACCCAGTTTATTATACATCTGCGTCGCAAACAGCGGGAATCCACCGCCGACCAGATTTCTCGCCAGGATCACGCCTGCGAGGGCAGATGCAGAATATGTCTGATAAGCATCGACAACGTAGTTCAAGATACTTAGAATAACGATGTAGATTCCCGCGCCGAAAAACGAGGATGCGATTATGGGGACGATCCAGTGCACGGAACTGTAACTTGTCCAGCCAAACCAGAAGAGACTGATCGGGATGAAGAGGGCGCCCAGACGGGCCATCCACATTCGTGCTTCGGGGACGCCTTTGCCATCGTTTTCGCGAACACGGCGGAGATAGTACCGTTCTTGGAGGGGGTATAAACAGAACGCGATTAGGGGTCCTATAGCCAGACCCAGGAAACTGAGACCCTGCGCGCCGACGTTAAACCCGTGTCCCTCACCGAAGACAAGCGGGAAGGCTTCATTGAACAAATACACAAGACCGTAGAGGAACCCGTTGTAGATAGCGCAGAAGAATGTTATAGGCTCGGTGATGAGGAAGCGCACGGGGCGGGTGAGCGTAATTGCAAACAGCTCGTGAAGACCCTTTTTGTTCGCGGCGTGTGCGGAGAGGGTTGTTTGTGCGGACTGGAGGTTTTCCTTCTTCATCGTTTTAGCTACGCGTTTTGCTTTGCGGTCGAGGATGGTCGTGTGTCGTGTTTCAGGAACTGTGAGCACGAGAATCACCCAGAAACCGCCGGTGACGGCCATTAGTACCCAGAAGATATATCTCCATCCGAGGTCCAATGCGATGTATCCCGTGACTACCAATGCCATGGGTGGACCGAATGTACTGCTCAGACCATAAACGGCCATCGGACCGCCGGATTCATTGCGCACCCAGAGATCACTAATTGAGCCACCGGTGTTCGTAAGCGGTGCACCACCCACAAGACCCGCGATGAAGCGACAGACGATAATCGTGCCGATATTCGGTGCCAGCGCGAGGGGAAGCTGGAAGATAAACAGCAGGAACCACGACACCGCGTAGACGGGCTGGCGGCCGAAGTATTCTGACAATGGTGCTAGGAGCACAGGACCCACGGCGTATCCTAGGACGTACATCGATAGACACAGGGTGGTGACTTCTGCCGACACGCCAAATTCTTTCTGAATCCCTGTCGCGCCGGAGGAGATTCCACCTGCGCACCATGTTCTATTCCAGTCAGCACCTTCCCTATTCTTCCTCGTTTACTCAATCTAGGTACAGGGAGAACTCACGTGACAATATTCAGCGAGCTAACCAGACAAGTAATCCACCACTTGCGCCATTTCGGCCAGTTGCGCGGATTATCCCTATCATGCTCGGCGTAGGTGACATAGATATTCAACGCTTCATCTGGATTCTCTCGCGCCTTGGCCAGCGCTTCCTCTTCAGATAAAAGAAGCACCGCATCCTCACGTTGCTCAGCGCCTTCTTCCATTTTCTCGTCGGTGGTGCGACGGTCGACGCGGTTTTCTTCTGGCGCAATCATTTTGGGCCGGGGTTGATTGAGCTGCACAGAGTTCAGGTTCCAGCTGACCGAGCTGAAAGAAAAAAAAGCCAGCTGAAAACACATTGGGACAGGGCTCACTAAATAACTGTACAAGCGAGATCAGCGGAGCGAATCCGATGCCCCAGTTATTACTCTATACATCTCACTGGCTCTTCATTCTATCGTCCTACCGACCGTGCCAAATGAGATAACCCCGAACACCGACGCCGATTCGGGGTCCTCCCGAGTCGATTGCGTTGCCGGATTGGGTTAAGCTCATAGACAAGCTTTGCCACGACAGCTTGGCGTTGCTTGTCTATCTTGTCATTGTGCAGATATCATCACTGTACAGGAATATAGCAATGACCCGGTAGTTTTCATGAGGCATACAGGGGCGAAAAGACAATTCGGAGTGACTATTTGGCGGTACATAAGTAATTTATTCTCAAATTCGATTATTCCATCCTCCACAATGTGGAGCCCCACAATTCCCATGGCTGATTGTGTTGAAGTTGATTGGTAGGTTCATCAGTTACTTTAATTGGTTAGACGTGTCATAGCTTGTCGCATTATTGAGTGGACGGGATGAGTCTCGACCGAAAGAATGATAAGGAAAACAATTGCAGAAAATGTGCAGAATAGGCTGTATATCAGGTCCATAGCAAATATGATTACGATGCCTGTTCTAACACAACCTCGCAGCAATCGAGGTGATGGATGAATCCCGGCTAAATCCAAGTGGACCTGGGACCTGGGGCCTGGAACTTCTACCAACACCTCCGTGGCCGAATGATGGTGCCTGGAGAGGTTGCGCGCGCTTGTCCCCGGAGTTTAGACTCCGGGCGATATCGGTGTCGTTGGTGTGGAGATGACAGGTCTTTTCTTCCTTTGGTTGGTGACTCGGACGAGAAGCGGAAGTGGCAATAAAGAACGGAGTATTCTTGCTTCATACATACAGACAGTAGCGTGTTGTGCTGAGACTATGTTAAAAGTACCGTTTGCTCCGGGGCAAATCTGATACATAGGTCTGAGGACTTGACGCGTAGCAGTGTAGCGCATATCTCAACTCATATCAACGCCGATCGACATATTTGGACATCAGAACTGTTTCAAACAACCTTGTCTGGGGTCGGGTCTGCACGGGTTCTGGGGTACAACGTGCATTATCGAAGCGTAATACATTTCCTTGAAAACAAGGCCAAAAGAGTTGAATTCCAACACCTGACCGAGTAATTCCAAATTCATGCACGGGAACATCATCTCTGCAAATGACTGGCCGCAAGACGTGCTTTACTAGATGATATTTGTGAGACTGCATACATTGGCCGCATATGTACATTCAAACATGATCAAGTATTTTTTATACATGCGTGGAGATGACGTCACTAAATCTTACTCCGCCGTGATTCAACGACTGCAAGCATATATATATATATATAGCAACTATATTCATCTCCCACAATAACAATCTTCACCATGCCGTACGAAGGACACTGCATGTGCAACAACATCAAGGTGACTCTGGCTGAACAACCAGCAAACACACTGCGATGCCACTGGTAAACTTTCTCGATGTTCGGTATTAGAGTATAGACTGACCAACGTCCAGTCGCAATTGTGCTAGATCCGGTGGTGGTAAGTGCGCAAAAGCAATGTACTAGTTAAATGCATGAGTGACTAATAAATCGTAGGATCATCCCTCAACTACACAGTTGATGAACCCGATGTCACCATTGACGATCCACAGTCACTCTTAAAAGACTATGAGGATAATGATACCACTAGCGGAAATTGTGCTCTGGTAAATAATCTTGATCTCTTTTTGGTGGTCTCACCCTCTGTCGACTGAACCCCAGTAGCTGACATATATCTTCTGCAGCGGCAATTTTGTAGTAATTGTGGATGGTCAGCGTCAAACATCAAGCACTGAATTCTGGATAGATACTGACAGCCGAAAGCCCCGTCGTTGCCCGGAGCCAATTCCCCGGAAAGACTCTAGTCAAAGCTTCTTTGTTCGATGATATCTCTCGCCCTGTCAAAGAAGTTTATACACACAGGAAGCAAGAATGGTTGCAAGCTATTGAGGGGGCGGAACAGGATTGAGTATGTATGATAGGTTTGGGATAATGTAGGTGCATAGCGAACGACGCACCTAACCACCACCATGATATTATTCACGACTGTAGTTTGCCACAACACAGAAAATCAATTAAGTCTAGTCAGAATTATATCCATCAAATAACTCTTTATCTTGACAGGTGCGTGCATTATGTCCAGGCTTGCCACAGCTACCACAACATTGTTTCCTTGGTTTCACACGCTTCAAACTATCATCCTTCATATGGATTTCCTCAGCTAGCTGGCGATCTATATCTTGATCCAGTATACCTTTGCCAGACTGCAGACTTAGTAATTTCCCCATGCTTTATACATGTTGTTTTCCCTCCGGTGCTTGCTTAATGTATAATTTACATCTCAAGTGTTATAACTTGGTCCTTGAGGAGAGCCACTGAGTGCATAACTTAATTTGCGCTCTTTGCAATATGGTCTATAGCGCCATAAATTGAGGTTGGTGAGCTATTCTGGTGATTGGCGATTCTGGATTTAATATACTCAGATTGTGAAGTGGCCTCGACTGGGTTTTGTGGCGTCCTAAAAATCCAAGGGTCCATAATCACAGGTGGTCCAGTAGGTGTTGGTGTGCATAACTTGACATCTAGCTTAGAAATTACAGTGTCTGGGCTTTATGGGACTAAACCTGACCCGTGAAAACCTGACTGTATATTTCTTTCACTAAATGAGGCAAAGAATGCGGCCTTAAATGCCTCAAAGAACTCAACCTTAGTGATATGGGTGATATGCCCCTGGATCAAGTTCTCAATCTCCTTGCTATACGCACGCTTTAGTGAACTAAAACATCCAATATCAAGTGCTTGGAGCAAATGAGATGAATGAGCAGGCATGCAAAGAGTCACAATATTATTCTCTTTGCAGTAGTGCTTGAAATCGGCTGAGTGGTGGCTCTCATGCCCATCTAGCACCAATAGACGTTTTGCACCTGTTGTACGATGTCGACTATATTTATCAAAGTGTTTTGTGGCGACTCATATATGACGGCTCAACATTGTAGCAATGAATGATACATCGCAAATGCTGCTACTCAGCCATGTCGCCAACAACCTCTATAAAACCCCTTCATTATCTAGATAGATTTCCTCCTCTCTTTTCTTCTCCAGATTAGATATTCTCGTCGACGGTTACAATAATCTAGATAGGAATATTAGTTCATTATTATCTACTATTCCGAGCCCGTGACATGTTTTATCCATTCCAGGCCAAACTCATTTGTAGTCCATCCATTGTCACTAACTCCAATGACCCAATTAGATGGCATGGGGCTATCATGATATCAAGTTGAGAGATGGCATTGCCCAGCAACAATGATAAATGGTGGTATCATTGAGCCTTGAGAATTCACCCCTGGATGACTGTTGCCCATTCTCAATTGCCAGGCTGCATCATCTTTGCTTTTCCACGACTGTGCTGCTTATGACTTAAACCGCAATAATACATGGCTGAGAAGAAAGAGAAAACTGAGATATCATTTTGCACCGTTGGAACCAACATCAAGAACGGATTTGCGGCTATATATCCTATTCAAACTTCCTGTCCTTATATAAGATAGCTGACCACGTAGACATCTAAAATCGAGCCTTCCCCTTCCACATAATTTGAATAGTCTCAAGCCCACTAAGATCCAAACTATCCGGATTCTTCACCTGAATCATCCACTGCGTAAAGGGCGTAGGCATAGTATAATTCTCAGATTTGTAGATCGCCTCAATCTCAACCTCACCCCTTTTGCCCTCCGCGTCCGTCAGGTACCTGAATGTACGCTCCAGCGGCAAGCTAGTGAAATTGTATACCTGGTCTCCTTGGGCATCGGCGTACGTCCCCGAGGTCAAAATCTTCAAAGTGACGGCTTGGTCGTTCTGTTTGGTGAGTTTTGCCCCGACGAGTGTCACTTCCATGCCGTAGATACGGAAATGGGAGGCGTCCTTGAAGGGGCCAGCTAGGTTATAATGATCCAAGCCAGAGGATGCGCTGGGGACGTAAGGCGTGAGCACGAAGCTGGCAGAGTGGCGGGTTTTGAGCGGGTCGACAATATCGGGTATGTAGTTTGCAGGAAGCTGGAGGCATCATTGTCAGGTACAGGTGCTAGAGACTTGTTGGGCTCAACGAAGGATGCTTACATGCTCAGGGGGGACTCTGTAGGTAAAGTCTGCGGTGGGAGGGTGTGTAAGTAGGAATAGAGAAATATGAGCTCCATTGCTTCCGTGAGACTCACCTTGAAAGTCACTTGAATTCTTGGATTGAGCAGCTTGAATCTCGTGCTGAATCTGCGACAAATCCGCCTTGTAATCAGCAACAGTCTTGAGCGGATCGACGACTATCTTGCTGTCTGCTAAGATCAGTTACTTCTCCGCCCAGATGAGATTCAGCATGTCGATGAAAATGCCCGTCCGCAAGAAGAGGTGGCGGTCGAAGAACTTGGCCTTTGCAACTTCATAGCTACTCTCTTCCGTAGTCAGGCGCTGGACCAGATTTTCCAGATCATCAATGTCGCTTTTCGCGAAAAACAGTTCCAGGCCGGCTCGGACGTATCCCTGACCTGCCTTGATTGCTTCAGCCTGAGCCTGAGCGTGCTGCTTTCCATTCACAGCGTGTTGTCTGAGTCCCAGACGGTATGCAAAGGCGCCCTGGATCTTCTGGTTGACAGGATACTGCATCTGGTCGTCTGACTCGAGGTCCCATTTGTCCCAGGCAGCAATGGACTGGATTGCCGCCGAGTCGCCATCAGCTCCAGACATTTTATCGGTGGTGGGAAGCTTCATGCTGGGGTTTATCTCGAGGTTGATGATGGAACTGACGGACTTGTGGACCGTAGGAACGAGATCGGCCAGCGCCTTGCCGCAGTCCTTCGGATTCTTCATGGTATCAGATTGCAAGAGCTGCTTGAACCCCTCCCAGGTGTTCTTGACGTTCTTGATCTCCTTGATCGCTTCCTCAGACGCCTTGATATTCCCGGCGACACCGGCCGCTCCAGCCGGGTCGCCGATGAAGATTCCGCCGATGGCAATTGCAAAGCCGATCACGGCCGTAATGATCGTGAATGCGGCCTCGAACCTGAGACTCCTTCCATTTCTCGATCCCGCGCTTCAAAACAAGCGACGCATTCTACAGCACAAACCGATCCTTCTCGAACTGTTTCTCGGTGTTCCTGGCTGCGTCCGACGCAGCCCTGTACTACTCGAGGGCCATGTCGCGCAGCGCAGTGCTCAGCTGTAACTTGTTCCTGGCTTGCTTGAGCATTTCCTCGCCTACTTGGCGCCGGTCGTCTACATTGGCGGACTTATCCTGGAAGCGGTTGTATTGCGTTTCAAATGCCTGTCGCATCAATGGAATCCTTCAGTGTTTCCTGGTAAGACTTGATCTGAAGAACAGGGGCATAGCCCATTTTGGGGCCCGTCATTTTGCCCATGGCTAGCTGTCGGCCCAGCGCCACTGCTTGCATTTTAATCCGAGATCCAGGTCCCTCGGAGTTGGGAGCCGTGGCCACGGCCACATGGGAGGCAAGCGAGAAGGCGATAGAAGATTTGGACCAGAAGAGCACCGTCGCAATGCGCAGCTGGGTCTCCAGCGACTGGCGGAAGAAGTCATGGTACGCTGAAGCGAGGTCGTACTTGTCGTAGTACTCTGCAGTGATCTGGCCGTCTTGAGAGGACAGGGGGACTGAGACGTGAGGACTGCCCGTGCTCAATTTGATGCTGGTCGATTTATCGGATCCAACGACAGAGCAGGTGAATTCCAAGTCCAGAACCGACGCATGAATATAGAAAGCCCAGTCGTCCTTTGCGTCCGGGTGGAACTCCAGGTGTGTAGCCTCAGCTCCACTACATTTTGCTGCCAGTTGCATTGTTTAGGAGTTCGCCCTGCAGTTGTTGTTCCTAGCTTCATATCGATAACGACCTTCCCACAAAACAGGGAGAGCTCGCTCCAAGACGCCCGATTGGAAGGTCTTCCGGGTCCTGGCAAGAAAAGAATAGAGCATCTTTGATACCTTAGAGCATAAACGGTTTCTTTGCACGTATTTTATATTGCAGATCATGCCCAACACCAGCGCTCTCATACCAGAAGAAGACGATTTTTAGCTCCACAACATTTCTAAAGCTAGCTGTATAGGCAAGCCGCATTAGCTGCGGCAATTCTATTGGTGCTAATCATATCCACACTTATAGAGCGAGATTTGATGTCATGCTTGCAACGACAAGCCATTTCTCGTGGGCTCATAGATTGAGCGACTGGGTGAAGGTTTGACGGTCCCGTAACTAAAGATGTCCGTGCAAAGCTGACGCTTCCCTTACCCGGTATGATCTAGAAGGCCGAGTCCACGATCATATCATTTCTCGTGAACTGGCATTCATCAGTAATTTATCTTGCAATGTGTCTTTTGACATATATAACGTGCAAGAGCTCACTCTGCTGATGATTATCATATTGAAGGTCGCCATATGATTGCATAAGAGGTGCTGATGACACTTGTCGGAATACAGCATCCTCAGAAGTGTCCTCACTGCCATAAACCCCGATATCACCGCTGATCACCATTCCGGTTCTTGCTGGGAGTTGGTGTGACCTAATGTCCTGAGGGTCTTTGCGAACTCTCCATTTTGGAACATATAGATCTGCCTCTCACAGCCGGCTACATGCGCGCTCTAAGTTAGCCGTGGTTGACTCTAAGCGCTCTTCGCCCAGGGCTTTGCCACAGAGCACGGCAGAACACGTCGCAGTTGGTATGCTGGACCAATTTTTGGTGCAAGGTAATGCACAGAAGACGACTGGGCCTGGATTGTGTAGGCATCCGCTCGGAAATCCCCAGCGTATTTGTCATCGGTATTCCCTTGTGACCCAAAGCTTGCTTTGCCTCCTCACGGTGGCTCCCGGGACATGAAGTGGGAATCTTCCACTGCAGGATACGGCGCGGCATTGTAATGAGGATAGTCTATCGATCCATCAACATGTGCACTTGCAGAGGCGGTTGTAATTCGTTTCAATGGGTTCGGGAAGACAGTCTTGGATTCGGGAAATAGAGATCCCCGTATGTGTTCTGTCTGCTTCATATGAGCAGTTGATCTATCGACAGTCTGCTCAATAGTCTGCTTCAATTCATTGATAACCATCCATGCTCGATGATGAGAATCGGATGGTGACTTGATGCAATTTGGCCCTCTTTCGTAGCGCATAGTATAGACATCATATGGCATAGGCCGCTGTTAAGGCCGTTTTAAATGGAGAGTAATATCTCTACCCCATGGGAAAAAATCGCCGGGAATTTCCAAGGGAAATTCACAGTATGCACGACCGTTTTCAAATTCTGCCAATGAGTGAAGAATCGGGACTTTTGTACCGCGGTGTCTGACTTCATAGAGCCTTCTTCTAGGGCTGCATCATGACGAGACTAGTGGTAAAGGCCAAGAACATCAATACTTACATCGTACTGCTAAAGCACGCAAACCCGAACATCGCATTTGCAGCTGCAAGTGATCTTTGCCCTCGCAGGCATGTTTTCAAACAAATTGGCAACTTGTCAAAGTCCTATATCATGTCAGTGGCAGATGAGGCTCAAACTATGCGTAATGTGAAACTAGGCTGTCAATTACTTTCCTGACTTCATCGACGGCCACTAAGCACTCTGTCGATTGAAGTTGATCGTATGATTGACTCGACACAATCCGCCCTTGTCAATGTCACATGCCAGATATCGTACGACACAGTTTGCATGGCTCTGGTATTGCATTAGCGCCAACTGGCTCACTGTGCGGACTGTTCTGGACCAACTTTGAAAGAGTAATATCTCTCCAAGAAAGATATGCAACATCGATCTTCCCTCATCCAGCCACCGCTGGCTTTCCATCGTCATCGTATTTATACCTCGCATGCTAAGCTCCCCTGAATAAGACTCGTATTATGCTCCCGCCGATCACATTCTGTTCACTAAGACAATAGACGCAGAAAATGAGTGATGGGGCTTCTGAAACATGTGGATTCGGGAACGATTAGATACCACCGTTCTGGGATCGTTGGAATGGCATTATGGAGTATTCCATGTACTCCCAGACCAGCTGTCAGAACAGCGCGGACGCTGGATGTATTGCAGTTGGTGTTGCCATTTGTCCTGTGATAGCGTCGGACAGGATTGTAATCTGGTTAGTCACTTTGATAGCGTGCTTGAGTTGATCTTAAATTTAGTAAAACTCTGACTGGATCGTCTTTCTGGTCACGACTGCGAAGATAAGCATGTTGATCGCATGAATTAGTTGTTTGATGCTGTTGATAAAGTCTGAAGGATTGGCGATGTTCCTTTGAAGCCAGTCGAGAGGAACAGTCAGAGATGGAGAGGATGATGAATGATGGGATGGAATGGAAAATGAGCGAGTATTCTTGGTGGCTTTGGGTATTCACCTATCGATATGCCATGTATACAGTGAATGGCATCTGACCCGGCAACCCAGCATATCATACTCGATGCAAAACAGACAATTCTACTCAGTCCGGACTTCTGGCCAGAATTACCTCCACGGATCAAAGTATCAGTAACGACAGGATATCACATATTAAGAAGAATGCGCTTAAAAGCTAACGAATGCACAACTCAATACTCCAAATGCAAAAACGCAACACCATCACTCCGGCTTCTGCCCATAAACAACATGCACCTTTGTATAAAGGTGGATCGACAGATCCCTCAGCTCCCTACGCATACCCGCTACCATGACTTCGATCTCCTCTTTACTCCAGCCCAGGATGCGCGTGAAGAGCGCGTAGCAGTAGGGGCCGATGGCTTCGAACATGTTGACTTGGTGGTAGCGGCCGAGGTCCTTGAGCTTGGGGTCTTTGGGCCAGGGGGATTGCGGGAGCTGCGCATTACACTGTTAGATGGGCGCGAGCCAGGGTGGGTAAAGAGGGCGCACCTTGTAAATCTCCTCGGTAACGTTGACAAATCCCGCCTTCTCCATCTTCTCCTTCCAAGTATGCGTAGTGCTCATAGGCTTTCCGAACTTCTCTGACGATTCGTGCATGAGATTAACAGCTTCAACAAGACATTTGGCCTTGAGATGCGAATCGTCGTCGGAGTAGGTGTTGACCTCGAACGAGTTGATTTCAAAGTATCCTTTCGGTGCGAGATGTTCGAAAGCCTGCTGGAAGACGTGGTCGTGGTCGCGGATGAAGCCTTCGAGCTCGCGGCCGTGGATATAGTCGAAGTTCTTGCTGTAGGACCAGGGTTGTTCGTAGTCGTCGACTTCGAAGCGGCAGTTGGGGGGAATCCAGGACGGCTGGATTGGGCTCAAGTCGTTTCCTATCTTAGTCAGAACCAGCCATTCTCTTCACGAGGATAGTGGTGCATACCGATGACCTCTGCTTCAGGGTGTTCGCTACCAAATTAGTCTTAGTACGGTCAGTCAAGTGGAGCACGTACTCGGCAAAGTCAATGGCCCAAATACCCGTCCCCGTCCCGATATCCAGCACGCGCCGGGGTTCATCGATGGGAGCGCGATGCAGCGCGCCGCGGAAGAGCATTTTATAAATATGATGGCTCAAATCGAGACGATCCTGCTCTTGTTCATCGTTTGGCTGCCATAGTTAGTGTCCGACGTTTTCATCCCTTATCGATAGGCAAACCCACCAAAACATATTCGCCCTCGTGATATGAATGATACCTGCGACCGTTCTATTTCGCTCAGTCGTGTCCTATTACTGTATTTCACCATCGAATCCCGTACCTCGTATCTAATCGGTCAGTACGTCAACTTCAAGGTCGGTGGATATTGTAGCGTACGTGTATTTCATGGCACTCGAGGTGATCGACGTAGTGTAGCTGGCATCGCCGAGCCTATCGCTGTTAGTATCATCGATTCGCATCATCGAACGCAATACTCACGACCCCTCATAAGTCGAGTCGGCATCGTAGTCCTGCAGAAACTGATATCAGCGAAGATCAATCGAACCCTTTGTAGGGGGATGTACATCTGGCTCAATAGCCGTACCGTCACCTGGCATCGACATATTGTAGATATTAGACGACGTGAGACAGATGAAGCAATGAGATGATGAGATAGATGGCGAAGATGAAGAACTCAGAATGAAGGAGAGAAAAAGAATTGCAAATGTTAGCCAACTAGTGTCGGACTCGCCTGCCGCGGAAGAGCGCCCAGGTCCGATCGACCGCGGATGTCCACATTCCAAGAAGGGTTTTACGCATGGGGAGTTCAGCAATCATAAGTACGGGTTCATTCAGATACATGTACTCCAAACGGGGGAGATACGTATTCTGTGGTGTGAAACCGTTGATAGCCCCAGTTCCCGAAAGGCTGAGTTAATCGCCATGTGGCATTTCTTCGGAAAGGAGAACTGCCCTCTGAATGCTTCTCCATAACCAAGTCCACTGATCTCCTGCCACGTTGTGCTCGACGAATACGCCGCTTCTGGTTAGCGTGTCTTGCTCCTGCCTCTTTAGGAATGCCGAGGCACGCTATTCGCGTGGTATGACCCTTCAGACAGTGCACTTCAGTACAAAACAATGCAAACCTATGCAGACTATGCACGAAGTACTGATATGCCATCGGATGTCTTATCCAGCCGACCGTTGACTCCCCGTCATTGGAGGATCTGCCGTTCCGTACCTTGTGGTAGCCGAGCATGACAGTCCCACTGAATATGGACTAGTGCGTTTAGTTTACCTGATAGAGAACTTTGTTTGTCCGCCTCAAGGGAGTCTTCCGAATGGATGCTCGGACACAAGTCTTTGGAAGGAATCCAATTCGCTAGCGGCGGTTCCCTCGGTCGTCTATGACAGATAACTGTTACGCTACTGATTTACAAGTCCCCTCGTTCATATTTGGTCGCCGTCCTACATGGTAAACCGTTAACACGCCGTAGTCCTGTCCTCGGGCTCTGTTCCCCAGCCGGACCCCGAGCACTCTAGAGAAAACCCCACCAGCGCTTCCTCCCTAGCCCCGTTCAAATACACGACAACCGCAGACTCTTAACTGTGCCAACTCGCCGACTCTGAGTCGTCCATCTCCGATAATATTAGCCCGGACGGGATATCCAATTTCGCGCAGCGCTTCATCGGCGCACGGTCGGACATGGCTGCGCTTCGACGATGCGCATGAACTGCTTAGCGCGCGTTACGGCTCCGGGCTAGGGGTGGACCAGCGCGTCGAGGATGAACATGTAAGGCCGGTGTTGTGGGTGTAGGCGTTGTAGGTGTTGATGCGGCTTGGATGCGCATGGGCTTTGTCGCGGGTTATGATGGATTTTCCTTGTATGGCCACATCCTACCCATCGCGCATTAGTATTCAACCCAACCCAACCTCGGAGGTAAGCCCACGTCCAATCCTCAATCAACGCCCACGATCCCAACCTCTGCAAAACACTCTACCGTTCTTTACATTCATAGCCCCCCATACCCTTAACCTGTATCCCCATCCACCATAAATGGCACCCTCGTCGCGCGTACTGTATTCCAATCTTCCGACGTATCCTCCATCGTTGTGTATCCGGCATCCGGTAAACCCAGGGAACTAGACACCCGGAACCGGAGGAAGAGCATGAGGAAGCCGACTTCTTTGACGAGGTGCGAGGTCAGGACGAGTAGGTGCAGTGGGCGTTGGTAAGGAATGGAAGGCTTGTGGCGACAGGATGTCGTTCTCCGGGTCGCGCAGGCGTGGATAATGGCGGCTGCGATGCGGGAATGCGGGAATGTCGCGGTGGAGTCCCCGGCGAAGGACTGGCAAGGAGGCTATGAGACTTTGCGGAGGAAGGGGTGTTGGAGGACATATTCGGAACATATGGGGGTGCGGACGCGGAGGTTGTTGAAAGTTATTGTCGTGTCTGTCGTGGTGTCGGGAGGTGTTGATTGAGTGGTTTGTGAAATCTCAATGCGGGGTAGAATGCGGACTCAAGACATCAACACTACGGAGTGCCGGAGTATAAGTACATGTTTTCGCAGGGAGTACTGCCAAATAAATACCGCATAGACAGCATAATAGCGCTCTCAACCAGTCTGTGTCGATCCTCAACACTGGATATGTATCCCTCATCACTGCGCAAAGCTCTCAAGTAGTCATTGACACATCCTCGACTCTCTCTATCGTCTGTTCTGTCTGTCTCCGTGGACCCCGTCTTCTATGTACTCAACACTAGATATTTGATCCATTGCACTGTAGAAGTCTCATTACCCACGGTCAACAATTACATCTTACTGCGTGCAACGATAATACACAGGAGGGTGCAGCGAAATAGACGAGGATATATAGTACATCGATGAGATTGGCATAGACAAGGCATGAAGCAGGAGACTTTATCATCATGCCACGGAATACAGTTCTGGAAACTTTTACATAGTTACAGGAATCTGCAAAAAGAGCAGGTATCTACAGTAAACGTTGGCAGAGATTGTATACATGTCTCAGGTGCCAGCAGGTCTAGACTCCGAACTAGTCACAGCCAAGCTCTTATTGTATACACACCAAGAATTGGATTCCAGCAGCACCCATCACCAGCTTGGCATCGTGGACTGCACTCGCCACGCATCTCATCCCAAAGGTCAGCAAGAACACAGACCTACTGTAAACTGTCTTGCCCCTATTAATCCCTGCGAAAAAGACTCTAATACCACATCAAGCATGGAGCCCTATTGCATCCCTGAACCATGTACTGTATCCGTGGAGATCTAGACCAGACCCGCATGCATGTATGTGATAACACCGGCATTGCGTAGACATCGAGCATATTCCCGAACGGGATGAAAGTCCCCCTGACTATGTGGTGACAGGCGACGCAAGGCTGGCGAATACCGGCTATCAGTGATGTAATGCCGATCTGTATCTCGTAGGAAGTGCCGTCGATGTCATACATTCTTGATATCTTTGGATATGTGATTGCTATATCTCTAGTATATCCTGCACAGATACTATGCGTACTATATACTCTGAGGTACATCTCCAACCATAAAAGCCCCATATAATCTCTATACAAAAAGTATGCCGACGAATGTATCTGCCTGGCACACGCGGCTGGTTCCTGAGCCGCGCCGTCTCTGATTGGTCGTAATGCAGCCAAGCCTCATCTCACACAGTAGCCAAAGCTTGGCATGCAGCACTGCCCGCTGAATGGTCCAATTGCGATGATCAAACAGAGACCTGTGGGGAAAGTAGCGTCATGAGTTGCCCGTGCCGCGTCACAGCCTGGCCGAGAGGGTTTGCGTGATGTTTCTATTTTGGTGGATGAAAGTATATAAGGACGCAGGTACAGTTATTCTACTCTGTAAGTCACAGATAGCCTTCACTACCATTGACCATCGTCTACATATTTCCAACAATCTCTACAAGTTTATAACTATCAAAATGTCCGACTCTGCTTCTTTCACCTCCGGCCCCTCCCCGGCCAGCTCTACCAGCCATGGCTACAAGAAGTCCCTTTCCAGCCGGGCAGACCCCAACACCGCTCTCAACGAGCATCAACCCAGTACGTCCCCTCTGCACTTCCATGAACCAGAGGCAGAGTACTAATCCATACAGTGGCCAACATCGGCTCCGTATCAACCTTCTCCCTCCGTTCCATCCAACATACAGACCATGAGGGGCGAGTTATCACTGAGCCCGACCTCTCAAACCCCACCCGCCACCGCTTCGAGCGCCCACTAGACACCATTCGGAACTTTGAAGCTGCGATTGACAGACATCGCAGGGAATATTAAGTTAGTGTGCATGCATTATAAGGGATATGGGTATGGTGTTGATATGGATAGGTGCATATTGTATATATGATGTCATATGGGTCGGTTGGAATGTTAATAGCGGGCGTTTTGAACGATTTGAATTATGAATTTATCTTTTGACTTGAGTCAGTGTCGGTGCGAAGCATACGTAGATTGTAGATATGTGGGAGACGAGTCCGGGTTGAGTCGGAGATTTCTGAGTAGGCGTGGAGATCGGAGATTTATATTCAGGATGATGCGCAGTGAACAGACCAATTAACTGATAGTCTGCCATGCCTGCCAACCGATATAGACACGAAACAACAAACGACTCAGCAGCGCAAGTGACGTCCGCCCAAGAATCGGTTCACAAAGTTTTATCATATCACCTACTTCCATTTCTTGAATGACAATCTGAAAAGCCCGCACCCGGGGAGCACACTCAGCCGGGACAACCTCCCGCCCACTTATTCTCAATCGATGAGCCAACAGAGTCAGCAAAGTAGCAGAACTTTGCTTCCGTGGAGTACTCTATGGCTAAATCAGCCTAGTGCATTATGCTACATATTCCGCCATCACCCAAGTAACTGGACTTCTCGTCCCGCTTTGCTTCACTCTTACTAGGGCTAAACTACACATTCAGCACGGGGCTTTGGTGAGAGAAGAGATCACTTGTGGCAGACATTCCTTGGTGTGCGATGATAGAGTAGCTTAGCGCTATACTACTCAGTATTCAGAGTTGTAGGAGTTGTGTCGTCTCACTTTCGTAAATCGAGAAAAACCGATTCCTTCAGTTCATCGTCTCCAAATTGAGCAAAACCAATTCCTTGAGCTCGGGATTCAAGAACGATACCATATCGCCGCCATGAGCATCCCAAGCAAACGGGGATGAGTCGTGCAACTGCAAGGTAGATTTTCCGAAAGGATATCTTCGCTGTATGGCGCGATACTCTCTTATACCCATAATGTGAGTGGATCTAGTCGTAAGCGCTCGCATGGCAAGCCTTCCTCACGACTCGTAGCTTGTACCATCTGTCGTTGTAACCACGGATATAGGACAGATCCACGCGGTCCTGCGAATAAGACGGGTTGGATGAAAATGAAATTTCGGTCTTGCGGTCTATGGTATAACTTGTCCTGATTCAAGGGATCCCAGAACAAGCACAGAATGGGGCTGTATTGACCCTCATCACAGGCTTAGTTGTGTAAAGCCTCCTGCTTCTTCGCCCCTGCTTTGGCCTCAACGACTAGCAGATTTGCATACAGGTTATTTCAGCAGCCATACCAAATTACACATTCCATTAATCTCATGAAAACCCGAGCCTGGACAATGTACCATTTTGACAATTGTGACGGCCTGGTCACGTTGGCTGGCTATCACGTGAGATGCAGTTGTTTGCTTTGTTGATAAATACGGCGTCACCTCCTTTCTTCCTTATGTTGATTATCCTCGTCGATAGCTACCTAGGTAGGACCCATGAGTTGAATGTTCCATTATCCTAGTAGAGCGCCGTGACAACAGTCCGAGGTTCTGTCCGGATTTGCATATGCCAAGAGTATAGAGTACCCCGGAATCGCGAACTTAAAAGGCAATGCTGTTGAAACCTAGGGACGGCCGTCAGTGTCAATTGATGGCTCTATCTTGACCGGTAGATAACAAAGAACGCCTTCACTAGAAACCTGTGGTATTTCCAAGTATCAAAAGTGGAGGCTTTCCTATCCAATCTTCAGCAAAGCTCGCTCTTCTAACAATTGCTGTTGCCAAGGCGATTTTGGCAGGTAGAAGCCGAGTGTCTGATGCAAGAAGAGATAGGTGACACCGGGTCGCGTCTCTGTGGAATAAGTTTACACCCGCGCATCCCCATGGGCCACTTTGTTTCTTGGCTGAATAAACCAGAAAACCTCCCAAGAGATATTAGCTCGCAAGGTAATATGCTACATATATGGCCGTCTAAGTAAGCATGAGTGTGGCTTGTATATTGGTGACAACCGTGCGACGAACTGCCCGGTAGAGGTGACAATGCACTTTCTCTTAAAAGTTTGTATTGGCGTGTGGAATAGCCTCGTAGAACATATCATCATCAGCCACCATAGGTTACACATGGAAAGTGAAACGACATCGATGTGTTTACGGGACTTGAAATGGTGGCCTTGTGAACCGCCGTGTTATGCGGCAAGATTAGCGTCAAAGGGATTATCAATTTCCAGATATATGATTTCGAAAGCATCAACACGCATGTAAGCAATCGTAAATAAGAAAGCAACCTCATAAGCCTCTGGAGTGTAACAAAGCGCAGTCGCTCACCAGCGGCGTGAGGTGTCTGGCTACTTTGGCTGTTTGAATATAAGACAGGAACCCCTTTACACAGACTAAATAGCGCAGTGCCGGCAGGCCAGCTTCTTTTCTTTCTTTCTCCATGTTAGTATTTCGCTAAATAGTCTACCAATAGACTCAAATTGTTTGAGGCAATCACATGAGGACTGATTTTCACGTTATATGTAGCCATCTTAGTGGATTCTCCGTTAACTCATAAACTTGCGCCGTTAAGCTCTTTGCTTTTGAGGTGTCGTCTAATCTTGCAACCGCATTCAAAACGCGGGCTTCCTTAGACCACCAAGATACGATGTCACAACGTCGATTGTGCCCGATTTTGCTTGACCGGTCATATTTTCGCCAGCCATGGCTTCTGTGGTTTTAGCTGGAGAGAGTGATTTGTATGGCACCCTCAGAGGCCGTCACAAATACCAAGGGCAACAGAGAAAGCGACGCCGCAGGCCTATGGTGCATGACTGGCCTTCGCTGGGTGTCGACTGGAGTATATGTGCCATCAGTCATATATACATGCGTTTCCACGTGCCTGTTTGACATAGATCTTCTTGCGATGCCTATTTTCGTGATGTAATACGGGCGTCGTTCACTCGCAAAAATACGACCACGTTTGCGATAGCTAGACATCGGCGCGAGAGAACTCCTTGTCATGTACACCCCATCCAATTTTCGTAGAAAGATCAACAAGTCCGAGAAGCCTCGGTTCATCAGAATGCACGATTGTTAGACCCGGTATATTCTGCAGAATGTGAACGGAAAAAGACACACAGTGTAATCATGAGTCAGGTGACGCCCAAAACTGCTGCTGGCCTTGAGCACTTTGTAAACAAGCCTTGTCTTTAGCACGCAGGTAGATTGTTAAAGCTAGGTTCTTCATCTAGGTGGCAGCGCGAACGCAAGACCTTGGGCGGGGTTTAGATGTCATTAGGGTGCGAGCAATGAATTACGATCCTGCATATTTCCGCAGAAAGATAGTAGATGCATCTTGCATCAATGCTGGCGGTGTTGATGGTATGCAGCCATATCATGTTGGTATAAGTGTCCATTCGTTTGAAAAACTAGCTGCTGATGGGTGGGAATCCCCGGTCAGTTAATGATGGGCAATGGGTTTGTAGAACAATTTGACGGGGCGTATGTGATTCTGTGGCAGGATATTTGATCCGTGATAGTAAAGCAATGAGCAACATTGGCTTTTCAATGTTGATGAATCGTTTATAGAAGTCTGGTATAATCGAATCCCTGTCTCGAATACCGACAAAGGCCAAGAAGACTAAGACAGACGAAAGAAGCAAGACGAGCGATGAATTCGATGATACAGGTGCAGACTAAAAGAGGGGAAGATGGCAAAGAACTTGGTCACGCTATATACATTATTGAGTGACTTGTCTTAGACCAATATCATCCACTGAATCCCAGTCTCCTATATGCCGGCGCTGTCCCTGGAGTGACAGGACCCGGAACCATTTTGAAATCAAGCCCCGCTTTAGAGCATAGAAAAGAAAAAAAAAATACACCTCCTGAAGAACGCTCGATCCAAGCCCTTGGCTAACTCGCTAAAACAAATATTGGAGCAATCAATACCGCTATCTCAGCCACGATGGTATCTAATCTCGTAATACTTCTTGGCAAACACTGGCAAGCGCCGGATCTGACTGCTAATAAAGTATAGTCTTTTGCAAGTAAAATAGTAGCTTGGCAGATTTGCATGGCAGCCACAGCCAAGGACTGTGCTCAGACCGGAGTCTTGGTAAGACCAGTAAGAGGAGGGAGTCTGTTTGTATTTCCGCGGGTTTATTTGCTATTGGTTTGGCAATCTCGGAATAATCTGCCTAGCCCCGTTGAATACCGGCGAACTCCACGCCAATTTTAGAGTAAATAGATTGCTGATTTCCGTTGCATGGCAAACAGTAACATTAACAAAAACTAGACCGCCACTCGTATATTATTACCCGAACATTATAGCAGCCCTAGCCAAGCCTCCTTCATACTTTGCTCCGTATATAGCACGGAGTACTTGTACTCCGGAGTATAGCAACCGGAAGCCTCGGGATGGATAATCTTCGGCGATTCAACAGTCTTATTTTATCCGTCAAATACTCCGCCGCACCAGTTAAAGTTCTGCGGAACTGCCATGCCGTATATTGCTGCCTGGCTACCCAAAGTTCTAGAAATCCCATCCGTACCCCCGAACGCCCCAGTCCTGTAGTGTAACTCTGCATTCTTATCACACTACGGTACGGCGCTACTGCCGACTATATATAGCTATGAAACGAGTTATTAAACAAAAACTTGGCCAGTCCAGTGATTGCTTGTCGCCGTGGATTGGACCTGTCTTAGTTGGTGGGGCGGTGGCATTGCTGATATTACTGGTGATAAGAGATCCAATAGCATCATTGGTGAGAAAGGACGAGATTACTATATTGGGTTAGTGTATTTTAGCGTTGTACTGGATGGATTCATATCCGCTGGTAGCCATTGTACTGCATACTCTGTCAAACATAAAGCGTGTCACTATGATATTCTTTTTTGAAAGACTCTATCCTACCTAGAATAGAAAGATACAAGCGAGCCTCAGTCCAAATGTACAAAATACCAGTACAAAATGCAAATAATATTCTGTAATATCACTGTATCGTACCAAACCGCCGTCAGTACTAGTGTGCATTAGCTTGTCTTAGCGCGTCCCAAACCATACTAGTGCCCGGCCTAAAAAGCTTCGCCTGTAATCTAATTTTTGATTGGGCGGTGGGTACCTGACGCCGGCGCAAGACAGTGGAGGATGTACGTGGCGGGAGACGTATACATAACAGAGATTTCTCTTCCTTGTCTTTTGTTCTATTCTCCGTTTCTGCATCCTCGTTTTCTTCTTTTAGTTGTTTTCTTGCTTCACTTTAGTCTTATTCAGTCACTCGTTCAGTCCTTCGTTACCTATCTGCACGATGAAGCTCTCGCTTCTTTCTGGCGCTGCCCTGATTGGGTCGGCTCTGGCAGTTGACCCCATTGTTATCAAGGT